GGAGACTATCGAGGTACATTCTCCAACAGTTCTACCTATGCTGGAATTATTTCTTAATCATATTACGAAAATTGAAAAGAAGAAAAATATATTCACCATTATCTGTGGAATAATTTGTTCCATCCTTGCAGATCTTTTCTGTCTGTGTACCCTATAATGAATTTGAATAATTTCTCCGATTTAAAATTTTTACATAGACCTGTAAAAGTATAGAAGTAATAAAACTTAGAAGAATATTGAAGAACCTTGACGTTTCTCTGTCTATAAAGCTTCAAATAATGCCCACAGCAAAAACATGACACCAGGGTTTCGATAGCGGACATGCCTACAAAAGTAGACGTTGTTAATTATTATTACGTCATGACGAAAATAGAAAGTGACGTTTGGCGCTAAAACTCAAGGGAAAGATAAGTTGAAGTACTTTCTCCAAGGCCGTTTTCTTAAAAAGTTGCAGAAGACATCAATTTTCAATGGAATTTTCTTTCAGGTAATATAGACCACATGCATCGCCCACAAAGATTTTGAGATATGTGATTTTAAAAAGAATTTTACGAAACTTATCCAAAACTTAAAGTGGGGGACGTCCGTGGACACTAATTTCCTCAGGAAAATAACCCCTGAAATGGGTCATTTTGATGCTTTTCTGTTTTCTGTCAACTCAACTCATATTTAAGCCAGTTTCAAAACTTTTTGGAAATATTAAATTTTTAGGGCACAATTAAAGCCCAAACCGTACCTTCTTCTTGGAAGATGGAATGATACTCCTTTAGGGAAAAAAGTCATGTACGACATGCGATCTTGTTTTGAGACGAATTTCAACTTATTTTGAAGGCACGACAGAAGCAAGGTCTACAAGAAGATTATATTTCTCCATTTTCATCTATGATCAGGGGCACAAGCATATAGTAGCTATGTTTTCTATAGTAATCTATATGTCGGCAAAATCATTGGGACGACCCCCAGTGCCCCCCGGTTCCTACGGCCATGATGATTTATGAATAAAGTATGTCATCTTAAATCGTGTTAAGGACAACGGGAAAATACAGCTGTATAACATAAACCATTATGTTCGCCTCACTCTAATCAGGATCTTCAGTGTCTGGTTTTGTAAAACAAACTTCAGTGTAGTCCCTGCCACTGGGGATATATTCCAACAGCACACAGTTAGTTTTAACATATAGAGAGCCCCTAATTGAGCATAGGACTCTCAGGCACCGTTCATTTTTTTCTTCTAAATATTTTTAAATTCAACTGAAACTGTAAAAATCTGGGTCCGTCAGTATATGACCCTCTTCCTCCTAAAACTGAGCCCCCCCTCCCCCCGGATTGAATATAAAGATATGGTTTATTAATTCAAATCACTCGAAAGTTATTCGGTCATAAACCAGAAAACCCATAATTCCAACAGAAAGAAACAGCATGAGACACGTGTGAGGATATTGACGCAATGTGTAGATTTGTTCTATAATTAGATTTTGTATACTTACCTCCCCAGTAACAGAAGGGGAGGATTAACATAACAATGAGGGATATAGATGACGTCGTATCTGTCTGGATATCTAAGTACTGTTTAATAAAAACAGAAGCAAAGCACATGTTACTTCTGTGGGAATTTACACCAAGTAAAAAAAAACATTGTTACGTGTATTTATATTTTCTCCTAACAGATGTAGTCAGTATTGAGAGAGAGAGAGAGAGAGAGAGATTATTTCTAATCTAATATGACATTCATTTCTGTTTTCTTCCATCTCATCTGAATTGAAGTTAGCTTTTCTGATCAATTTTTTTGGGGGTCAGTCCATAGGCCTATATGATATCTATGAATTCACATTTCTAACTTCTTCAGAACCTCGTATCCAATTTCGGCCAGTGCATCCTCAAAAGGGATTGAATTTTGTTCAAAGTTTCAAATTTATTGCCGAACACCCTTCCAGTGGCTGATCATCAACAAATTAGTAGAAACAGAATCAACCACATACATGATATAAGGACAGTTACGTAATTTACTTTTGACTAAGATTTTAAATGGCGAGAAGATATAACAGGTATTATAATCACAGGAAAAGGCAAACTGTTATCCTAATAACGAGAAACAGTCCATGCGCGGATCTAGAGGGGAGGGGGGGGGCAGGACCCCCCCCCCCCCGGTATTTGCAAAGTTATAAAAGTATATACTGAAGCAAATAAAAAAAAAAATCACTTTAGACCCCCCTAGAAAACGTGAACCCCACCATCACCACCACGAAATAGGTGTTTTTTCACGTTTGGAAAATGGATTTTTTTTTTTGCTTGTCAAGAAATTTTTGGGTTATAATTTTTTTTGACTGGGATGGACCCCCTGGAAAAAATTCCTGGATCCGCGCCTGCAAGCCTGACAATATAGGGAGAAAGTTGATAAGGGAGAGAAGAGATTTCGTAAAAATCGATTTTTCTTGTTACATCTCTGAGCTAAAACTAGCTATTCTGTTCGGAAAATGTTTTGTCCATCAATTTTGTTCATGAATTCGAATAATAACTACATGTATATAATATATACGTTTAAAAATGTTTCAACAACTGCCACTATGTATCGCTGGTTGAAGGTAGCAAATTGTTCAAGTCCCAAATTTGAAGAAAAATTGTTCAAATCCCAAATTTGAAGGAAATAAAATTGTGAGACAAGTGTATATGTAGTATTATTATACCTCTACTCTTATTACTCTATATAAAATTAATACCATAAAACTGTCTATCTCCCCGAGAAAATACTAATTCCCCCATCTGAGGACTACTCCCTGAAAAATCGGAGCTACTCCCTGGACTACTACCTCATGAATATTTATTATTAATTTTAACCAATTAAAATGAACAGTGGGTGGAGCGTTCAAGGAGTTTTGAGTCCGTGACGTAATGTCATTAGCAATGTAACTATGACGTCAAAACATTTCGACATGCGATGTCAAAATCATACTGGAATTTCTAAGCAAAAAGAGGATAACGATAATCCTTCAAATTTTAGTGAAATTATTATTTTTTTTAAAAATAATTTTATGTTTTACGTATTGATGCATTACATATTTAACAAAATTGGAATCACGCGCATTTTAGATTATTTATAAAAATGCCTCTATATTGTTTTAAAAATGTCTAAGTCTCTAGTTAATAAATCTCCTTTGTTTGTTTCGGTATAATAAAACAGTTATGGAATGGGTACTCGGGAAATATCAAATTTATGGTTCCCCTCGGCAGGAAACTATTTCCCTCGTCGGCTTCGCCGCCTCGGGAAATAGTTTCCTCCCTCGTGGAACCATAAATTTGCTATTTCCCTCATACCCATTCCATAACTGTATATTATTGGAAAAACTTGGCGAAGTTCATGTACAGCTAGGTTTTGTTATTAAAGCCAGGCGCGGATGCAGGAATTAAGTTAGGGGCGCAAAAAGTAGGCAGGGGGTCTGGGGGCCGCCTTGAGGCCCCCAGTGGGTCCAGGGCGAAGCCCTGGTGGGGGCTCAGGGGGCGAAGCTCCTGGATTATAGAGATTTTGTAGGGTAAAAATGAGATCCACCGAGTAGACATTTTTATAATTTCTCGACGAAACTATGAATGACCCTAACTTTGACATTTTTAGGGGCACCCCCCTTAAATCCCCACTGAAAGCGTGGGATCAAGTCTTGGTGATGGATTTGGAATATATACACGCGAAGAGGAAAAATTTTAATCTAAATTCTTAACTATACTCATAAATATGTTAATTTGGTATGAGTAATGTGAACTTTGGTGTGCCATAGGCATACTTGCTGAGATACCTTTTTTCGTAATCAAGATATCTTCTCCCACTTTAGTATAGTCCTTTATTATAATTATAAAAACTTTTTCTCGTTATTACAGGGTATTTTTTTTTCGCAATAATGACTTGTTCTCTCTTTATATTGAGATATTTTGTATTTAAAAAATGTATATTACCACAGTACCTGACACTTCTCACCATAAGTATCAGTATAAAAGTAATATTTTACATCGAAACAACGGGAATTCGGAAAAACGACACTAGTCGGGCAATCGCTCCAAGTGTCATATTCATTCTATTTTTCGATAAAGGCAAACTCGTGTTATGAAAATTGTTATTACAAACGATATAGGAAATCAAAAAAGATGCAGATTAGGCCATCTTTAAAAAATTGTTTGTTTGCCCTCCCGACCGACTTGTCATATTGTAATTTTGGTATTTACAAAAAATTTCAAAAATTATATATTACAGACTGACTTAAAACGGCCAGATTCAAAACTTTTTTTAACCTTCAGGAAACAATTATTTTTTTTAAATTCATTTCTCACCTATAAATAACTATTTTAAATTCATATTCGCAAGTGTTTCTGAATACCCCCCCCCCCCTACCTACCTTCCCATACAACAGTGCCGGATTTTGTTTTCTCGGTACATATGTTTAAGCCTCCCCCCCGGAAAAAAATGGAGGCGCCCCTCCCCAAACGATAGTGGTGGTGGGTTTTTATATGTCTCTGGTGGGTTAGAGAGTTGTGGGTGGGGTTACCTATTTAAGTTGAATAACACTCACAGTCTCACACAAAGAATTTTACGTTTTAAAATATTTTAAAATTATAAGATTACTATATATTAATAATTATCACTAATACCAAAAATTAAAAAAAAAAAAATTTACTGCTAACAAGAAAAAAAGCACAATGTTCCTTTCATTACTGCATCTCAAGTTCGTGTCATTTTTGGTTTCAAATATTATAACAGACAATTTAATTATTTGTAAAACATATATTTTTATATCAAAATAAGAAACTGCAATGTTTTTGGTATATTGCAACACCTTTGTGAATATTCCGGATAAAAATAGCACTATCGTATAATACCCTCCAATTACGTTCTATTTCTTTTTATTTCAACCAATCAGATGGCAACACATATTAATATGCACAACTGCTAAACATTGGAATGTTCCATTCCTTGAAAACTACAAAATAATTTTTCGAAGACACATATTTTAAAGTTTGTCAAACGGGACTTGAAGCACAAGATTTTGTGTAGAAAGCATAATTTAAAAGAAAACACCGAATCTATTAACGTGGCATACCCCTTAGCTTAGGCCGGAAGTAGAATCGTCCTTTACCTAACACGGTACGACTTGTCGTGTTGCAGTACAGAGGTTTCTCTCAACATCTTGGAAACTCAAGCTGGAAATTTACTATTTCTGGCTTGAATTTCGATTATTACTTAAGAGTCCATCAATAATTTAAATTAATAAATGAACTGGAGGTTTTAATCACCACGGAAAGTGCATGGTCCTGTCGTGATTAGTGTTTCGTGGATAATTTTCTCTATCGTGGTGACAACATGGAAGATGCACACACTAAAACGGTAGAAGAAGTGCTAGAATATTTTAAAGTTGATGAAGAGACTGGATTAACCGATGAACAAGCTAAAAAGGGGCTTGAAAAATATGGACCAAATGGTGAGAATACAAAAAATTAGAAATACTGTTTTTTCTACGTGTTGCACTCTGATAGGTTAAAACTGTCATATATTTATTAAATCATGCCCGTTTATAATGACACTGTATGAATTGTCTTGGGATTTAATGAATATGCATAAGTGAATGAATGCTTTAATTTTCCGATGTGTTTACTAATGATATGAAACTTTACATTTGTTTTCTTTTTAATCTTACAGCCTTACCAGCTGAAGAGGGTGAGTACCTTTTTGAAAAATGTTCTGTAAATGAAGACAGATTTATAGGGCACCATATATTAGTTATTATGTCTTGTCCTTGATGGAGAGAAAAATTATCTACATATTTTAGTGATACTGTTATTGAAAGTATACATCAATGTGAAAAAATCAACACATGCCTGAATACCCTCAACAAGACAAAAAATTAAGTAAACCATTTTTTTCCCATCAGAATCATTAAAAAGAAAAATACTTTAAGAAGTCAGTAAATCAGTAGCAAGTATGTCAATGATATTGTTAAAGTGACAATATGTAAAGGCCTCTGATTTAATGATGGTAAACTGATTAGCAGAATTATGTGTTTTAAGATTAGACTTCCTTGTTGTAATAGTAAAACAATATCCAGAAGCCACCTCGAAGAAGTGTACAAATGTACTTATCTTATAGGTATTTGTTTAATCACAATATGTCTTATACTGACACAGGCATTGATTTTGTTTAAAATAATCTTAATGATGATATCATATTTCTAAGGTTAAAAGAAAAATCATTTAAAAAAAAAATTCTACTTGAAGAAGTAAAAGAACTGCATGATTCTTTTTAACACTTTTTTCTAAAGACACATATTTATTAGATATTCTTAGATTTATTTTATCTGCATTGTAAAATTATTTGATTCATGTATTTAAATATCTTGACCTTTGGTACTACAGGTAAACCTTTGTGGGAACTGATATTGGAACAGTTTGATGATCTCCTGGTCAAAATTCTTCTCCTGGCTGCCATTATCTCCTTTGTAAGTTTGTAGATTTTGTGCTTATATCTTGACATTTTATTCATACATCAAAATCTGGATAAGAATGATTCAGAAAGACAGGTAGCAGCCACAACTATCAATAAGGCCAGTCACTGCTGCTATCAGAAATTTCACAATGAAGTATTTTAAACATTTATTTCACATTTCCCCTTTACATTGAAATGCTTTTCTAAATGATATTTGAAGTAGAGGGACATTGCATGTGTAAATTGCTTTCTTTTAAATCTTCAATGAATCGTGTCAAATTGGGATCAGTAAAATTAAAGCACCTCAGAGGGATCTTCAACCTACTTTGTATATAAATGTATTTTGTTATAATCAGGTATATTCAGTTTATATCCATTTCTTAAGATTTTGATAATACATACGAGAAACAAATGTAAGCATCTTTACACTTAATGAGTTTTACAGAATCTGTTTGTGTGGTGTCCTAATATTGAGGTAGAACTCAATCTACAATAAGTTGTTTAGATCTTGTTTGTTCATTATTTGCCAAAGTTCAGTTAGTGTAGTAGGTTTTCTGGAGGAAATGAAAACAGGTATGAAATTATGATGAAAGGCATTGCCAATATTGGGGATCTTTTCTTTTTTCGGCATACGAACTGCTGAGCATGCTCATATTGTTCCTATGGCGTAACAGTAAACCCAAGTTTCAGCTGTTTTGCACAACTTTGCAAAACAGATTTGCTCCGTGGGGTTATGGGGAGAACGTAATGGTTTAGTTCTCACCTTGAGTCTAGAATGTGTATCCGCAGCATAAGGAGTGAATGTCCTTCGCTGTGTAGTCAAGGTGAAGCAGGAAAAAAAGGGAATGTTAAGGATAAAAGGATGAAAATACTTAAATGTTTAATTATTTATAGATATGAAGGATATGTATAATTTACAGATAGTATCTCATTTCACAAATTTTTCCTCTGCAATCTTGATATTTTCTTAGAAATCTATAAAAACAATGATTATAATCATGCTTAGCTATCAGTTACTTGTATTATACTAGAATACTCTTTTCCTTTGATTGTGGAAGAGTGTTCTGTAACATAAGTCAGAAACTAAAATACAATGTCAGGACATGCTACTGTACTTAAACTGAATCATTACAGCCACAACTGGGCTTTTTGGTACAGAGTCCTGTATTCTTTTAAATCAGAATTTTAAATTGAATAATTAGTCACAAAAGTTGGAAATATGAATAAAATATAATATTTTTTACTGTAAAATAAAGACAATTATATGGTAGACTTATCCTCTATGCACATTTTTGTATAATCTCAGAATTCTATATTGTTGATAAAAAGCACTGAAAATTCAATCTGCTCATCATTTGGAATTGTTACCAAACTGGAAAAAGGGGTTCCTTTTACCAGATCTGCATGCAAGGGATATTAAGCCCTGTGTAGTAAGTACTTAAGTACTTTTTTAAAATGGGTAGCAATAATTTCTGATAAATTTAAATTTGTATTTCTCTTCATTCATTTCTCTGTCCTTAAATTAGTCCATCCAGCAGGTAATATCTGTTGCATGATTGCATTACTTTCACAACAATTTCATAAATAAATGGAGCTACGGAGTAACAAATTGTCTTAATTTTACCTGGCAGCACAGACAAGAGTGAAAATCTGGATAATCGTGATCAACATTAAATATTATTTACTTCACACAAGTTTGCTCAGAAAATTGATTGGATTTTTGGCATCAGCTGTTTTGACTTGTCAGCCATTGGCACCCATATGTTGATTTTATTTCTATCCACATCTTTATACATGTACCACATGCTGATGAATAGAAATTTGAAACAGACTTATATTATGTTGAAATGCATAACAACTGATGATGTTTCAATATCTTAATAAATTCACCTGAATATTGAAAACATCTCAGAGATTTAAATGTTCTGGAAATCAATTGCCACAAGTATGAATATCAAAAATGGCAATAAATTTCAAGTCTGAGAGGATTCTTTCGTGCTGTCCAGCTGTGTTTCTTTTAATATCCCTGACTTTTTTTGCTAATGTAAGTAATATTCAGTACTTGTACTTGCGGCTATAAGCATTTTCTACCTTTTTTTCAGGTTTTAGCCTGGTTTGAAGAAAGTGAAGATCAAGTAACAGCTTTTGTAGAACCTTTTGTGATCCTGACTATTCTTATATGTAATGCTGTAGTAGGAGTCTGGCAGGTAGGAACTTAAAGCCTCTTAGAGCAGTGTTTCTATGTAATATTTGTACATAAAACAAGTTATTAGAATTATTCATTAACCTTGTTGACTCGATCTAATGTTACACAGTTTAATGTGACAATTAATTATGAAAATTGGAAGGTATATATCTATGAAGGTGACATTTATGCAAGGATGTATTTTTCTTCTCATAGTGCATGAAATGTAAACATTGTACAGAGCTAAGATGCTTGAGTAGTTCAATATTGAAATGATCATGTGTCTCATTAACAAAGATATCCGTCAGAACTGAAATAGAAGTTTGCCTCTGACCATTAGTACTGTTAGTGTTACAGTTCTGAGAGAACATTCAGGTTCAGGGTTATCAGCTGTGGACTAGATGTTGTATGGGAAGTACACAAACAGTGGGTATTTTAGCTGCTAATGAACTACAGGTGATTAACAGTGTATTGCATGCTGGGAAAGCTCAGCCTGATGTATAGGCATAACAATACAGTATGAACCAGAAATCTGAATCAGGGCCCTAACTATGATTAGTTACTAATGATATATCATTATTATATATATAGCAATGATTATTGCTATTTCACTGCATATTTATAAAAATAGGGTAATGGCTTGTCATTAATTAGAATCTGTGGTTGACACAAGGATTCAAAGCACTTCAAGTGCGATAATATCTGTATTGAAATATCACAGCAGCATTAAATATAAAGTGCATATAAATGCCTTATTTATTATTGTTTTATAAACATTTTGGTCAGTTGTCCTTCATTGTATGGTTGATGTACTCTGTATTGGCAGTTTTCCTTTTGTACATGTAGAACATATATCAGCTTCATGTTACAGAAAACTAGACTGGAAGTTCCTCTCTGATAGTAGTTTCAGCTTTAAAATGCTCCAGGTATAGACTATAGACAAATTTATAATTCAGGTAAAGGTACATATGAAATTTATGGTTTGATAGACAAGATCCATGTTGTTTTTTGGAATATTGGAGCAGGAAAATCTTTGAGTACACTGAGTGTATGGTTTGTTTGATCCTTTTATCAGATCTGTACATTTTCATAGGAAGAGTTGAGTTAAGGTAACATTGAAGTCAATATGCCCCCAAGTATTTTTGTATACAAATTTACAAAACTGGTAGAGAGTGCAATATTAAAATTTTTATAAATTGTGACATTTCATAGTTTTTAAGATCAAAGAATGCAGGTTGTGATTAAAAGTGAATGCCATCATTGAGAGGCATGCAGGTTCAATAACACTGAAAATAAATCCAATATAAATCAAAACTGACTACGGTTGTCATTTTTAGCTGCATAAACTGATAACTGGGTGATACGATAAACAATTGCAGCCTCTATAAATATCAATCTGTGATTTATTAAATCATGTGGGTGGTTTCGACAAAATGTCCAATTTTATGGCATGTTTTAATCTTGAGGTCTCTACGTTCAGGGACTTTGAGGAAAAGATAAAACGTATAAAACTCAAGTTATTTATATGCTGTGCACTCCAGAGCTTATGTATGTGTGATGAGTACAGTGAATACTGACGTCAGAAGACATGGCCCCGCATTCACCTGTATAACACCAGAGATTTAATGCCACACTCTGATCACACCCTGACTAGCATTCACTGTAATAATCAATGCCTTATGTATACCCTAAGTGATAAAAAAAAACCCCATTCTTTATGATTTGTTTCATCTTGCATGTAATATATTGACATATTTAATGGCTTTTTAAAAATTATTGGAAGGCTTTGATCTTTAAATAGATTTTATTTGGGAATTCAAGTCTTATTTAAGGTAATTAAATGCCACCCAAATACCTTTTCTGTGAATTTTTAAGCGGGCTATAAACCCTTTTTATCAATTGTTAAAAGTATTACTTACTCTGTTAGAGCATAAGATAATAATGTATTAAAATCTGCTTGGAAGTAACCAACAGATGATGACATGCAAACATATATCATTTGATAGGCATTTAAAAAAGTTTGGAGTATATGATTCAAGGCAGTACATGACAGCTTCTGAGGAAATATAAGAACATTAAAAAGCATTCTAGTTACACTTGCATTTTGAAATGTTCATTTTTAAATTTTGCTTTTTATGAATATAAGAAATATTATGTTGTGCATAAATTGTTAGAAATAATCTATATAATCAAAGTGTTTTGGTGAAGCAGGCTTTATAAATGCATATTGCCACAAGGAACACACAATGTTTTGATGATTTCCATATTTGATTTGGTGGTCTTTTGATGTTATAGGAAAGAAATGCTGAGAGTGCTATTGAAGCCCTGAAGGAATATGAGCCAGAAATAGCTAAAGTGATCAGAAAAAGTCACAGAGGTGTTCAGAGAATCAAGGCAGTTAATTTAGTACCAGGAGATATCTGTGAAATCTCAGGTGAGATGTGTGAGATAAAGTCACATGGAATCAAGGTGTTGAACAAAGATCTCATATGTCACATGAAGTAAATATATCTCAACAGTGGTGATAAAAAGCACTCATGCATAATTAGCATTAAGGCATATTTGTAAGTTTAAAACAAGATGTGGGACTAAACTATTTCAGCAGAATTTGCTGAACAAAATAAATGGTTAATTATGTATAATTGTGCAAATATATGCAAGTGTTAGAAGAAAAAAATGTGGCATGTGATGTTTTAAGAAGAATTTTTATAGAGTAGTTAAGATAAAAATTAATATTGTAAAAGCTTCTGATTGAGATACACAGAAAACATATGATTCATTATACTATAATGCAGATGTGTTTTGGTTATGTTTTCAAGTTGTAAAACAAATCCAGTTTCTTTCCATAAATTGGATTTGGCATCAGAGTAGTTGCTGGTTCTTAAGGCCACTGAGAATTGCTGAATAGACAAACCATTTTAACAAGCAGAATGTGTTTTATTGAAATATGTGCCACTTTGAACCTTCATAGGTTATAAGCATCATTTTACAACTGAAGGGTAGCAAAAACAAAAAAAAAGTCTAATTTAAGACCTCTATTTATGTACAGATAAAGCACGGGAGCTGATAGAATAGATCAATTACCATGTGTCTCTTCTAAGACATACTTAATGACGAAACTGATCATAAGTAACAGGCTAACTGCTTCAGATGTTGAGGGCTGCAGTGAAATTCCTCTTTTATCTTTGAAGTGTGCTAAGAAGCTTTTAACTGGTGGTAATAATTGTTTGTATATTTTTTCAGTTGGAGATAAAGTTCCAGCAGACATAAGGATTTCCACCATTCATTCCACAACGCTGCGCGTAGATCAGTCTATTCTAACTGGTAATTGACAATTTATTCCATGTTTTCTGCTCTAATGAGACTTAGCCTAGCTAATGAGTTTCAGTATTACATACAAATAGACATATTTATTGGAAAAGCAAAGTAAGGGATGGTACTTTTCCGATAAAGATATATACACACGATGAATAAATTTCTCATTTGAAACAAGTCAGTTTTTTGGAGGCAATGTTTTGCATGGTAAAAATTCCACAAATTAACTTGTTAATATACAGAAGGAAGTTTATTTCCTTTATATCTTCAGAGATGACGAGTGGTTTTTTTTTTTCTCCGTTTAAGGTGAAAGTGTTAGTGTTATAAAACACACAGACCCCATTCCTGATGTGCGCGCCGTGAACCAGGACAAGAAAAACATACTATTTTCTGTAAGTAATGACATCTGACAATATAGACACCCTGTCTAGGTGCAGAAAAGTCAGACAGAAAAATCACTGTATCCTCACTGCAGAGAGACAGGATTTCAACAGATACAATAAACAATATTGGCATCTAAGTACAGTTATCATAGTTATTGCTAACAAAGATAATATTCAATCTGGCTTAGGAAGTGAATAGAAACAGTAGATATGCATTATGTGTTAACTAGCATCTATAGAAGCAAGTCTTATATAAATTGTGATAAAGAGCTACTTATATAAATACTAGTGTTTGAATTGATGGAGACATTCCAGACCCTTCTGTTATGTTTAATTAAGCAGGAAAAAAAAGAAGAGAAATATTAAAAGGAGCAGGATCTGTATTTCAGGCATTCAATTTCTGTTTTTTTGTTGTAAAGCATTTGCAGCTAAATTAAAATTTTTTTCTTTAATCAGGGAACAAATATCTCAGCAGGAAAATGCCGAGGTATCGTCATAGGAACTGGATTGAACACAGAAATTGGTGAGTTGTTCTGTATTTTTAGGATAGAGGAATGCCCATGTACTAACTCAAAAGTGCATCATGCATAGGTGCACAAAAAAACCTCAATGCTAAAACTTCAGTTGCTATGAGTGTCGACAGGGTCATTTAATTTACTGTACAAATACAAAAGAGCTGAAACAACAGGATTGCAGTGAGGTAGAGTGCAGAAATCTGATTGGTTGATGTAAGGGTGATGATACCTGGAAACCTCATCAGTCAGCCAGCAGCTTAAAGCTGTCAGTGTTGTCAGAAAAAGTATTGAACCCCACTGATTATTGCCCACAAAATTCGAAAATTATTTTAAATATTCCCATGAAGATCCCTTTCCTCAGAATTTAAAGTATATGTTTATGTCAGAAAAAATGCTCCACTATTTCCTTTTGACAAGGCAAAAACATGATAAGAATCACTGCTTCTTTTGAACCTGAAGAGATTGCGAAGGTCACCCATTTTTGGAGAGGAAAATCTGAGAGGGAATATCATATCACAGTGTTATCTTTTTGGAAATTGATGAGTTTCTCCATGTCAAACTAAATCATGTTAGAGATAATTCAAAATGCTTGAAATATTGTTTAAAGTCTAAATCAGTATTTTTCTGAAGTATGTGCACTTTTTGCAAGTGCAGTTCTCTTCTGTCTTAAGATGAAATAAGTAAAGCTGTCATTTTTTTCTGACAAAATAAAACTTGTTTAGTAGCAATGTTATCATTGGTCAGCACCTAAAAATAAGCACCAAGAATTAATTATTTACCAGAGATTACTCATCATCATCTAAGAGTTGTATTTATTTCATTTTTGCCAAAAAAAAAACAAAAAAAAAACTGGTCTTTTAATGCAACATATAATATCCTCCTTTAAAAAAAGGTTTAAACTTTTAATTTAGGTATTTGCACTTTTTGATTTTCTTTGATTGAATTATCAAGTTATTTCAAGGATGCAATATAAAACACATAATTATAAACATCAGAAAATAGTATTGGTTATGGCTTTCAGAAATATCTGAATTATAGATCTGAAGATAAAACATCTCAAAATTATATAACATCATTTATGTACAGTGAAAGCCTTGCTGTGTGTTTTAATTAACTTGTGACAGGCTTCCTATTTTGTCAATAATTAAATCTCCTATGAGAAATCCCTGTGAACAGTTGGAGGGAGGACGAGTTCTCATCCCTCCTAGTCGTGTAAAAAGAGTTCAGAGAATGTATGAAGAGGCATCTCAATTTGAAACATTTCTTATAAATTCTTACAAAGTCTGTAAACTCAGCAGTGGATGTTTACAAATTTTCACCAGAACGATGTACCACCTGTGAATTTTGTAATAAGACCTAGTCAGAGGTACAATGTTTAATATCAGAAAAAAACTAAGATGCCTTGATTGGAATGTATGGGGGATCTTAGCCTCAACTGAAATATATTTTGTTAAATTTCTAAAATATTTCAGTAACAAGTGTGATAATGTTTACTCAGAGATTGAGTCCACATCACATACTAGATCCAATCTAACTTAGTAATTTTCAGTGCTTCCCAGTCATAACCTCAGTTTAGTATACCGGTAATGTAGTTCCCCATTGTCAATATGTGTGTTTTGTTGCTTTGTAACCAAGGTATTTTGTCAATAACGGATCTGTAAATGTCCCTTACATTATGAAAATTAATACAATATTGAAAATTTCTAAGTACTTTTGTTAATTTTTGAGTAAATGAAATGATGCTATTCACTGATTGGTGGACATTTAAGTGTGGAGTTACTGATTGGTAGATATATTGTTTGAGGAATTTGCTGGTTCTGTTGGGTAATCTGAGAATGAAAGGTTTATGATTTCATTTTGAGACATCTGATTTGTAAGATAAAGGTCTGCAGTCCATGGATCAAACATATTGATCTGGTACTATCCAATATTACACAGATTCAAGATGCTTATGGAAGCAAAGTGAAAAGGGTTGTCAAAACTATTCAAGTTTTTTTGGCTCTACTGACGGATGATAAATCATTTACATTCGGTTTTATTTTGAATACTTTCTCTTTATTTGTGGCCTTTCCAGTATTTCCCAGAGGTTATTATACTTAAAGAATGCATTATATTGGTTATATTGATGATGTAGAGTTGTAGCTATAAACTAAGGGAACTTGATTGAGCTGCTTTGCAGTGATGCGTCAGAAGCCAAACCTGCGTCATTGATATACCTTGTCTATATTTGGTGACCAGGTGTATTTGTTGTTTGTTTATTTGTTTTAATTAGATGTATTGAACTGCCAGTACAGTTCTGCTTGATTTGCATATTTTCAATGGAGGTGCAAATCTAAGGTTACGAGGAAACATATGTTTTTGTGCACTAGCTTGCTTGGAAGGTCAGTGGAAGGGCGCACGAATTGTGCGTCTTCTTTATCTTACATGGGAGCATTGGTCTTGCAAACTGATGGAAAATCTTTATCACAACTGATTATTTTTTCTGTAGCAATGTGTATATTTATACATTAGGCATACCTCCTGACTGTCATAGCCATTTGAAATATTGTGGAGCATATGGAAACAATAGGCTTTAGACGTCACATTCATGATATTTACCTCTTACTAAATGCCTGGCTTAATTCATTTACATTTGTTCCCCATATTCAATTCCTTGATATTAACTTGTAAGATAATGCAAACAGAATCATTACGTCAAGTCTGTAATCTCTCTGGCACCTGAAGCTAACATTAGGCTGTGCTCCACAAAATGACTTCACAAGTAAAAATCAGAAAATAGAATTCCAAGCTTCATTGCTTCCTCAAGCACTATTTCTGTCAGAGATATCTTATATAACAGGCAGATTGCATTCAAATGCATCAAATATTAACCGTGATAGATAAAATACAAAGAATTCATGTACAGAACTATCATTTTGATAGTGTTCTTGATGAATCTGAGCTTTTTAATAACTAAGACTTTGATCATCTCTTGGTATCATCATTAATGATTTCTTTTTATCTTAGAAATTTTCTGCTGTGCTTGCAGTGATGGAAAGACTGAAGGTCACTGAACATTTTATTTAGGTGTTGGGGGTCTTTGGATCGCTAAGTTAAAAGTTAAATCTTGTTTGCTTTAGTGATTTCTGGTAGCAGGTGCTTTGATTATGACCATTAAAACAGGTAAAAGATTTCTTGGAGGTTGATAGATGTTTTGATAGGTGAGGTGTTAGGGAGATTTGTAAGACATAATATAATGAGTGCTGATGAGCCTGAGCTTGTAGAATATTTGGCATTTTGGTAGATTTCCTGGAGCGGAACCAGATCTGGCATGCCTACAAATACCATTCTTATTATAGAACACTGTGAACCCTAACAAAGACAGACACCCCTATTACTAAGTTAAGAATTTCCTAACTTTTACATATATTGATTACCTGAAAGATATTGTTGAATAAAGACAGATTGGAATGTAAGAAGATCAGTAAGCAAAGCCTGGTTGTGTTATTAGTCAGTGATGCATTGGAGGTCATTGAAGGTCTTGTACCTGATGAAGTCATGCCTCATTCTCACTTGCAGAATAAGCAGTAACTATCAGACAACCCAAAAAATGCAGAATTCAAGGATGTTCATGACATCACAAAAACATCACAAAACTGGGGTCCTTATTATTTTTATGAATTTTTTGATCTTTTAGCCTGAGATAGAATGTTATCTGGTGAGCTTTTGTTGGAGATGGAGGTGAGATATGGGGTTATAAGACAGATTGATGGCAGTGGTGAGAGATAGGAGTCTGGCAGGGGTCTCAGTGTGTATGTGTGGGGAATCATTATTTCCTGTTTATATACACGGCTACCTATGATGGTTCTCACATGGAGTTATGATAGCAGTGGGATATAAACAGTGGTCAGGAGCAAACTGACAGCAGTCTGTGTCCTAATATTACAGAGATCTGTACAGCTACCAAAACCTTAAACTGAATGTCATAAAGATAGAGAAATTACACACTAGGCCAAGGCATGAAATGCCAAGAAAATCAGAAAACTTTCAAAATATTTTACATCAATTTGTACCCACTGAGTTGCTTTCAGGAAGTCAAGCTGAGTATAAGAAAATCTTATATGATGTATGAAATTATGAATACAGAAACAAGGAGAGGTGTAAAATTATCAGTACTGTTTAAAAGACCTGAGAAGTATATATAAACGTACGAGATATACTCAAAGGGGTATAGGTCATCATTTAAAGGAAAAAATAATACAGGGATATTGATGGGGGTCTCAAATTTACACTGAAGTAAAGATCATTAATGTTTTTGAAAATCTATCCGAACTTGAATCTTGATGAAGAAGCTGGTGTTAACACACATTTACAGGTCATGTTGATTTTTTTACTTTCAATGTATCATCAGTTTACATGAAAGCAGCAAGTTACTGAAATTTATTACATAATTTGTGTTAACAGAAGAAGCCATGATCCATCATCAAGATGCTGTTAGATTTTCTGCAGGATACGATTAATCCTACTGTTATTGGTGTATTAAAGAACAAGTGAAGTTATCCTGAAACACAAATAATTTAAGGAAATATAAGGGACAGTCAAGGACAGACTTTGGTTATCTTTTTAAAACACTGGTTATTTGTGGCAGTTTGTGTTTAATGACAGTAGCTCTGTATTCAGTATGTACCAGGAAGCTGGCTGGAAGTAGCTCTGCGTTATGACACATCTTTCAAGTAAAAAATTATTTAGGGCAGCTTATAAACATGGGCAAGATATCTTTCCGCACTTATTATTAAAATCTTGATAGTCTTTCCTATTCAAGGTTTTAAACTTCTTTGCCTGAAAAAATAGAAGAAATTGACAGAAAACCTTCATTTCAATGTGGCAATGTTTGTATTATGCATTTACAAACAATCAATTATTTTGTGTTATTGTCCGTGTCAGCTAGTTGGCCATTTCAGACAATTTGCTGTTCTAGGACACTCAGAAATTGACAGTCTCTTTGTCAAAGTAGGCTGATCAATTCAAACCCCTAACATAGACTGACAGTTTTCAGGAAAACTTGGCCTAATACAAATCAAATTTCCAATACTAGACTGGCCAGCCAAGTATTTAGAGTTTAATTTATTAAGTGTTTTTCCCCCTCAAAGCATGATTTCATGGAACTTGATAAACTTTAAAATAGCTTCTTTTAAAAAATAATTATGGGTGTTACATTGAGATTAATCAAAATGATATCTCAGTTTTGTGTTACACTTGCATGTCTTTGGAAAGTGGAGGAGCATGACCTCCAAACTGATAGTTTGATTCACATTCTGGTGCCTGTTTTGATGATATCTCCATTTTGTTCTCCAGATATATATTTCTAATGTTTTAGCTAAGTCTTGTAATTCTTGCAGGTTTACATCATCCTTAGAATAGTGTAGGTAATAAAATAAATGAGATGAAATTGCAGAGTCTTAGTATGATATAATCTTAATAAAACCCGAGTCTATCCATCATTCTACACTCAGCAGAAGTTGTACAGACGCTCCATAAAATCCCTCTCATGCTGGGATGCACACTATATTTGTTGAGGTGATAAATTAAAATGATCAGATCAGTTTTAATTGTGCATGCATGTCAAGATGAGGCAAGGATTAGATATAATGCTCAAAAATTTATTTATGTAATCAAACTAGTTTATCAGTTGTAAAGTTGAGAAATGAATAAAAAATTGAACATTGTGAAGGTATGAGGGAATTCTGGACAATTTATTGCTAAGCAGCATGGGGCTCTGGAAGCTGGATGTTGGCAGGTGTATCTGCAGGTTATTTTTGGAGCTGTTTGCGTAATTAAGCATATTTTTTCTGTCGTCAGCCTCCCCTTATGATGTAATGGTTGATGTCAGGTTCTTCCAACTGTGTTCAAAGTAAATGGTCCAAGATGGCCAATGTATGTCCTTGCAAAATCCATCCAATTCTCTCAGATTCCATACAACCTGTTCATTTGACTTACTGGTGTAATTGAAGACAGTTTTATGGAAATGTTTTTCTTTTACTTTCATGAAGTGTCCTTGTTTGCTCCTGAAAGCAAGCTTTGAAAATCCACAGACAAATGAGAGTTTGGTTTTAATTTATATAATCTCTTACTGCAACAATTACATCACACGGTAACACATCCCCATTCTTAAGCACATTCCCATTACAAAGCCACTGGTTATTTGTACCCCTGGCATGTGCATAAACAAACTCAAGAGATTTCATATGTCTACAGATCAGAGCTATTTATGTGGAGGTTTTTTTTTTTGCTGGATCTTGGAAAAAAAGGTGTGCATAAGACATCATTTCAGATTATATAAGACAGTTTGATGTCTTGGTGCTTTCTTGTTGCATAATCAGCCTTTAACCAAAGTTATGATGCGTACTTTTATGATATTGAAAAGAATTGCTATTATCATCAAGAGAATGTCACAAATAGCCAAAAAATCATCATCCACTTTCAAGTTAATTGACAACAAAACATTCTGTATCATGATTATTTGTTGGCAAAAAGGGAGAGAGAAAAAAAAGAAAGAAACTGGCAGCAATCAGTTTTTACTTAATGGTTATAATACACCTGGATATTATATACATAAAGATAGCCATCATGATGTGGAATGAAGGTAGAAATAACTGTATCTCTGAACACATCAAGATGAGGGAAGTAGGTCTCTAGTTTATCTGATTGTCTCAGCTATCCTGGCTTCTTCGTTAGTACAGTAATTAACAACAATGTCAGCAGCTTTGTCATCTATTAACAGATTAACAGGTCTGAAGGTCACCAGATATTTGACTTTTCAGTGCAGACTCCCTGACATGGATAAGGTGACCTTTTACTATCTTCATATATGTTGGGGATACTCTTCCTTGCTCATAAAAATCAATACTGATTATAAATCATAATTCTTTAGAGGGCTTTTTTGATAAGGTCAGGGCCAATCTTTCATCAGTAACTAAATGTGGATCACTTTCTAGTCCATGTAGTTCAAGTAAAAGCTGTTTACTCTGAGTGTGGGTGTATGGCCTGTATTTGTCACACCCAGTTTTTCCTGTTCTCTATCTACCTAGGTATAAGACATGAACCCCTTATAAATAGAATCTTTCCCATTTAAATGTCCCAATAAATCTCTAACTTATCGGAGATGTAAAATGTGAAGAGCTTTGTACACAGGTTCCTCATGTGTGAAGACCCAACTCACAGGCATTCAATTTGCAAGAAAACAAGAAAAATGTTTCATGTTGATTAAGGATAGGATCATATTACTTGTTTCTTTGTGACTGTTTTGCTTATTGATTATAAGCCTATTCTTATCTATAGATTTTTGACATCAAATAAGATGGCAGTAATGCATGATGTGTATTGTGTGAATTATTTAAATCACTACTGAAGGTCTTTTAATAAAAGCTTCATTATAGAAAGAGCAGAATGCTTATTGTACTGAGATCAGGGACAGAGAAGAAATCACAAACAATTCAAACACTGTGATATGTACCGGCTATCAAGAAATTACCAATATAAATTTAGGAATTGAAAAAAAAATCTCATTAACAATAAACTTAATTGTGGCAAAAACATTATAAGTTCAAAGCTCAATGTACACAAACAGGAAATATCATGTTTTTGTGAATTTCAGACACAGAGAACAAATATTAATCAAGTTTTATCATAAAAATGTTGACTGCTTATTAAGCAAATGAAGAGAAAGATCTAAAAATTGCAATGTACTTAACATTATTATTCGGAACATAAATTCTTTTTAGATATCATAATCAAAGTTTTGAAAATATAAAAAGAATATCAAAACTGTATTTTAAGAAATGTGTCATGAAAGTAAGGTTGTTGCTGTGTGTGTGTTTTTAAAATAATTTAAGCATGCAAACAAAAAAGTGTTTTCATAATTACAGATATGAAGTAATTACTTTAGATAAAGATGGACTGTTAAAAATTAATTTTTCTAATTTTAGTAAAGGAATAAAATAAGTACTGGTACTAAGCTTTACTTTGGAGTAAGTTTATAAGAAATGTTTTCAAAATGCTGTTTCTGAATGCTGTGAATGATAACTTGGATAAATTGATTCTTTTTTTACTGTACAGGAAAGATTCGGGATGAAATGATGGACACCGAGACAGAAAAGACACCATTGCAACAGAAACTGGACGAATTCAGCCAGCAACTCTCAAAGGCAAGTTCTCATCGGCCCACAAGTGGCTTATTATAGCTGCATGTTAGATTCTATTTACACTGGTGGCAGCTGCAGAAATTTATTACCTTAAAATATATTACACTTATGCAAAACTAGCATCAGATTTTTTACATGTGTGAATGTTCATGTAAAGAAAATTAATTTCTTTTCATCAGTATAAAAATAGGTTGTGGCAGATTTTTGATATGTAATTGAATTATTTCTGTCAAAGTTTTCATGCCAAAATGGCTTTATATTGGAGGCAGATAATGCTTTGATTTAATTTGACTTATGTAACAGATAATTGATTGGTATCTACATGGATTATATATCTGAATCCATTGCTATCTTTACAGGTGATCACAGTTATTTGTGTGGCTGTATGGGCTATTAACATCGGCCATTTTAACGATCCCGCCCATGGTGGATCATGGATCAAGGTGACCTATTCTTGCACTTAATTTTAATTAAGGCTCTGTATTTTGTATTCAGGGTGTTTCTTGTAAAAATTAATATGTACCAGACCATACATGCATTTTTAGTTCAGCATAGGATTGTTTTGATACCCCATGTTTGAAGGAGTTATGAAACAGAAAATGTGTTTTTTCAAAACATACATAAGAGATATCAGAATCAACATGGTTATTTAGCAAAATAGTTCTGCAGTTTCTTTTAAAAAAACAGTTAAATGATTTTAATGGATGAAGTTTGTAAACATGGTCTTGTTTCTTTAATCAAGGAACTTTGTATTGATTTAGAACCTCCCTGGTTGATGTGGGTTTACCTTTGATGTGTTTACTTTACAGGGAGCCATCTACTACTTCAAGATTGCCGTCGCTTTGGCTGTGGCTGCCATCCCGGAGGGTCTACCAGCTGTCATCACCACTTGTCTGGCTCTGGGTAAGGGCCCCACCCACCATACCAACCCCCACCAAACATTTCCATCCCACCCAGGGGCTAGACATTCAAATTTCAGAAAAAAATTAAATAATTGGTTTTGTTTTAATGAGTAAATATCTAAATCCTTAGATTTGTACTTGTGTACAAAATTTTGGCCAATGATGCATGAATCATGAAATAATACTTTAATATACATGTAAGTAACAGGTACTCCATCAATTTGTAACTTCAGTATGTTCAGAAAACTGCAGTACGTGTATCAATTCTGTTCTTATGAAGGAAGTCTTTTACTAATGTAGTGAGTGTAATAAGTTTATGTTGAATGTTAATTGTGTTATGGTGTACTATAGGAACCAGGAGAATGGCTAAGAAGAATGCTATTGTCAGAAGCTTGCCTTCTGTGGAGACCTTAGGTTGTACCTCTATTATCTGCTCAGATAAGACAGGCACACTGACGACTAACCAGATGTCTGTCTGTAGAGTAAGTTAGAATAGAAAATAACCATATTAGCTGGTAATGTGGTATTGTGGACTGTGGACAGCAAATATTATAGAGATTTTTTCTCTTGTAGATGTTCTTGTTTAATAAGATTGAGGGAAATGATATCAAGACTGACCAGTTTGAAATCACTGGATCCACCTATTCACCAGATGGAGACTTGTAAGTTGACATACAGTTTAAATAAAAGATGTGAGAGAGGAGACAAACAAAGCTGTTACTTACAGGAAATCTGATTGATTCTGGAAATTTTAATGATTGTGCTTGATGTAGGGAAATCTGTACTATTGTACAGTGTGTGTTAATTATTTTACTATAATTGCTAAAACTGAGAGTGAAGTTTAAAGAACTGCAATTGCACACTTTATATGTAAGGGGTTTGCTGAGTTAATAAAGAAAAGGGAAATAAATCTTAAAATATGTGCTTTGGATTTAACAGATATGTGGGCAGTAAGAAAGTGAAAGCGTCTGAATACCCAGGACTGGAGGAAATGGCCACAATTTGTGTGATGTGTAACGATTCCAGCGTGGACTATAATGAGGTGAGACTAATCACAGGAGAACTCTGTAATGGTTGATAAGTCATTCAGAAAAAGATTTTCAAGGTGGTCAATTTTTTTTTTCTGTAAATAATTAGATATGGCAAGAAAACCAAAGGCAATAATTTGAAACCTTGTTTTGTTGTAATCAGTTATGCAGTGTTTTTGGTGCAATATTAAAGATTCAGTGCTCTACAAGAAGATATAACAATATAACAATTGTTTTAGGCTAAGGATACATATGAAAAGGTAGGGGAGGCAACTGAGACAGCCTTGATTGTTCTGGCGGAGAAGATGAACTACTACAACACAGACAAAAGCAACCTGAACAAACGAGAGAAAGGAACTGCCGCTGCCCACGTCATCCAGCAGATGTGGAAGAAAGAGTTCACACTGGAGTTCTCCCGTGACAGGAAATCCATGAGTGTGTACTGCTCGCCAAACAAACCCTCCAAAGCAGGAGGGGCCAAGATGTTCTGTAAGGTAAAGAGAGTAGAAGTCGTAAGAGGCTGTACTAAAGATTAAATGGAATGCAAAATTATCTTGGGACAGATCAGATATAAAAAGTAATCATCAGAAAATTGTGCTTGATTTTGAAGTAATTTTAAAATGGTTTTTTTTTTTACACATTGAGATGATACATGTAGTTGTTGTTGTGTGTACTTGCAGGGTGCCCCAGAAGGTCTGTTAGACAGATGTACTCATGTTCGAGTCCAAGGAAACAAAATCCCAATGTCACCTGCTATCAAAAATGAAATCATGAAACATGTGAAATCCTATGGAACTGGTCAGTACTTGATTACATAGTCATGATACACGGATTATAAAGATCAATACTTATCACAGAAAAACGAACAAACATTTTATCATTTTTTTTTCTTTTAAAATGTTTGTCATTGAATTTCCCTATAAGCTGAAATTACTGAATTCCAAAATGAACTAATTCCTCATAGTTTTTTTAATGATTTTTTCTTTAAATAATCTACCCTTTGTTAAACTATAATCAGTGCTTTTTCATATATCACACAGTTGTATTATAGCTTGTAGTTGTATATTGACTGTGTGTTTGTAGGTCACTGCTTGTTCATATATCACACAGTTGTATTATAGCTTGTAGTTATACATATTGACTGTGTGTTTGTAGGTCAGTGCTTGTTCATATATCACACAGTTGTATTATAGCTTGTAGTTATATATATTGACCATGTGTTTGTAGGTCGTGACACCCTGAGATGTCTTGCCTTGGCCACCATTGATAACCCACCCAGGAGAGAGGATATGGACTTAGAAGACTCTAGAAAATTCATCCAATATGAGGTCAGAGGAAGGGATGTTAACATAACATTCATAATCAACATTTTCTCTTTGTATAAAAAACAGACTGGAGAGAGATGTACATAAAACTCAAAGACAACATTTTCTCTTTGTATAAAGAACACTCAACAGACTCATTTGATAACATTTCTTGTTACAAGCATTTAGAATCATTTTAGAGACAGATTTACTTTGTTGAAGAGTTAAATTTTAGCATCTGTTTTATGTAGACTAACATGACATTTGTTGGAGTGGTAGGAATGTTGGATCCACCCCGTAAAGAGGTTATGTCCTCCATCAAGGAATGTAGAGAGGCTGGTATCAGAGTCATTGTCATCACGGGAGACAACAAGGTTAGAAACAAATAAGGAGGGGCACTGACAAACAAAGAACATATCTAGGATTGAAACAAATTTTGTAAATTTTTTTGATTAAAGGAAAGGATGCTTTGTGTAAAGAATGATACTGCTATTGTCTTCTTTTTTCTGGGGACTTAAAATTTTGTGGTAAAAGGAAAAATGTGAGTTTTGGAAGATGGCGCTTTTCAAATATTGAAAGATATTTTTCATGATATAATTTATATATTAGCAGTTTATTTGTGGGATTATTTTTTAGTACACTAATTTGACAAAAAAAAAAAAGATATTCTTTTGAAAAATGGAACCCTATCAGTCTGACCAATTTTGAAAATAATTTTATTATTCTTAATTATTGCAAGTTTAGTTGGAGAGTCACTAGAACAAGAAATCACAATTATACTTTGTTTTAGGCTACTGCAGAAGCAATCTGTAGGAGAATCGGTGTATTTGGAGAAAATGAATCCACTGAGGGCTTATCCTATACTGGTCGTGAATTTGATGACCTTTCTCATGAGGAGCAGAGGGCAGCTTGTATGAGAGCTAGACTATTTGCGAGAGTGGAACCCACACATAAGAGCAAAATCGTAGAGCACCTGCAGGCCGAGGGAGAAGTCTCTGCCATGGTTTGTCCCAGTATTATAATTCAGCATAATGTTCTACTTAAGCGGACATGTCAATTACCCCCAAATGAATGTTGTCAATGGACACATCTAAAAATTTCATTTGAAGTTGTTTAAAATACATTTATGTTTATGGTTCTCTTTACTATGGTTTTGATTTGAAATTGTAGTTATAAATGTAGGCGTACAATTATAAATGTAGGCGTATAATTATAAATATAGGCACACAGTTATAAATGTAGGCATAAGTACAACAATCTTGAAAGAAACATTTTGATATTCTTAAACTTTGACCAGAACAAGATATTTTTCTATTTGTTAACAGACTGGTGATGGTGTAAATGATGCCCCTGCCCTGAAGAAAGCTGAGATTGGTATTGCTATGGGCTCTGGAACTGCTGTGGCAAAGTCTGCTTCAGAAATGGTGTTGGCTGATGACAACTTTGCCACCATTGTATCAGCGGTCGAAGAAGGTCGTGCTATCTACAACAATATGAAACAATTTATTAGATACCTGATCTCGTCAAACATTGGAGAGGTTGTATGGTATGTTGATTGAGAAAAATAATTAACCTTTGCAAGAAAATGTCTTTATGCAAACAATAGCAGATGAAGTGATTGTTGTCATAGAGAGAGCTGTGTTGTAAAGCTTTTGCAATAAATGTCTAAGTATTTGGAAAATAAATATGTTTGGTAGCACTAAATAGACATCTGAAAAATGAAATATGACTGTTGACAGTATTTTCTTGACTGCTGCACTGGGAATCCCTGAGGCTCTGATCCCTGTACAACTGCTGTGGGTCAACCTGGTCACCGATGGTTTCCCAGCAACTGCTCTTGGATTTAACCCACCTGACCTTGACATCATGAAGAAACCACCCAGAAACTCCAAGGAAGGCCTGATCACCGGCTGGCTTTTCTTCAGATATATGGCTATTGGAAGTAAGTGTGCAACAAGATTGTGTCTACAGGTTAAAGGGCATTTTCTGGGTGAAATTTTGCTGTAAAACTTGTAGAAAAAATATTTTTGTTGGTAATATGTTAAGACTTGGTTTATGAATGTTTATCTTTCAGTTTATGTTGGCTGTGCTACTGTTGGTGCTGCTGCCTGGTGGTTCATGGTGTACGACCAAGGCCCACAACTCAACTATTACCAACTTGTAAGATATTCAGCACTTGCTTTGATTGTGTTCACTTGTTGAATAATGAATGATTTATGGTAATTTTTACCACTATATCTGTAATATTTGTTATGCATTTTTATAACTGCTGTTCTTTATTTCAGGGTCATTCATCATTCATGTCATTATTTTATGACTTTGTATTAAGTATTGATATTTTATGAGACCTCTAACCCTTACAGACTCATCATATGCAATGTCCAGCAGAACCAGGAATGTTTAAGGGTGTAGACTGTCATATATTCAATGACCCTCATCCTATGACAATGGCTTTATCAGTCTTAGTCACAATAGAAATGCTGAATGCTCTCAACAGGTAATCAATCACTACCCACAGTTCTGACACACAAACACACACACAGGGTCCCCCCACTCCTTCATATCATCATACTTAAAATGAATGTGGAAGGCTTTAAGAAGCTTAGCATGTTCATTCTACTCATCATCATTATCAGGCAAAGCTAAACATCTTGCTTATTTCTTGTTGAGGATGTTATAGTTATAAGATGAAAATTACTGTAAGCAGGATGTTGAGTTTGCCACCCTATCTGCTCTGTCAATCCTTGCACTTACTTTGACCTCCCTCTGTCTCCCATACACAGACCCACCATTCCCAGTGTCTGGCCCAGGATGAAATGTTTAAAGGGGTGGATTGTGAAATCTTTGACAGCCCTCATCCCATGACCATGGCTCTCTCTGTCCTTGTTGTCATAGAGATGCTTAATGCCCTCAACAGGTAAGGAGCACGGCAACTCAGGAAGTGCTTATTTCTTACGACAACTGTCGCCATATCAGCAGTTGTCTTAGCAGCCATTAGTTACCATAAGGGGATGCTTGTTGTCTATATAAGGAATGAATTCTGATTTCTGAATGTGAGAAATAATTTGTAAAGTAAAACACAGCATGGTACCTGTACTACAGAGGAGCAGGGCTCTCTTGTTAAAGTATTGAGTAGATATGATGGATGGGGGTTACAGATATTTGGGTAGCGGTGCATCCTCTTGTGGTACAGGCTGTCTGGGAGCAATTCCTGCATGTTGCTAATCATGTGTGCTCCTTATTTGTTATCAGCCACACCTACATTGTCAGGAGTCCTTGTCATGGCATTTTACAAAATAACTGCATGTCACATTACAAATATATACATACAATGCATTCATTTTAGTTTAGAGATATTATTTTGAAAGCTTATTAACTGCAAGCCAAATGTTTTTTGAAAAAGAAATTATTTGTTTGATATTTATGATAAATGGATTTGAGACTTGGAAGTTGTTGAATTCTGTATAATGTGTGCAAGTTTTGAAACTATACATATTTGAAGTAGTTTGCATGAAAAAGTTTTAAAACATAAGTTATCTTGAGTTTTTTAACACTAAAGCTAAAGATAGTTATGAATGATATTAAGTGAGTGTGTATATTTTGAATCCATGTCTAACATCAGCATTTAAAAAAAAAAATTAAAGCATATTCATTAAAATTGTGCTGGAAAGCACAGAATAGTAGTTTGTAGATGTGATAAATATCTTTGTTCTCCATTTACTGATATTAAATCGTTTGTTTTGTTCAGCTTGAGTGAGAATCAGTCCCTACTGGTGATGCCCCCATGGTCAAACAAATGGCTTATTGCAGCCATCGCTCTCTCCATGGGCCTCCATTTCTTCATCCTGTATGTGGACTTTATGGCTGTAAGTACATCTGTACTAGTGGGCAGTTTAACATTATGTCATTAAGTTTATTATGGACATAGGCAGGACACTTCCTGATATTCTCTCTTGTAGTATTTGGTCACATTCAATAATTTTTAATGATGAAATGTAGATCAGGACATTTTTTTTTCCTTGTCTGCAACTTTAATCATGGTCAAGATGTTTAAGACCATTTGATTAAAGATTTTACATTTGATGCTCATCAAGGCAACAGCTTTATATCATGAAGGTTAAACAAGAATGATGACATCTTGGTCACTGTGTGTCACACATTAAATTAACTGTTGTATGGGTAAATTAGATAATTTTATGACATATTACAAGAATTCTAAGAATCTTGGATTACAGTGTCATTTTAAGGTCACTATATTTATTTCTGTGTACTGTTTACTAGATGCGTTACATAATGTCAGTGAGTAAATTTTAAGTGGAATGCTTCTTCTTTCAAATTTGCATCAAAACATCTTGCTGCATGTAATGTTTGCTGCAGAAATATTTATTCATAATTAAACCAGAACTTTCTAGAGCAATTGAAACATCTTCAAATGCTAATGAGGCATTATATATACAATATATGTATAGTCATTGATAGCAAAGACATTTAGTTTACCAATTTAAACATTTTGACACAAATCACTTTTCGCTATTTCAGTAAAAAACAAGATGTGTTTGTGAAACACTGATGCCCCCGTATGACAACTTATAGCAAAGGTTAAACTTTCTCAAATGCAAATCAAATATGTTGATACCCAAAGTAAGGTCTTGTCTCGAGGAATAAACCTGTGAAATATGAAAGGCTTAGCAGCAACCATTGAATAGATATGGAAAAGGTTAAAGTTTTTTTCAAAAGTATGTCAAACATCAAGGTCAAGGTCAAATAGTGCCAAAGGAAAGGCCTTCTCCCAAGAAATACAGAGGTGAAATATGAAAGCCGAAGTACCAATCGTTCAAAAGTTATGGCCAAGGTTAAAGTTTTCCAAAAGTAGGTCAAATTCCAAGGTCAAAGGGTCAAAGCTGTTGGTATCCAAAGAAAGGTCTTGTCACAAAGATTACAGATGTGAAGTATGAAAGCCCTAGCACCAACTGTTCAGAAGTTATGGCCAAGGTTTAAGTTTTCCAAAAGTTGGTCAAACTCCAAGGTCAAAGGGTCAAAGTTGTTAGTATCCAAAGGAAGGTCTTGCCACAAGGATTACACATGTGAAATGTGAAAACCCTAGCACCAACTGTTCAAAAGTTATCGCAAAGGTTAAATTTTTCTAAAGTTGGTCAAACTCCAAGGTCAAGGTCAAAGTTGTTGGTATCCAAAGGAAGGTCTTGTCACAAGGATTACACATGTGAAGTATGAAAGCCCTAGCACCAACCATTCAAAAGTTATGGCCAAGGTTAAAGTTTGGTAAAATTTTGCAAAACTGGGTGAGACTCCAAGGTCAAGGTCAAAAGGTCATATATGGTGGTACCCAAGGAAAGGTCTTGTCATAATGAACACTCATGTCAAATATTAAAGCCTTACCCTTGACAGCGAAATAGTTATGGACTAGATTTAAAATTGACAACAGACAGACAGACAAACAGACAAAAACAATATACCCCTGGGATCTTTCGATCCAGAGGCATAAAAACAATTCTAAAGAATAATTGTTTTGATTTTTATATATTTTCAAGCCAACATTTTAGGATTTTTTATTCTATGCTCTATTGGTACACATTTGAGACAGCTTGTGCCCTCTTAAACTACTGCAGACTCAAATTTCTATTATGCTCTGACATTATGTAATCTTCTCCTAGTCATATGAAGGATCATGCTAAAGAAATATATCATATGTGCAGAATCATTTCACTGTCAAATTGCTCAAGCAAATAAAGAAAGGTGCATATGGTATATCACATTCATATATTGACTCACTATCATCTTTTTGTACTAGGAAGTGCTACGTTTGCCTAGTATATCATCTTTAGAATATCTCTGTGTCCTCATAGATTATCATACATTTAATAATCTTTGTATTCTTTTTACAGACCATTTTCCAGATTACTCCTTTGAACTTGGCCGAGTGGATTGCTGTATTGAAGATCTCCTTCCCTGTCATAATTCTGGATGAAACTCTCAAGTTTATTGCCCGCAAATTCACTGACGGTAATTCCTCCGTTGTTCTAGAATTATCAGTCCTTGTGGGAGTGTGGGCCGTGTATTTAGGAATGATGATTCTTATTCCTATATGATGATGGAGAGACTTAAGTGTTAAATCATATCCCCCCGTTTTTCCTCCCATTAACATGATTTTTGACATGTGATAACATCCCTCGTACTGAACTCATGTAGAAAACCTCCACCAAATATCTCTCTCTCCTAGTCAGCTTACAAATTTAGGAATTTTGAGAGCTCATTGTTCATTTTGTAGACAAAAACATGAGAACAATTTAAACACTCAAAGATTTCCTTAATGAAGGCATTTTCCCTTGTTGACAGAAATTATTTAATTTGACATATTTCAAATTAGGGATCTTCTCATAGAATCACATTTATTCAAATGCCTCAGAGCATTTAGAGCCTTAATTATATATTCATATATTCTCATTGTTAGAGTGAAATGAAGTATTGTTTTTAGGTATTTGGAAATGTGTTGTAATTGTAATGCAGTGTCGTACATAAATCCAAGCTTAGATACATGTATATCGGACCAAAAAAAAAAAGGAAAAATATCTGTTCTATTTAAGTCCTGGATGATTTATTATTATTTAGCAAATAAGTACATAAAGGAATTTCTTTGTCTCTGTGAAGTATTTGTTCATATTTCAGAATGCAACAAAGTGTGTAGTTAAATGCATGCATTCAGTTTGTGTCACCTTCATCTTTTGCTCTCATCTTAGGAACTCTGGGAAAACAAGCTCAATATTTGAACAAATTTTCTTAATTTAATGATTTTCAAATGGACTAATCGTCAGATACTAAGTACCATACCATATCCTCATTGCATTAATAGAACAAACTTCATCCTTTCATTACCAATGTGAATTTCCCTGAAGATTTAGTTTAGAATTTGGAATCTTAGTACTGAATTGCATGCCTCTCTGCACCTCCTCTTGTCCGCCTGTGGTCTTTTGTTTGTTTAGTGTCCAGTAGACTAAGCTTGGGTTTTTTGTATACCTGCATCAGCAATGGAAATTGATCTGTACTGATAGATTTTCATTGGTTTCCATTGTATGTAAACTATACCCTTTTCACTTTTTGAACTTTGTAATGGGTGTGTTATGCATTGCACTGCATTGCTAAATACTTGTAATATATGAATGAGAAAATGGAACTAATTCGTGCAACATTTTGATCAGACACCATGATATGATGAATTCCCAGTTTCTTGTCACTTGATATTGTAATAAAACACATAGAACAATAACAAGCTTTTTAACATTAATACATTTTAATGTGTACTTCCAAACTTAAAGAATTTTTTTTAACATAACTATAATAATGTTTAACATCATGCTGAGTAATTTTCCACTATGAAGGCAATGCATCTGTATTGAAGTAATGAGGCTTTAGCATAACTACCCAACAGGTGTTTCCCCTCCCCACTTCCTGTGGTTTATATTTCTTACCTTAAAACACAACTATCACCTAAAAAGGATTAGGGATAAGGTTACTTAACTTTTGAGTTAACAGGTGATGTGTTTAATTTAAAATTTCTTCAGAAACATCTATTTAATGGCATTTTCATTTTCTTTCCTTTGGTGAGGGCTTTTTCTTTAATCTTTAGGTGGTAGTTGTGTGTTAATTAAACTCTTGTAACTATGGGATGAGTGTTTATGCTTGTTTAACTGAAAACTAAATTTTTCAGTGGATGGTTAACTTCCATAAGAAAAGAAAAATAGGTAAAATTGACAAAATATTGGCAATCTTCTATCTACTGTAATCAAAGCATGCAAAACTCTCAACAAGAGAAGACTAGCTAGAAAGGTAAACCAGGAACAAAAAGTAGGAACTGTATGTAAGAGCTCTTTCTTCTCTTTTCTGAAAATTGGTCAACCATCTCTTGGCAGTGCTGCACTATACTATTTTTAATTTACTGTCTGAATTCTCAGTGAAATCCACAGTAGCCAATCATTGTAGAAATCTCTTAGAGCATTCTGAAGCTGTCATGCAGTGCATAGGCCGAGGGATGGTGCAACTCTATGCAGGGCTTATGTGCTCTCTGGTCAGTCATATACGTCTACATGAAATGGGCAATTTTAATGTATTTATTAACAGCCTCTTTGAGGTTCATTTGTCATTCCATTTGTATCTGTGCTGTAATATTGTAAGCCTGCAAGGGACTGATTCAAGTGATCATGTAAATGAAAGTGATTTTTTATTAAAAATTACAAAACAATGGCATGGTGTGTGTGTTTAGCTTTATTTCAGGGAAAAGAACATCTTCTGATATCTTTTTTTTTTCTTCCTGCTTTGTACTAAAGCATGTTTCAGCATACAGTACTAAAGCTTGGCTTATGTTAGAGGCCATATTAGACTTCTGTATACTCAAATATATATATATATATCTAGGTATTATCTAGGTATTATTAATTCTCATATATGTGTAGTATGGTTTTATTAATCAACTATAGCATGGTATCTGGCGAGTTTCAGAAAACTGCACCCCATTTTCATCCATTAATTGCATGTGTTCATGCTGAAAGCCCATTCACTGCGAATTGTGATATTGATTGGAAAACCATACAATATACTGGAATCTTTCAGACCTTCGTTTGAACACTGATTGACTTCCAAGATGTTATAGAGCTGTCATAAGATCTCACTTTTGTATACTGATATTTATGGGCCCTCTTTTGATATGACTCTAGAAACAATCTTTTATACTAGGTAATGTTATGTTTTTCCTTTTCTTGCTACCATAAATTAATGAAAAAGGTAAATTCATTTTGTTTTATAAGGCAGATGATTTCTTGATATACCATGTAATGGGAAATTTCTGTAGCTAAACTTTTGTTTTTATTTACACTCATGTACATTACTAGTTGTCTTAAATTTTGCATTTATCTCCACATAGAAAAATCAAAATTGACAACATGATAATTGTAATTTTTGCAATTTCAGTGACTGTAATAAAAATACAGAATTTAGATATACCAATTTAGTTACGTGCGACACAATACTACAAAATTGGACAACTTCAGAAATTACCCATCATACGGTACTTTATTAAAGCGCACGAATTCGTTAACGTGTATTGACTTTTTTATTGGTTGCATTTGGTTCATTTTATTTTGTATTTAATCTCGATATTTTTATACTTACACATGTTTTATTATTATCATTTTGTCTTCTTAACGCTGCAGCTGGTTGCACTGATCTCTAAATGGTAAATTTTGAATAATATTCCAAATTATTGCTGTTGTCGGTGTTCACTGTGGGAATTTTCTCTTTCATAACTTTAAATTTTATTAATATTAAATTTCCAACAAACCAATAGGAAGGGATTTATTTCGTCCGAAGTCTAATGAAAATATAACGAATTACCGATGTGACTTATGTTATATTTAAATATGAGAATTGTAAACATTAAAATTACCAGACACAGTATTTGCGAAGGTATATTGTCTTCCTACAACAACTTAAGACGGTACAGTTGATCGGTTTTCACTTTAGCACGATATCCACAGAGTTGATTGGCTTCACCATTCACAACCAAATCTTCATTGACCACCATATTTGAATGTGAACACCAATTTGGTTATCTCTTGCATGAACTTTTACGTGTTGTTTGCATGTCTCTGTAATAATGTGTTTATAATAAATATACATATAATGAGATAACCAAGTTAGAATTGAATTTTGACAATTGTGGTCCTATTTTCAGACTACCCAAATTTCTTCTGAACTCGTTCCCCCCATCTTCGGCTTACAGTATGACGGAGCCTTTAGTGCCAGAATATGCACCAATCTGGACGCTTTTAGACATCATTTGAGTGTTCCGTCCAAAATTACTCAATTTTAGTCTGGTATCTTGCTACGAAGCGAGCTCTCCTAGGCATGAAGGGCATACAAAGTATTGCACGTTAGCAGACTACAGTTGATAATCACTGGATGACGTCAAAATAAAACATGGCGGATAAACAGTTTCTTTCTTAGCGACTGATAGAGAGTCTGTGAACCGTTTGTAGAATGACTGTAAATTTCAGTTGTAAATGTGTAATATTATTGTTATTTATTTATAACTATATGGCATTATTTTATCTGCTTGAAATAGTTGTAGTAACAATTTGTAGTCTTGTATGTTTTATACTTTTTACATTAGTATGCTCAAATAATGAAACAGCATTTGGAGTAGGTGCTTGCAAATATCATGTTAAGAGAGTCTTGCAGTTTTATGTACAGATTTAGGTTTTGCATGGGGGACAAAGTGCTGTTTGCGCATATTGTGACGTTTTCTGGAAGTTCAGTGCACCGTTGACTGCAAAATGTGCAATGTGACGCTCGAATGTAGTACATAACATTTGTGTTCTCTTAAATATGTCGGAAATCTAATTTTACGACCCAATTTTACAGTCCAAAACGTGGAACTAGACCCATACAAGAAATATAGGTAAAGATCAGGACAGTTTGAAGGATTGCAACATTCGGTTTCCGTAGAAAATCCGCCATGTTTCATAGTTATAATGTATAAACAGTTACCTCCCTTCCATGGATTGAAAATCCTGGCGGCATTAAGGTGAAATGTCTTGGAAGAGATCCGACAATCACTTCGAGCCAGGAAATTATTTCGAACACTCTTGAGAAACAGTACCTCTTTCTTCCATTTCAACGAAGATGTGTGACGTGTGTGATTCTGTAGTTTAGACTCCAAATTGATATATTTTATGCAAAAGTGTTTTTATCATTGAATGAATGTTCAGGCAGGTCAATTGTCATTGTGAGAGAACTGGTAACATTATAGTCGTTGTTTACTTTGTCAACACCACGGAATGTTGACAAACTAAGTGACTTTCATTGTGTGAATGATGTTAGTTGTTGAACATTTTTTGAATATTTATCTATCGTCTCCCATAACAACTGGCAACTAGTTCTGTATCCTCAGTGCAGTGTTGTTAACAACTAGTTGTAACTCGATGTAATTGACAAGGCCGAATTGACATCCGATTTGTTGTTTTGAGAGATAGCATGTGCGGATTCATGTGGTCAAGTATAAAACTCTCAACAGGAAGTTTGGCAATCGTATACACTATCGAAAACTTTTGTGTATACCAGTAGAAACATTCCAGAAATTTAGAAAATCTGCGACAGATCTAGGAAATAATTATTTTATCGAGAAACTAAAGGCAGTTTGACACTGGAATTCAAACAGTTAAAAGAAAACTGAAACAGTTTATTCATCGCTATTGTGCTGTTCATACCACTGAAATCCCTGTTTGATCCAATCCCCATTACCTCAAGCATTGCCATGAGTAGCCCTCCTCGTCACCGATCACGAGGTTATCATGTGATCACAATGAAATCCTGAAGAAGAGTGAGCTGCTATAAAGAGTCGAACGTGTATTGTGGTTAATTAGTGTTGTTTGACTGGTGTAATTGACTCCTTAAAATGGCAGCATTTCCCAAGGACTGCCAGTTTCCCGTAGAAATAAATTTACTATTTTGTTTGTATTTGACTGATGTTTTCATTTTTTGAGGGGTCAGAAAAAAAAAATTGAAAATGGAACATGTTCGTGTTCGATTACTTGAACTGTGCGATTAAATCCTGTGTCTAGCATATTTTCCACTATGATAAAATCTGTCATATTAGTAAGAAGCAATCAAGATTTATAGTATAATTTGTCTCATACAAATATTCTAGCTGTCATGAGTTTGCAGTAAGGATATCAATGATATCCGAGAACAAAAAAGAAAAAAAAAGGAAACAAGATTTATTTGTAAAGGACCAGTAACCCAAACTTTCTCTAGTTGTATTTCGTAACCTTGTCACCTTGTTCTTGTCTCTATCTTGTTACCATATTACATTTTTTTAAATTCACGGACAGTGCACATTCTATGATTTGATTTGAACATATTTTATTGCTTAACACAAAAGGATCAGAAACAAGTTCCTACAACTTACAAGTTCTTCTCCTGGTGTTAGTAACGTTAATACAGTTAGTACAATTGTCACAATAATAACATAGTAAATAATGTTGGCAAGTGACATAGATAAATTGAAATGTTAATTAAATCTTTCAGATTCATTAATAAATTTATGAACTGCTGAAAAAAAAAAAAACAGTTCATATCATAAGACAAAGTATCAGTACCCCCATAACAACAGATGTGTGTCTATTAGAATCGTTTCTTCCAGTCTAAAAAGTTTGTCAAAAAGATTATTTCTTGCTCTTATATATCTTTTACAAACAAAGAAAAAGTGGTAAACATCCTCATTCATTCTGACCACAAATACATTTAGGAGAATCAATAATATTTCGTCTGTAGAGATCATAATTTAGCAAACAGTTGTGTCTTAATTTGGTGTGTATAATATTGATAGTACGTTTACCAAACGAAATATATTTCGGGGGTTTGGTAATTATATCAGTGATATTTTTTTTAAAAGTATTAAGAGAACATTTTATGATCATAACATACATATGTATATACATGTACCAATCTTCCAATTTTACCCTAATATGTTGACGGTGCGACCGTTGGGGCGAGCGCAGTGTTCACTTCATTATTATGATCCGCCTCTTCAAACCGCACGAGACATTTGGAACGTCTAGACTGTGACGTCACATGACGTCGTACGTTAGCTGCATTTCCATAAACAAAGTTTAAAAAGTGCAAATATTTTAACAAAGAACGTTTAATCTACTATCTGCATGCAATATCCATTAAATTAAGGTGAGTTTATTTTGTGTGAATTTTTAGTTGTTGTCACTTCGTGAACGAAGTTAGCAGCGAGAACAAGAAGCGATGCATTGTGGGTCAGAATTACTGCGGAAAAAATTCTATTGAATGAATGTGCAGTAGTCCGAATTTTCTCTTCGCCCAGGCGTTGTCGTTAGAGCTCGCAGTGACGAGCGGCGCTTCGCGCCGCTCGCTGCGCTCGCTATTACAAAGTTATAGACTAAAAAAAGAATAAACTTCCAGTCCCTTAGTCTTTAATAGTATCCAATGCCCCTCAGGTAGGACGAGGGCTTGTAAAATTACCTCAGATCCAAGTATGAGCTGATGACGTAGTATGGACTGGTCAGGAAGTATACATTTCCTAACGCTGTAACTTTGACTCTATCCAATGGATTCGGACATATATCGATCCTTTTCTCCTAACCTATACTTGTGTTAAGTATAATCTAATTTCCTCCACAGAATTATAATTCCGGCAAGAATTTTACAATTCTAGTACATGTGATATTGATCTGGTAGATACAACCCAAAACAATGCAAATATTAAAGGGTAATAATAATGACGCATTCTCAGTACATATTCTTCATAATGAAACTATGCCGCATAATATTCTACGTTATGCAAGAAGAATATTTATGAAAGAAGACAAATAAAAATATTTTGGACCAAGGGTGTATATTAGGGGGAGGGGGGGGGGGCTGTCCACAAGCACTATATATTGACATATATTGACATCATTTCTGAAAGAAAAAAAGAAATTGTCCAAACTCGAAAATCCTATTTCGTGTGTGTGTGTGTTGGGGGGGGGGGGTGTTAGGTTCCAACTTCCTTTCACAACCAAATTTTATCAATACATTACCAAATTACCATGATTTAACTGTGCTACAACAAGGGGGCAGTCTCCCCTCCCCTAATCTCAGCGAGATCCGTAGACACTAAAAATTTTGAAGTCTGCTTCAAATACTTCGCACTATGGTTCATTTCTATAGGAAATAGTAGTAGAACGAAGTCTTTGAAGCAGACTATTGCTGGAACTCTTCAGCATCGGAGGTTCAACGAATAGCTTATTGCTATGAAAAATCAACAACTTTATATTTTGATGGATTTAAACCTTTCAGAGGTAAGAAACGAAAGTTTTATGGTGATAGGGAATTAAAAGGATGTCCAAAGCAAAACGTTGAAGCGGACAGCTAATTCATTTCAGCCTGTATTAATCGAAACAAGCGGTCGAAGTCCGGGCACGAAACCCCGAATGAGATAATGTGACACTGGTCTGAGATCCGTAGAGACAACAGACCAAAATTTTTAGTCTCTACGGATCTCGCTGAGATTACCCCTCCCCCGGCCCTCCCCTGATTGCCTGAGTATCGTTTATTATCTATACATCTTTTTGTTCACTTTAAGCTTAAGCATATTTATACCTACATGTTCTAAAGAAAGTTCGGGTATATTGTTTGTCCGTCTATCACACTATCTTCTTCCTCAAAGTCCTCTTACATTTTCAGCAACAGGCAATTCATCTTTTGGAATATAATAGATGTACATTAAGGTTTTAAAATTTTCTTTTCATCTGGGGGTTGAAAACTGGTGTTTTTATACAAAAGCTTCCTCCAACTTCTCTTAGATTTTTTAAAATCAGCAGCAAATTCACCTTTTGGAATATGATCGATGGTGTCCTGTAGATGTGCAATAACATTAAGGCTTCAGATTTTTTATTTTAACCGTGGAGGCAAATTGGGGGTCGAAAAACAACGTTTTTTCTGCGAAATCTTCCTCCTCCAACTCTTACTTCTAAAGCATCTTCCGGAATATGATAGTAGTGTCCTGTAGATATGGAATACTACAGTAATGAATTTTCATTTTCACCCTAGGGACCGACTGGGGGGAGGTGATGTAAAAAAAGAAAGACATTTTTCTACAAACGATGCATGGTTCCCAGAACTCTTTTTACATTTTATACAGTAGCCAAATCATCTTCTGGAATATGATTGGTGATATCTTGTAGTTGAGCAACAAACTGAGTTTAATTTATTGTCTTTCTAAACAAACTAATTGGGGATTGAAAGCGAAGTTTATGTACGAAACCCGGTCTTTAATTTCATGAAGTAATTGGAAGTTTTTTGATTTTCTTTCTGGGGGCTAATTAGGGTTGGAAAAAAGTTTTTATATAAAGACATGGTTCCAAGAACTCCTCTTATATTTAATCCATCTTTTGGAGTATGATTGGTGGTGTTCTATAGTTGTGCAATGAGGTTCTATCTAGGAGGCCAACTGAGTGCCGAAAAAACGGCATTATAATACTAGATGCTGTCATAAGACGTACGTGTTTGTCTATAAAATTATACTATATTAAACTATATGGAAGAAGCAATAATAGTTATTCCATAATGTATATAAATTATATAGCAAATACATGTATAAAAAATGCTCAGGTGAGCATAAGGCCCGTAGGCCTCTTATGTTAGTTTTTCTTACTTTTTTTTATTAGCAATCTTTTACTAAATGATTTAATGAAGTATAAATTCTTTGTAAAAGGGATCTTTGTAAAGATGATTTAGCTACTGCATAGAAAAAAAAAACACATCGTATTTCGACCTCCATTTGGCCCCAGCGGTGAAAAGGAAAATTGTGAAACATTATTGCATATCTACAGGACATCATCTATCAGATATCGACAGATGAACTGCTGGGTACTTTTTTAGAGGAGTTGGAGGAAGATTTTATAGAAAAAAGAGTTTTTCAACATCCAATTTGCCCCGAAGTTGAAAATGTAAATTTCAAAACTTTATTGTACATCTTTAGAACACCACTAATTATATCCCAAAAGATGCATTGGTTACTGCTTATAATATAGATTGGGGAGTTTGAGGAAGAAGGTAGTATGACAGACGGACCAGGATAACAATACACACGTGTATACCCGAACATTCTTGAGAAAGTACAAGGATAAAAAACACGTCCCCAGAACTACTCTTACATTTTATGTTGACAAATAATTACCAGTGTTGTAAAGTAGGATTTCCTACCCCCCCCCCCCCCCGAGTCTGTACGTTATATTAGGACCCCCTCCCCCGGGAAATCTCACTCGAGAGCAAAAATTTCCCCTCTTTCTTTCTTAGAGTAGGACTTCCCCTATTTAATTAATGCTAAAATTATATCGACAATATATAATTAAAAGTTTGTATGAAAGTCTGATTTTTTTTAATGGAAATATGAGTGTTTTCGACTCAAGAATTATTCAAATTTAGTATAAGAAATCTTAAAATATATAGGTCAAATCACTGAGTCTCAACCAAAAATTGTAACTTTCAGGGAATTTTGTAAAATTAGTAAATAAGTAATAGTAAATTAGTAAATGTATACATGTATATATATTATATATTTAAATAAAATCTCTATATACATATATATAAAATCTCTATATACAGGAACAAAGGAGATTAATTTTACAGACAACCCCTTATGTACAGGTATTACTGTCTTTATGACAGCATCTAGTCTGCTGTTGAATTTCTCTCCATCTTCATGCTGGCGAGAACATTTGTACTAAGATGTTTCTTTTCTGGAGGCAAATCTGAAATGAACATAGAATTATAATAAAGTGTGCATGGTCATGAGAAGAACCCTTTATACAAACATATTTGGAAAATAAAAACAGAAATACTATAGAAATAGAATATACTATTAATATATAATTACAACATGAAATATGGAGATAACGAACAGTAATCAAGTTCGAAAGTCCATTGAAGCAATACAAATCTGGAGCAGAGCACACACGGACCTCTAAAACATCAGAGGTGGGATCAGGTGCCGTGGATGAGTAAGAATCCCGTCGACCAGTTACACCTGCCGTGTGCTCATTGTCAAGATCGGGTAAACGAAAAAATCTGTAGATAATTCAGTGTTTAAATAATGACCTTTCATTTACAGTTACATGTAGTATGAAAAACGACAGTCAGCATTCGACTTAATGATAGATTGTATTTGCTGATAAGGTCATTCTATTCATTCCATTGATCATAGAACTTGCGAAATGATGACTTTAAACCAGACTGTTTCATCAACTTCTTTGTCAATAGCTTGCCTCGTTTTAGAAATTGTTCGAACGTAGAGCATGCTCTTGTGTATCGAATCAACTGGGAGACATAAACCCCATATGCAGGTGAAAAGGGTATATTGCTACATAAGTAAGGGAAGTTGACGATAGAAAAGTTGAAGTCATCACGTTTTTCATAATGTTGTGTTGTTAGGTTATCATTAACGTCTTTTTCTAGTAAAATATCCAAATATGAATTTCTCAGACTCTGTGGTATCTTTTATATCAAGTTCACTGGGATATATAGAGTTGACATATGAATGGAAGTAACTGATAATACGTCGTCGATATATCTAAAAGTCGAGTTGAATGCTACAGCAAGTGTTTTCTTCTTCTCTTATATATAAGTTTTTAAAAAATAAATTTTGTTTTGTATGAATACTGATCTCCAAAAACTACTAGTACATAGATATTGACAATCAGAAACTCAAACATCTTCTTAATATCAACTTCAGAGTACTTGTGTGTACAATCAGAATGATTTTTAACAAAATAATTTTGCAAATGACCAATGACAAGGTAATATTACATGTTCCATTTTTATTCAAAAAGCAGTTGTCTATGGTGTCAAAAAGCCTGGACTTTAATTTATCGTGGGGAATGGTTGTATAAGTGTTTTGATGTTGTTGATTTTGGTAAAATTTTGTGATTTCAAAGGATGACTGCACTTAAGGATATGCGAAATTTGCGACAAAATAAACTTTCAAAACAAGCATTTTTCTTTTCATTGCAAGAATGGTCAACATCCAATCTACAACTTTATGTAATTACGTTTAATAAAAGTGTGTATTTACGAAGTTCGAATCTGTTTTCAAAGGCAGGGGTCATCACAATTTCTTGAATCTCCGTTCGATAATGAGGACGCCCACTTTTTTACTGACTTCATACATAGTCAGCGCATGTTTGTCTATTGTTCTACGTTTAACAGTAGTTGTATATTTGCATAAATAATAATGTGTCAAAAGGAGATTAATAGACAAACATGCGCTCATGGTTAAAAAGAGAAAAAACTGCTTCTTCTTACATTCGCTCTCTGTGTTGTAACCAAGGGTTGTGACATGTTGAATATTATAATTCACCACGTGATTTCCTACCTCAGGTAACTCTGTGAATACTAAATTCCGTCACGTGACTTGTAAGGTAGCATGTTTTGTGCTAACTAGGACATTGTGTTCGAACACGTTAAGTCATCTGGCATTGATAAAAAATCTGCTTTAATTACATGGACGTGATCATATTGTTAATTTCGCTTTGAAACCTTTGACAGTAGTGTATTTGTGCCATATAGAATGGAGATGGAGATGGGAAAGAGTGATCACATTCCTTATTTCAAACATGTCATTGTTATTCATCTAGTCTAATTTTAGACCCATTCTTACAATGTTAGCTCCACCTCTCATGCATATCTAATGTTCAATCAAGGGCAGGTAAGTGTAAATTCTCTATATTTGGAAAGCAGTAAGGACAAAAAACATTGAATCATTTTATTGTTTCACAGTCTAAAATCATTTTAAGATTTAAATTTGGTTCCAAATTGACAGGATTCTTTCATAAATATACAAAAGTGAATTAAGGTTTAGATATAAAAGCAACAGAAGCAACCGAAAAAGACCCAAAAACCGGCGTTAAGTGCAGTCATCCTTTTCTAAATGTTTTTGGTATAGTTTTTAAGTATCCACATCTGATTTACACCACTTCTTGAATATATTTACAGTACTCCCGAAGTTTCTTCTTCACTAATACTGCTGTTAATATATAATTTTAGTAACCAACGCAATGCCCTCATGGAAATTAGACTGTGGACCTTTTCACAACCAAAAAAAAAAAAAAAAAAAAAAAAAAAAAAAAATTACGACTAAGATAAAAATTTGAGCAGTCTGGGTTTTTTAATTTGATAAAGAGACTCACTTATTTAATTAGTCTATTTGTGTACCACTTTTTATTGAAATCGGAACAAATCCCCAAAAGCAGTAGCATTTTAAAAGAATTTTCCAGATTATTTCATTCTTAAGGCCGGTACACTTGGTAATATTTGAATAAAGGTGATTCCATTCTCGTGTGATGTCATGCATAGATTTTTTTGCAAAATCTTTAATAAATTCAACTGAGTGTAATTCTAAACAATAAAATGCTTTCTTTGGTTGTTAGTACGGGAATTAATGTCGCAGCTATTGCAGAAAAAATACATAACCCGCGTAAACGGGTTATGTAATTTTTTTTCTGCAATAGCTGTGACGTTAATTTTCCGTTCTAACAACCAAAGAAAGACATTTTATTGTTTATATTTATATCTATATAAATAATTATTTAAGGTATGATTAAAAAGATTAATTATTGTATTATTGATATGTATGTATGTCATAGTACGTTTCATTGCTGGAACAGCCACTGATCAGGAGATCTGTACAGGCAATATGCCTAGTGTTGTTCAGGAAAAGATAAAAGTCAATGACTTTCTTTAGAAATACAGGAGAAAATATTCAGTGGATGTAAATATTTGAAAATATTGTTTAATAAAAGAATTTAAAAACAATATTTACTATAATTAATCAATTATCTATTCTTTAAAGGGCAACTCTTACCCATGTATCTTTATGTCCCATTTTCTTTTCTTTATTACACCTTCTTTTGTGAATTGGTTTCCCTGATATCAACAATATCTTATTTAGAGTCATATATAATTAATTATTTAGAAAATTCATTATTAAAATAATGTCATCTGAAACAATTTTTAAGTGATTTTGATAATCCTGTTTACCAAATATGGAAGATTTTTTTTTAATCCTATCAGATATTTCAATCTGCTAATTGTTTGTAAGACATTTTATAAAATATGGCGACCTACGATACATTTTTGTGATTAATAATTATTTTAAACTATATTCAGTGGAAATTAATGTTTTTCAACTTTAAACCCATAAAAGTGTGAGTATGGAATCACCTTAAAATACAAGTATTATAATACTTTGGTATCATATTACTACTTCCCCAGACACACACTCATAAACACATCCTCTAAAATATGTATCATGAGACGTCTACTTTTTGGGGCAAGTATGTGCAATCTGACAGACCATTAGCCGTGCAATAACATGTATTTTGAGCCATCTATCTTTATTATACCCGGACTTTCTAAAGAAAGTTCGGGTATGTTGTTGTTATCCAGGTCCGTCCGCCTGTCACACTTTTTTTCTTCCTTAAACTCCCCTTACAATTTAAGCAATAACCAATTCATCTTTTGGAATGTGATAGGTGGTGCATTGTAGACATGCAATAAGGTTTCAGAACTTTCATTTTCATCCTGAGGGGCCAAATGGGAGTTGAAAAACGACGTTTTTTCTACAAAAAAAACCCCGCTCCCAAAACTCCTCTCACATTTTACGCAGAAGCCAAATCATCTTTTGCAAGATGATTAATGGTATCCTGTAGATGTGCAAAATGGTTTCCAACTTTTCATTTTAATGGGGTCGACAAATGACGTTTTTTTTTAATTTCACAAAAACCTGGTTTCCAGAGTTCCTCTTACATTTTAAGCAGCCATTTCATCTCTTGCAAGATGTGCAATAATGTTTCAGAATTTTCATTTTCACCCTAGGGGTAAAATGGGGGTTGGAGTCGAAATTTTTTTTTTTTTTCATTTTACAAAAACCTGGTTCCCAGTACTCCTCATACATATTACACAATTTGCAAGATAATTGAAGGTGCCCTGGAGATGTGCAATAAGGTTCGGAATTTTCATTTTCACCCTTGATGCCAAATTGGGGTCGAAAAATAAAATAATGTTCACAAAATCCTTATTTACCTACACGCTCGTGTAATGTATCTAAAAAAATCGAAATAAAGATATTTTTGTAACTGATCATATTTTTAGTTCCATCTCATAATCAAACTTACGGACCGTGTAAAGCAGTTCATATAAGGAATCTGGATTATGCCCGTATCTCTTTATCGAGGTTCGGGTCGATAGTGCTATGACACGATAGCGCAATGAAGATGATGCAATGGCACTATAATTCGATTATGATGGTGCGATGACACGATGGCGCGATGACGATGAAGCGATACTTTCTTTTACTCCATCGTACTATCGCACCATCGTCATCGGACCATTGCGTCATAGCAACAATGTCATGTCATCGTACCATCGACCCAACAGTCGATACGCGATGGTACGATAGTGAACTACATGGCCCTATCCGGATCCCATACATATATATAAAATTCAATCACCTCCCCGTTAATCTAGAGTAAAGAATATGTACACATTGCTATGGCCAGTAGTTCAGATTGGAACAAAATTAATTAATCATGAAATTATTTTTCTTTTATGTGATAACATATTAGTACCAGGATTCCCTTATTCGTCTTCCGATTATTGGATTTAATTGACCTACCTTGAATAAATGCTTCTGAAATCGCCCAAGTTCGAAAACAGAACCGGTTACATGTAAAAAAATAAAGCTAAGACTGGATTTCATGTATTTATTTTACATTTTTGCGACAATTTTGATTTAAAAACAATATTCCTCACAAAACCAGCAATGTATAAATGTAGAGCCCAAAACCAAAGTTTATTGTATGTGATCATGTTACTGATTCAAAGCAGAAAGGTCTGATATCCCCCACATAAATACAAAATATAGTATCAATTTCATAATACACCATGTACAAGTATTATGCCATTTAGTTATATATATAAGTATAAATTCCATCATAAATATGTATTTATGAGTTTATGGCCATAAAAATTGAAATGTATATAAATGTACTTTGTACTCCATAATAAAAAAAAAGTAGGTACTAATAAATGGTAATTTTATGCAAAGGCACCAAATAATATTAAGTTGGGACTAATAAATAATTCTGAATAAAAAAAAAGAGATTTTCAAAACAATTAACAAAGAGATTCGCTGATCCCTGAGATATACATGCGAAATGTAAAGTTTATGTGTGGGATCCAAAATACAAAGAATGAGATTCAACAATAAGTACGGAATGCATAATAATATTTTGTTAAATCAATCTTAATTGTGTACTTTTTATGGATGCACAAAGCCTAATCCACGATTGACGTTCTGTAAGCATGAACGCGCTAAAATAATAGGCTGTATAAGTAGATATAACTTTTTGGTTATCCAAAGTCTTGTAAACCGTTTACATGTATCACAACACAAGAAATAAATTACATTGTAGACTGCATAAAAGTAAGAGTAAGATAATTGAGAGACTAAAAATAGCAATATAGCTTCGAGTTATAGCCAAGTCCAAGAAATATGCATAGAAATAAATAAAATTACCCCTAAGTGTATAAAACCTTGTAATATACAGCCCCAGAATCACATAATCATTACATAGTCATCTCACTACACGCTGCTGCCTTGGATTGAGACTGGTCCCTACTTTTTAGGGAGATATATATCCTCTGCCTTCACCAACTCGTCATCTCTCTGTAGACGGAACACTTCTTTGACAGAAGCAACCTGTATCAGAAATGGTGATATATTTACAATAATTCAGCCCAGTTCTATTATCTTTATATAGAAGTTTTACAAAGTACGACAAAGTTACTCTTGGTCAATAGGGAAACAGGACACCTTATATATATTTTGTTGTGATATGGAACACCCTCCCCAAACTTATGAAAAGAAATTTTATTTAGTGTTTAAATAAAGCATTGACTAGTAACTTTCCGATTTTTTAGTGCTATAAAATACACATGTACATAACATATGGAGATAACGAATAGTAATCAAGCTCAAAAAGCCATTGAAACAATTCAAATCTGGAGTTGAGCAGACACAGACCTCTAAAATACATCAGAGATGGGATCAGGTGCCATGGAGGAGTGAGCATCCCCTATCGACCGCTCACACCCGCCTTGTGCTCATTGTCATGATCGGGCAAACGGAAAAATCTGTTGACATAATGGCCTAACAATAAGTATAAAAAAAACGTCAGTCAGCATTCGACTTAATGATAAATTGTATTTGCTGACAAGGTCATTTCTATATCGACCACAGAACTTGCGAAATGACGACTTTAAACCAGACTTTTGATATCCTTGTTTTATCAACTTGTTTGTCAATAGCTTGCCTCGTTTTAGAAATTGTTAGGATGTGGAGCATGCTCTTAATTGCGCATCGAAGCGACTGGGAGATATAAACCCCATATGCAGGTGATAAGGGTATATTGCTACATAAGTAAGGGAAGGTTGAAGTCATCACGTTTATCATAGTTTTGTTTTTAGGTTACCATTAACGTCTTTTCTAGTAAAATATCTAGATATAAAACACATGTGTCAGACTATGTGGTATCTTTTATTTCAAGTTCACTGGGATATATCGAGTCGACATATGAATGGAAGTAGCTAATGTATCTTGCAGTCAGTATTTCATAAGTATTTTCTCACAGACCATGACGTTATATCTGTGTTTCAAAGTTGTTTACTGACAATAATTACGACATTGCTAAATGTTTTAGCGAATAAGATTAAACAGACTACACCCTGTCACACGTGTATTTCGACAGTCTAAGTTTTGAGGGTTAACGTTTATGAGGGTATATAATAATTGGAGCAAGTGGCATTTTGCATAAACAGTGAAGCTGTTAACTCTTACTTAAATAATGGATTTCAAATGAAAACTTGGTATTGTTAATCAATTTATACATCTAGAGTACATATACATATATAAGGTTTCTTGGTTCTTGATGTCAGTTAATATACCCACATTTTTCTCTACCCCCGTCAGAGACTGGTCTTTGTAAATTGTAGCAGTAGTTTGTTGCATAGCTGTAACGCAAGCTCGTAAGTTGTGATTGGCCCAAATTACCATTGAAACACCCATGTCACGGAAATGCTGCGTGGGGGTATTGTAATACTTGGTCGGTACAATAACGACGGGCCCCTGAAAAAACAGTATAACGTAAATATTTAGTGCTTGATTTATCAAGTTTGCTCGTAAAAGAAATTTACCATCATAATGTTCTTTACATTTGAAAAATGAAAATCTACATCTCTTTATCGAGCATCCAACAGTCCATTACCTGATTATTCCAGGCTTTCATGAAGGCTTCAATATCCGAAGGATCACTCTTCTTACTGTGCATTAGAATTGCATCAGCACCTTAAATAAAACAGCATTCTTACTGTGCATTAGAATTGCATCAGCACCTTAAATAAAACAGCATCGGAGAACCGATTATACAGACAAATCATTAAAATTTTCTATTGATTATAAAACTTCTCTTTGTAAGAGTACCTGCATTTCTGTACGCTTCCGCTCGTTTTAAAGCTTCATCTAATCCCCATCCAGCGATGAAAGCTTCAACTCGAGCAACAATGCAGAAATCCGGGTCCGTCTGTGTGTCTTTACAGGCCTGAAAAGTTTCAAGCAAACTCAGCACTAGTATTATCAAAGACCCATAATCAATTCTGAAAATGCACAATGCTTCAACTAGGCCTATTAGATACCTTAATCTTCAGAGCAAACTCTTCAATGTCTGCAAGAGGTTGTGCTCGACCATCATGAAGTGAATTTGTTTTTGGAAATAATTTATCTTCTAAACATGCACCTGTTAAATATAAAAGCGTAGTCATTGATACACTAATATTCTCGAAATGAGGTCCCTTTCTTTAGAATAGATTTAATATTTATATATATGCATACCTGCAATACCCCTATCTTCCAACTTCCGTACAAGCCTGCGCGCATTGTTAAAATTTCCATATCCGGTGTCAGCGTCTAGCAGGATGGGTATTGACGTAGCGTCACTCATGAACTCGATAACGTCAACAACCTGAGTCCATGATGCTTCATTGCTGTCTCGCACCCCAAGCTGAGCTGATATGGATAAACCACTCCCCCAAATGCCACTGAAACCTTTTCAAGTATTGAAGTAAGAAAATGTAAGTTGTTATTCTTTTTTAATAAGCATAAAATCAATGAAAATCCAGGGTCGCATGTAAATATCTGGTAACCATAATAGACAGATTGTCAAGTTTTTTTTTTTTAGAATACTTATTCCTAAACACGAAATATTATAGCAATCGTGATTTAAGAGAAGGTAGGGAACATCTTTAATTTCTTTGGAACACTAAGTGTACTATAATTATATAGACTATTCTGAACAGTTTTTGTTATAGTAAATATTTATACACAAATGTAATGGTGAATCCATATATGAATTAATGATCCAAAATAAAGTGGACTTCTTGTACAGGTTTGCCATTTCTATACATTTAGCTTTGTGAATTTACCAGCTTCTTCCACAATCCGTGCACTTAGGCCGTTGTGAGCTTCCATGATAAATTCCAGTTTCTTGGAGTTCAACATATTCTTTAGTTTTGTCGTTTTCTGAGTGAAATAACCAATCAAACATCGTAAATATAAATGATATGTTCAACTATTATGTGAGTCACAGTGAAAGACAGGTACGTTAACTTTTATGCTACCTTTTTGTTCGATTGTGAGGAGGACATTTTCCGCACCCCTGGAAACAGCATATTCTCCACTGTAAGGAAATGTCATTTGAAATTATCTATCGAGCGAATATACCCCCTCCCTCTTGCTTCAACCGAATATTATTCCAACACATCATGTATGTAACCACGTGAAGTTCGGAGCCAATGAACATGCAAAATACATACCGCGAACCTGCAAACTATTCCTAAGAACCGATCGCGAGATACAACCCAGAGCCATTATCAATTCCTGCTAGAACACCACACCAGTCTTATCTCCCACACCCGACTGCCACGCTAGAATTAGTTCCCGTTCCGACACGTGGAGCGTGCATGTTATTATTGAACGACAACCGGTGTCAAGTCAAATCGATACTATAACTAATTGTTCCTATATTAACATAAGAGAAGCTTAAAGGATCGATATTTGAAAAAGTGATTGTGTTTAGTTGCCAAGTATTTAAATCAAACCATGCAATAAAAATTAATAAAACGTTGGACATAAGTTTAATCACTGCTTCTCTTTAACCTAGGAAGATTTTGCTAAAATATATTTCTGTAAACTAAAAAGAAATAATACAAACATGATATGTCTCGTCAATTCTCCCCAAAATAATAGCACTTTTCTCCAATTTCATGATATATTTTTTTCAATTGACTTTCATTATTCTTTAGCCAACAATGATCAAGAGTCAATTTGGAACAATAGTAATTCTAAAATGGTTTTAAAAAATGCAGAAAATTAAGGACAGAAGACCATGTGATAAACCTTGTGATAACTATAATCAAATAATCTCACTTATTCCTATGGTTCTTGAAGAAAGAAAACAAGGTAAAGAGAGAAGACAATACACAATAAAAAAGAAGAAGAGAAAACTCGATTAAATTGTTTAATTTATTCCTCATTGAAATTATATATATAGCCAATGGATATCAGGTCTTCTTACAATATGTTGAAATTACCAAGCACTAATTGTGCTCATTTATTATCAACTAACATATTTTGATATTCTTTTGAAACAAATTTATCAAAAAAATTCCACATGAGAAGAAATCTCTTGCTTTGACTTTCAACTAAACAACTTTTTATCAATTAACAATAGGTATTTTTAAAATTTCATTTATATATGTCAATTGATACATTCCCGTGAACTCGAAATAAAAGACACCACATGGTCTGCCACATCTGCTTCATACTTGGATATTTACCGACTATAGACTCTATTGGCAAACTAAAAGTTTAAGACAAACGGAATGCTTTCAACTTATCCATCGCCAACTTTCCCTATTCATGTAACAATATTCCACATAGCCTGCATATGTAGTTTATGTCTCCCAATTGATTAGATATTCAAGAGCATGTTCTTATATGTATCAATTTTGTAAATGTATCAATAATCATTTTTTTAAACAGAAGTAGGCTATCAGTAAATAAATTGTTCTTACAGGATTTCAACTATCTCGTTTAAAATCAGCATATCGCAAATTCTAGAGTCGTTATGATGACCTTGTCTTCACTGGAAGACATTTCTCGTAAAGTCAGAAGATCCTTTCGTGAAAGAAATATCTTCTTACGTATAAAACGCTAAGAACCGGCAATAGAAATTGCTGCCATTCTGCCTTCGGAACAATCAATACCCCTCCCCTCCAAAATAAAAATCACGTACATGTAGCTATTGAATACGGGCTGGATCTTTTCGCAAGGAGTATGAAAATTTGATCATTGAAAACGATCCAATCAAGACGTTGTCTCGTTGAAATAATTTAAAAAAAAATGCTGTTTAAAAAAAAAAGTTACTAGTTATCAGGAATTTCATTCCAAAGTGAATTACATTTTTGGGTCCGTATTTGAGCAAATTCGATCCTCTATAAATTTGAATTGACAAATTCATTTTTCGCTTTTCGATATTCAATAAAGACACAAAGGGATCATTTTCTGCTTTAATCAAGAGCATGCTCTGAGTACGATCAATTTGTAAACCAAGGCAGACTACCGAAAAATAAGTTGATGTCACAGAAAAGTCGACAACGTTTAAAGTCAACATTTCATAAATTCTATGGTCGTTTTAATGCAAAAACAGTCTTTCAAGGGTCGTATTTTGACTGACATAATTCATACCAATTGTTCTGCCTTTGTTTTATACTAAATTTGTCTACGGGTTTCTCCGTTTACATGATCAATAAATAGGGATCACGGCGGGTGTGACCATAGAAAGCGACAGCTTGTTTCGGTTGTGTTCACTGCGCCACTGTCAACTGTACACTTACCTCGTTCATTTGATTTAGGTTTACGAGATCGATCGGTCAAAGTAGATTTCTTTTATGTAGCAATGATATCTCTTTCTGCAAAACATATTTTTTTCTTCTAAATTTCATAGAAGCATGTTGCCACGAGAAATCTCTTATCACAACAATATCTCTTTGAAAATAGGAATCTTTTTAACAAAAAGAAATTATTTCCAGGGAAAGGATACATCTGATATCAAGAAGGGATCTCCTTCTGTTTAAGAGATATCTCAAAGATCTTAAGTGGTATTTCTTTCTATTTGATGGGTTTCTAATTGTACAATCAAATATAACTGTATAAGAAAAGAATTTTCTCTTTGTATGAGAAGTTATCTTTCTTTTTGAATAAACAGTAAAATGCTTGCCGTAAATCTTACAGCGTATTGCCCAACATTCGCAAATGACTCGCTGCTATAGGAATAAAGAGCTTCAGTGTCTTCACTAATTAGAGAAACCTGTGTCATTAAATTAGGAGCACATGATTTTATGAGAAATAAGAACATAATTCAGTGTAGGGTAAAGATAAAAAATAAATTATTTGTAATAGATGGAAGTAAAAACAGAGAACTTTGTTGTCAAACTGTAATTGTTAAAGAAGACAACGTCATTTGGAAATGTTCCTTAGCTGAAGTCTGCGAAGAGAACAGGTATAAGGTGACTATTTAATACATGTATATTATAATCTTATAGTTTTGTGATATTCTATCTCTTTGCATATAATAAAATTATTTACGATTTATGCAGCTTTATTTTTGGAGATCACAATCACTGATATAGAAAAAAAAACATGATATAAGAAATATACCATAGATGTGAAGATTGAGTTAAAAGAGAACTTAGGTAACCTTTCAGTGATGATATCATAAACTTTAAAGATCACTGCCACCAAGTTAGAATTGTATTCAAAATACCAGGTCACTAAAGAAAAACATTCATCAAAAGCTTCTGACATTGATGAATATCTTTACTCAAAGAAACAGAATTTCCCAAATAAAGTTTTTAGAAAGAGGCTAAACAGGGCTGAGGCGGTTTTAACCTGTCCTTTGTGACTTAAACTGATACTGAACGTTAACAAAGCAATCAAGAAGACATACTGCATTAAGTATAAAGACCCCATAAAACATCCTGTTAAAGAATGAAGACAATAGTACTTGGTGGTATATTTTCTTACCTTATTTGGCTAGGAAGACCAGTGTACATGTTAGTGTCTGCACCGTAAAACGGTTAATGTGCTCGGTTAACAAACACTACTATTTCAGTCCAAGGTTAAGTGGAAGTCTCTGCTTCTTTATCTTTGGTTGATAAAAATGTTTGTTTTTTTTATCAGCTGTAGGTTCAAGTAATATTTAATGAAGAATATTTATGTAAATCACACTAAAGCATATCATGCATTTCGTGTTCTAGTTGTAGTTGAAAGAATGGTTAATTTATGGGCACAATTGAATGTCAGACGTCGAATAAATGTAGGATTGTTTCCAAGAAAAATGTTCAAAAATAATTCTTTATTTTAGTTTACATCTATTTTGATAGGGGACAAAATGCACTATACTATCTGATTAAAAATATTAAACAAGAAAGGTTGTAAAAAAGATAAAAACATGTCATATGTTGTAGTGGAAGAGTGAAAACACAGAGGTTTGATGCTTAATAAAATCAAGAAATTATCATTTAAAATAACATCAAAGTCATATAATGATCAATTTGGCATACATTATCTCAAAGGAATGAACAAAGGGATAAGTTGAGGAAACTGAAAATAAGTATCAATTTAATAATATTTGAGCTACTCTTCTTTTGTCAATTGAACACGTGATTGCTTAAAGTTTATACAAAGTGCAGGGGTACAAATCATATTGTTCACATATTTTTGTCATTAAGAGAAAATGAAGCATTTTCACGTGAAATATTTACTTTCTTGTATTAAAATGTAGTTTGTAATCTTGAAAATTAATTTACAGTAATTTTGAAAATCGTCAATGCGTAAAGATGCAATTTTTTCTGATTGATGATCCTTTTATAATCTAGTACATGTACCAGTACTCCTCTCTCTCTCTCTCTATATATATATATTTATATGTATGTATTTATGCATATTTAATTTCGTCACTCTGAAAGTTAATTGCATTCAATGCTGCGTGAAGTCGTTTGGTATGAATATGAGTAAAAAAAAATGAAAATATACTATTTGCAAATGCAAAACATGGTTTATCTGATTAATATTTTTCATACTTAACAACTCTAAACTAACTGTATCAGAATGTGATGAACACAGTTTCACGATTAGTGAAATTATAATTTATAATTCATAATGTGAAAAAGTGAAAATAATGAACAGTGATCAATCTCATAAATCCAGTAAACAAAACGAATGGTAAAAAGGGCAAAAACACGGACCCCTGGAAACACCAGAGGTGGGATCGGGTGCCTAAGAGGAGTAAGCATACCCTGTCGATCGGTCACATTCGCCTTGAGCCCTATGTATTGATCAGGTAAGATGAAGTACTCCGTAGTCAAATATACAAATGCAACGACCAACAAATGTTATGTAACATGTCAGATAAAATACGACCCTACAATAGGTTGTATTACAAACAAGGTCATTATAACGACCAAAGTATATGCCGAAAACTGACTTTAAAAGGGTTGTTGAAAACCTTATAACATCAACTTATTTGTCAGTACCTTAACTCGGTTTGGAAAATTGATCGTACTCAGAGCATGTTCAGGCGTATCGAGTCAGTCATTTCGGAGACATAAACACCATATGCAGGTGGTGTTGGAATATCCCTACACGAATAAGAAGTTGACGATGGAAAAGCTGATCATACAGTTTCGTTATTAGTTGGCCATTATCGTCTATAGTCAATAAAACACCCAAATGATGTGACAGACTCTGTAGTGTCTTTTATTTCACTGGGTTCACTGGGATATATCGAGTCGACATATGAATGAAAGTAACAATTGTTAATTGATAAAACATCGTCGATATATCTAAATGTTGAGTTGATCGCCACAGCAACTTCTTCTCATGTAGAAGATTTTGAAATATGGTGAACAAATATTTACTTCATTATAGATTACGAATATATTCATTAACTAAAACTATCACTATCGTTTATTCACAGACAGATAAACTTAGTTTAACATTCGAAAACTATACTAGTAGTTTACAACCTAAAATATAGATTTACAGTTGAAAACTATAAAATAGTTAACAGGTCGTTGAATATTCTTTGGTTTACGCTTCGTGAAGTGTGGTTTACATTTTATAAATCTATTTTATCGACTATGTTTAACTTTTTCGTGAATGTGGCACACTTTACGTATAAAATGTACATAGAAAATGCATTGGGCATGCGTGGTTTTAGCATGCACTTCCATGTGTAACAAAATAAGTGTTTACACGTGACACATGAAGAGTTCTACTTACATATGACCTTACTATGGTTAATTATACGTAATCTACAAGGACAAATACGTTTAAGTACTGTATTTTGTTGTGTTTGAAATACCAGTTTTACCATCATATGATGATGTAATGGTATCTCGATTATGAATGAAGAAATATAATAAAACTTATGAAATTTGATACATTTAAGTACATGTACTTTGCAAAACTCGAATTCATTGCAATAAATGGTTTTGAAGTAATTTCATTTGGTGACCAGAGTTATGACCTTAATTAAAATGTGACACAATGAAGGTCAAATATACCAATAAGCCTATGATTTAAACTATTTCAAGGGTTTCAAAATTATAGCATGGGTTATCATTTATGACAAAGAACAAAGTAACCCCTTTCATCTGTGGAAAACATAATTCTGTTAAAGTTGCAAGATAAGAAGTATAAAGAACTGCTAAAATCAATCTATGCAATGTAACTACGTTGAATTGTGGGAACAATAAAATGTCTTTCGGACAAAAATATTTCTTTAAACGACGATGAGAATGCACAAATTGTTTTTTATTTTGTTTATTTTGGTTTGTTTTGTTTGTTTTGCAGCAGTACTCTATCACTACAAAAGCTGAATAGGCTCATTTTAAAAATATAACTTGTTTTAACGAGTCTAAATATCGCAAACTTCACTTATTAACTCTAAAATCCTTAAAATAAATTCACGTTCTGTTATGTTACTAACATTGCCACTTGATTTAGACAATAATGGTCATGAAATCAATTTAACAAGGACTCTAAAACGTTTAATTTTACCAGATTTTTTGCCCGTTTCTGAATACCAGTGTTATATTTTGAAATATTGAAGCACTTTATTTTTTTATGTTGGAAAACTTGATTAAAATAAATTCAGTCTAATTTGTATCTGAACAAGAGTTTAAGTGCCTGAAATAAATTCAGTCAAATTTGTATCTGACCATGAGTTTAAGTGCCTGAAATAAATTCATTCGAATTTGTATCTGACCATGAGTTTAAGTGACTGAAATAAATTCAGTCTAATTTGTATCTGACCATGATTTTAAGTGATTGAAATAAATTCAGTCTAATTTAATTGTATCTGACCATGAGTTTAAGTGCCTGAAATAAATTCATTCGAATTTGTATCTGACCATGAGTTTAAGTAATTGAAATAAATTCAGTCTAATTTGTATCTGACCATGAGTTTAAGTGATTGAAATAAATTCAGTCTAATTTGTATCTGACCATGAGTTGTTATCCAGGGTCACAATCTGGTGTGTGTTTGTGTGTGTGTGTGTGTGTGTGGAATGAGGAGACATCAAGCAGTTTTTGCCTTCAAAAAATCTTATAAGAATGTAATATCTAGATTTGTAAGTGGTGAATAAAAATTACATTGTATTAATTTTGGCATAGTGAAAACTGATTAAAAGTTTGAGAAGTCAAATTTAAATGCATGTGAAGAGTTCAAAATACTGGTATAAATTTAAACAAAGAATTTTTTTAAAACATTGCCAACAACAGTGGTGTCCCAGTTTATTGTCAGTGTCTATTTATGTATCAGTACACGTCACTAATATTACATGACCTAAATTTAATTTTTTTCTGATGTAAACCTCACTGCGTGAAATTATTAAAAAAAAGACGAGGAAATAAGAAAAGAAAGTGTAAGGCATGTATTACAATGAAAGCTCAATTTTAGTAAATCAGGGATACTATATTGACCTGTCTTGATTCTATCAGCATGTAGTACACTATAGTTCATAGTGATTTCCTGCACACATGGATATTTAGACAACATGAAACAGTCACTTGAAGTGTTTCCTGTAATTTTTAATAGCAGCTATGCCTTGAACTATCTCAATGGGAACACAAGTATCCCTCAATGTGCAATATGACATTGTGACAAGGCAAAAAAAAGAGTGGTCGATTTAAATAAGTTTAAAATTCTTGTTCGGAACCTTATTGGCCACGGTTTAGAAAAGAAACACAGCTGTGTTGTTGATATCAGCTAGTATGAAATAAACTATATGTACCGTTAGATCATAAGAAACTGAAGGAGGCGATGCGTGTCGATAGAGATTCGGGATACATGCCTAAATCAACAGTGCGAAACAACACACACTAGTGCAACTAGTAAACAGATTAATGTGGGTCAGTCTTGGAAATTAAACATGCCAAATGCACGCGCAAAAGTTTGGGGAATTGTAAAAGACATTTTGTCGTTTAGGTCCATCATATTGCCTATATTGGCCACGTTGCTGCCGCTGTCCATGGTCCTGAACTCCGAATCCAAGGTAAATTTTTACGTTTCTTTGTTTCTTTTAACATTTTTATCATTCAATCTTTCAAATACACAAATTTCTTTTATTCTTTTTAAATCTTTTCCTAAAGTTATACAAGAGCTTGTTATTGTAGTATTTAATTTTTCTCAGTAAGAGCTGCAAATTATGCGTATCATTTATGCAGGGGAGAACAATATGCTTGCATGACTGACCATTTCTACACCAAGTTTGCTCAAATCATTGAATATCATGTAACAACAATGTGCGACAGCAGGAATTTCAATCGATATATGATCATATCTTGTTTGATAAATGTTCATTTAAAACAGTTTTGTAATTTTTTTTACTAAGCATACACTTCTATTATTTAAATTGTCTTATAAATAATTAATATCGTGTGAGGGAATAAAATTTATATTGCAGAACAAAGAAGTTATAAAAACGTTTGACCTTCCCTGCAATTTTATTTCAGATTTCTGTTTTCCCAGCATGCTGCTCATTTCTATTTGATGTTATAGATTAAGCATTAGATTTGAACATTGACTGAAAGCTCAGACCCGCTGTTAAGTGTATTATGAATATTTTTTTCCCCTTACATATTTAAAAAAGAGATAAAAAATAAAACTTTGTACAGATTCTGTCGATGTGTTTGGTAGGCGACACGATGTGGCTACACTATGATCGTAATGGCGGTCCTCTGGCTTACGGAAGCCCTGCCTATTCCAGTAACTGCCCTTCTGCCCATATTTATGCTGCCCATGCTGGGCGTATCCACTGCAAAGGAGGTCAGCAGCAGTTACGTCACGGTAAGATGAACAAGCCGCAATAAATCACTGCAATACGCAAGCATATGCTAATTGACCAAAATAAATAAATAAATTTCACATTGTTCTAATGAACATTTAGCAAACTATCATTCATATGTTATATTTAATAAAACATATGAAATCACAGTCTTTTGAAATGTGGATTTTTTTTTATTTGGTTTGTTTGTTTCTATTGAAAAGAATCAACCAGTTAGTAAATTGAGTATCTATAATAAGGTCAAACACTGGCTTAAAACCCTCTGAAAAAGATAATTATTCCGCCTGATTTGGCTGCACAAATTTCAATGCAATACGTCTGCACTTTACCATTCTTATTGCATAGTCGTCCTGGGGTGGAATTTCTGGTAGATTGACAACGATTATCTGAATGTATTTAAACAAAACAAAATCCCTAGGAAAATGAACAAATCTGAAGACTGTGTGCCAAAGTATGGAAGATTTCATAATAAGAGTTATTGCCCCCGATATTTAGGACACTTCAATGCTGTTTCTGGGAGGCCTCATTGTGGCTGTAGCAGTTGAGGAATGGAAACTGCACGTGAGAATAGCCCTGACCATACTCCGATTTGTTGGCTCTCAGCCAAACCTGTAAGCATCCACACCATTGTAACGCCGTAAACATATCTCGTTTTTACATAATTATGCATGCACCTTTTTTTCAATTTCTCTTTCTCCGAGGGTCAGCAATCGAATTTTAATTAATTAATTATGACGATGACCAGCAAAGAGAGTTTGTAAAACTAAAACACTAAAGATGAATTTGATTACAGTTTGATGTTGGGTCTCATGTTGCCCACTTGGTTTTTGTCAATGTGGATCAGCAATACAGCTGCTGCAGCCATGATGATTCCTATTGTTGCTGCAGTGACGTCACAGGTTAAATCTGCCTCGAAAGCAGACTGTGAGTACAATTTTCTTGAAAAATGTCCAATTTCATCACAAATCTAAAATACTAGCAATAGAAATTTAATTCTATACTTTGGCAATTTAATCAAAATTAATTGAATTGATAAATACAAGTATTGAATAATTTGGCTGTGTTAATTAAAAGCGTCTCTGTTTTATTGTACCAAAATAAATAAAGAAAAATACGTGTTTAGGAAGAAAATCAGAATGTGTAAATATTGTAGACAATATTGAGGCTTTAGCAAAAATATTTTCGTTTTTTTTAACATCATACAATTAAAACTCCGAGCTTATTGTAAACAAATTATAAGCAAAGAAAACTGTTTTCTGTCGCTAAAGAAAATCAAGTAGACAATAATACTAGTACATAGACGAGAGAGAGTGTTACCTAACAGCTCTGTTACACTGGATTGCTGCACCATCTTTTATTTACACAAACGACGTACAGACGACGTCTTCGTTAATTAGGCTAATTCTTTTCTTATGCGCCTTGATACACTGTTACCTTACATCTTGGTGACCTTTAGTTGCAGCAGACAACCCCGACGACATGTATCTCCTAGCAACAAAAAGCGATGGAATTTCTGACATTCAGAAGGGGGAAGGTGCAATTTTAACCTCCATAACCCTGAAATCAGACGACAAGGAACAAGAAATCAAGGTCAATGACAACTGTCCATCACGCAACGAAAACATTATGGAAAGCAATCGGTAGGGGACATAGTAATTAAAACATGATATAAACTACATGTATAAATAAACAAAACATGGTTTAGTTGAAAGTGCAATTTTTTTTTTTACATTTTAATAACAATAATATTTTGAAATTCCACAAACAGCAGTTACATTTATTCTTAAACCAGAAACTTAAATATTGACCACCTTTTAGGGATAAAATGTTTGAAAATAAATACTCACAAGAATTTCTTGGTTTTTAGCATGACTTTTTGGTAATATTTTTTTAATTTTAAAGACTTGATACTTTTAAAGAAATCAAAGAATTCTTACATAAGGCGTGGTATAAGCGGTACAGAGTACAATTAAATAAGAACCAACGTAAGTCATTTCAACACAACACACAAATCAGATAATGTGTATTGCTCTACAGAGCGAAGAAAACCACATCTACGGATGATCACACCAGCAGACTCAGTAAAGCACTGGCATTGTCTATTGCCTACGCTGCCAACACCGGCGGCATTGCCACACTCACCGGAAGTCCTCCTAACCTGGTATTCAAGGCCGTGGTAGACGAGTGAGTCACATATCATGCTTTGATACAAATGTCAGATTTGTCAAATATAATGTGTTTTGCAAAACGTTGTTTTCAAAATCAGAAAAAGGAACATTTTAAAATCAGTCGTATGTTAGTATTAATGATTTCTTGTAACTCTTAAACAAGAACTTTTTAATTCACCAGAATCACAGTATCCTTCGCCAACTTACTACATAATGCCCATAAATTGTCAAAGAGCAAACATTTACAATTGCTCTTGGTTGTAGTGCATTTGCGACTGCGGGTAAAGCGTATGATGGGGTAGAATGGAGCTCGGGGATCAACTTTACGTCCTGGCTGCTGTTTGCTTTACCTATCTCATTTCTGACCCTGATACTGGGATGGCTGTGGTTAGACCTCTTCGTTCTTAGATGCAGGTAGGATGAGGTTTTCCAAACATGGGGTAAAATTTTAAAAATTATTTAAATTGATACTATGCTTTGCTAGCCAAGGGTTTTGTTTCGCTTTTCTCCCGGGTTTCAGATAAGCTCTTCTCCTCTCAAACCCTTGTGAGTAGCGGACCCAAGGGTTTGTAAAGAGAGTAGCGAATCAAAAAACTATTGGCTAGCGAAGATGTGCTATTCGTATTTTTGGTTCTATGTGATTAAAAGTGAAACTAGATGCTGTTCTTAGACAGTAATACTAGAATGATAATATTTGCCTTTAAATTTTTTCTTTTTCGTACCTGGATAACTAGTGAAGGCACCACGGTTTTAGTTTTTTCATATTTTACAAAATTATACATGTATCAAATTGAGCATATCCTTATGTGAGCTTATTGCGCTAGGACCTCCTATTTTAGTATTTCATGTAATAAATTCATTACCTGTCTGAAATCAGAAAATTAAATTTCTGTTTAAAAAGGAATTTTGCAATTAAGGTTTTGGCGTAAAACGGGCGTTTCCAATTTTCAGCTCCCTATTTTCCCCCAGGAATAAAATGAAAATTTCGAAACCTTTTTGCACATCTACAGGACACTACAATTAACAATCTGGTTTCTGTATAAAATGTGATAGACAATTTGAGAGGAGTTCTGAGAACCAGATACTTGTAGAAAAAGATCGTTATTGCACATGCAGGACGCCATCTGTCAAAAAAAACAAAAGATTATTTGGCTATAGTATAAAATGTGCAATAAGGTTTTGGAATTCCCATTTACATCCTAGAGGCTCATTTGGGTAAAGAAACGAAGTTTTTCTATCCCCCAAAACCTGATTCCCAGCTGCAGAGCTTCATATTTTAAGCAGTAGCAAAATCATATTTTGGAATATGATTGGTGGTGTCCTGTAGATGTGCAATAATATCTCAGAATTTTCATTTTAAATCGGGGGACCAATAAGGGGCCAAAAATGACGTATTTCTACATCAGGAGGTTCGTAGGCCTCATCTGAATGTAATGCATATCTATGATAATTATTAATTATAGAATACCCAGGCACGAAAGAGAGCACATTTATAGGCATATGCACTTGCGTGCTGGTATTACTGTCTTTTGAGGGCATCTGTTTGATAATTGCTGAACGACTATGTCTATACCAATCTTGGGTTTTAAAATTGGTATTTATTGTAATCAATATGACTTTCAGTTAGAAAAATCTGTGAACCATGTATTCTTTTTTCTATAGTACAAAATATGCAAAGTTAAGGAATATGCCACTTTGATTCACATAACTAAATTAAGATTTAAACTTATGATGTAACACTTACATAAAATATGATGATTTGTTTTCACAGTTTGAATATATTTCGATTTCTATTCATTAAATTTAAAAGATGGCCACAAAGGTTCATTTAACAAAGCACGAGAAAAGTATAATAAATGTTTTAATTCATATGATTTATTACCTTGTAGTAAATCCTGTGAGTGCTTCAGGAAAGAAAAGTCCGCGATTGATTTACAGGTGCGAGAAATTATAGCCAAGGAATTCAGGGATCTAGGCAGAATAACGTAAGATATATTATTCATTCATGATACGCAGTAACACATTAACCTACATTTCGCATTTGACGAATTAATTACTGTGGATTATGCAATTAACTACAATACCGAAAAAGAGTCTTCACACCAAATGCAGCTCATTTTGTACAATGTTCATGTCAATTCAAAGTGTAATTACATGTATATTATTAAATAATTTTATTACTAAAATAATCCTTTATCCTTTCCCCACTTTCAAAATATTTATGGAGTTGCAAAATTATTTGCCCATTTTTCTTCTTTTTACGTCTGTAAATTTTACTCCGTCACTTTGAAAGTTTTATATGCTTTATACTGGCTGAAGAAAGTCCATACTTGGATTCTTTAACACCAGAATATCGACTGGATTCAGTGATTATAGATATTGCCAATCATAGGCTTTTTAAGCCGCCACGTGTTTGCGGAAGACAAGAATTCTCAAGAAATCCGTCTGTTCCTTAAACTTAAATTTGCCAACAAAGGAATTGACGTCATAAACATAAGTAATATTCTTGATCACAAAGGGTCAATTCTTGTGTGTCATCTTATTACAAGTTGAAAGCTACACCTTGTATTTTTTTTTAACAAATTCATTGACCTTTCTAATTATGAAATATCCCTCTACAATACCTAGATATCTAACATTTGAAACCCAATCCTCCTACGTGTTCATGTTCTTCTTCACCATATAACTATAGTCCTGCTGAATACGTCATTAATAGCTAACAATGAGGCCTTCAATCACTTATTTTAATAGGACCGTAATTAATTAAAGGAACCCCGATCTTTCAACTGGCGACAAAACTTCATAAATATTATGAATACTGTTGAAGATTATGAAAGATAATGGGTCAAACATGAACAAGAAGTCTGTGAGCCAATGCTCAGTAGTAATACCCCCACTCTGATGTGAATATATGCTCTTAAGTTCAGATGCGACGAAAATTTGGTACGGACAGACATACGGATAAACAGAAAGTTGACAACGCATTCGTACACAAATGAATCCCATAATATGGCATGCCTAAACAAAGAGTCTGCTAAAATTACTGGCCTCACAGTTTATATGAAAGACGTCAGTCAACACTGGACTGCTGCTGATATTTTCGCGAGGTGTAAAGAAACTGGCTTGGTAGAGCATTTACTAGAACCCGCTATGTATCTTTGTTTGTCCAGGCGTCTGTGCATAACAAATATCTGTCGCAGTTTTCTCAGCAACTACTCATTGCAGATGCTTGAAATTTTAGCACAGACGTTGTTTAGGCATGCCATATGGTGAGATTTATTTTTGTACGAATCCGATGTCAACTCCTGTTTGTCCATGCGTTTGTCCATACCAAATTCCCGTCGCAATTTTTATCATCAACTACTCAAGACAGATGATTGAAATTTTAGCAAACAAAGATACATAGCGGGTTTTAGCTTAATGCTCTACCAAGCCTCTTTACTCCTCACGAAAGTATTTACAGCAGTCAAATGTTGACTTACATCTTTCATATAAATTGTGAGGCCAGTATTTTCACATTGAAAATTTGACAATACTCGATCATGTCAGGGAGCACACAGTGGGTGTGACCGGTTGGCAGTGAATGCTTACTCCTCCATGTCACCTCTGTTTTCATAGGTCCGTGTTCGCTCTGCTCATACTTTGTATTGTTTGACTTTTGTTAATGATCAATGTTCGTTATCTTCACATTAATTTATTGAAAAAACATGCATTTGAGCAACTTATAATGCTAGAAATATGTTTTACAATAGGACTTAAGACTGAGACCAAAATACAAGTTTTGCGAAAGACTTTCCTAAATGGTATATACGACCAATTTTAGATATAGTTATTAGGTTGGCAAGATGTTAAAAACCGCTTAAATTGTTGATCTTGGTCGTTTTTTTTAAAAACACTCTGATGTTTGATTTTTTTCAGATTCTTAAACCTTAAGTTTATTGCTGCCTGAAAAAAAAACTGAATATGTATTTTTGTTTGATTCTAAATGGTACATAAACATATGTTATTTCCAGCTTTGCAGAATGCTTGGTAGGTGTGATGTTTGCCTGTTTGGCAATTTTGTGGATTTTTCGGGAACCACCAAATATCTCAGGTTGGGGAAACCTTTTTAAAGACAGGTATTGACTATATACTTTAACTGTATAAGTACTGTCTATATGCTACAGGTATTGCCCTGTACTACAGGGATTGACTACATACCAAGGTATTATTCGCTATACAGTTAGTTTTGGACCTAATACGGAGTAATCCAGGTGCGAAATGGAAATCTGTATTGGGCGAGGCGAACAATTTCAATTTTTAATGAAACTGACAACAAGCAATCGTTTATTTATATCATAAAACATAATCACTGAGTTATTATCAAAACTTTCTGGGAAATACTTTCAAATCGCTACTCCTCCTACAGTTTTGGTCTGATATCAATATAACTTGGCATACAAGTAGACTATACTAAGATACATAACTTTTTGTGTCGGTTTTTGATTTCAATGAACAGTGTTGCCATGGTTACTAAAAATAGAAATTTCTGTGTAAAAAATTCAAAATGCTACTCCTCCTACAGTTTTGATCTGATTTCAATATAACTTGGCACAAAAATACACTATAATAAGATACATAATTTTATATATCAGTTTTTGATTCCGATAAACGGTGTTGCCATGGTTACTAAAAATAGAAATTTCTGTGAAATACTTTCAAAATGCTACTACTGCTACAGAGTTGGTCTGATTTTAATATAACAAGGCACACAAGTAGACTACACTAAAATACATAATTCTGTGTATCGGTTTTTTATTTCAATGAACGGTGTTGCCATGGTTACTAAAAATGGAGATTTCTTGGAAATACTTTCAAAACGCTACTTCTCCTACAGTTTTGATCTGATTTCAGTATAACTTGGCACACGAGTAGACTACACTAAGATACATAATAAATATATGTCGGTTTTTGATTTCGATGAACGATGTTGCCATTGTTACTAAAAACAGAAATTTCCTTGAAATTCTTTCAAAATGCTACTCCTCCTACAGTTTTGGTCTGATTATAGTAAAACTTGACACACAAGTAGACTACACTAAGATACATAATTCTCTGTACCAGTTTTGGATTTCGATGAACAGTGTTGCCGTGATTACTAAAAATTGAAATTTTCTTGAAATACTTTCAAAATGCTACTCCTCCTACACTTTTTGTCTGATTTCAGTATAGTTTGGCATACAAGTAGACTACACTGAGATACATAATTGTCATATTTGTTTTTTTGATTTTGTTGAATGATGTTGCATGCTTACTTAAATCGAAATTTCTGTAAAATTGTTTTAAAAGGCTACTCCTCCCACAGTTTTAGTCTGATTGCAATAAATCTTGCCACAAAGAGAGACAAAACCAAGGATGATTATTCTATTTATTGCTGTTGCAAAGTTTCAAGTCCATGCAAGTGCTACTTTTATCTTCTTTTATAAGTACAACCAGTAGAGGTACAGTCTCGTCAGAGACTTCTGGTTTTTCTGAATACAGTCTTTTGTATCAAATACTCGGCCTATTCATACGGTGTTATAAGCTAATTTTTACACAGGTACTTGGATTTTGGTTTATAAATATGTATGTACCTTATTGATATGTAAAAAGAGTAAAGTACATTTTTTAAAATATCAATAAGGTACATACATATTCATAAACCAAGACCCAAGTACCTGTAAATTTTTACCCCCTCCCACCCCCCCCCCCCCAAATCAATTTATCAGTTAAATGTGCATATTCGGTGCTTTTATCCTTGACGGAAATGAAATAAGAGCATAGGTACAATATCCATAACTTAGTATGACAGGTTTCACAATAAACGCCAATTAATAACATTGTGATTTTCAAGTTTTTACAAAAAAGGGGGGTGGGTGGGTTGGTTGATACGTACATCTACGCCTGCGGGATTTTGAACAAGGTATTTCTTCCTGCTATAAGCCTGTAGGCTGTCAGTAGAAACTAAAATATATATATTATTGGAATTTTTCTATCAGTAGTGGTATAAATTCATGCGCATGCGCGGGGTTTCATCTAGTCATATTAAATAAAATATCTTTCAAAATATCATTAAACATCACATATTCTCGGTATTATATTATCCCAGTTAATGATTGGTTGTATGTTGTTTAACGTCCCATTCGGGAATTTTTCACTCATGTAGAGACGTCACCATATACCGGTGAAGGACTCCCAATTTAGACCTTTATTCGGCACTCAGGGCCATTGAGCAGTGAGGGATCTTTATTGTGCCAACGCCTGCCGTGACACGGGGCGTCGGTTTTTAAGGTCTCCTCCGAAGGACCCGCAACTTGCACTTCAAAGTGCCGAGCGCCTGGCGAAGGAACAGTTGCTACCTATTTTTTTTTATCGACTTAGGTCAGTCGCGGCCGAGATGCGAACTCACGGCCTTCCGATCACGGAGCGAGCGCTCTACCGACTGAGCTACCGTGACGGCTATCCCAGTTAAAGATACGAAGTGAAAATTTCAACAAACAATCCGTTTTTTGTCGCCATTTTGTTTTACAATAGATTCACGTAGGCTTCAAAGACAGTTGTAAACTTAATATTTTGAAACTATAATTTGCATAAATTATCAGACGTTTCCAACTCGCGTTTTGTTTTGTTTGGTTGTTTAACGTCCCTTCGAGAATTTTTTACTCGTATTGAGACGCCATCACTTGCCGATGGTGTGCTGCAAATTTAGACCTGTAGTTGGCACTTATCGCCTTTGAGCAATGAGGGATCTTTTTCGTGTCAGCACCTACTGCAACAGGGGACCTCGGTTTATACGATTTCATCGGTTTCCACGTCTCACTGTGGATTCGAACCCTTGACGTAAGGATCAGTTCCTTACACCGCGACTCTAGAGCAAACGCTCCAACCATTGCGCCACGATCTACCTTATATTTACATTTATATGTAAAATGAAAGTGTAAATATAAATAAAAAATGCTGTCTTATAGATTTGAAATACACAATACATTCCATGTTAATTTCCATACCCCCTGCCCACTGACGTCAGATACAAAGACAGGCGCCAGAGATTGACATGTGTATTATGTACTGCACCTTTTACTTGGAAATTTACCTACAATTGTAATTATCGAGAAATCACAAACCTAACTTTTGAGAGTTTTCAGTGACGAAACAGTTGGAAATATAAATATTATATGGTATAAGATAGGTATACGATAGATATACCACAGGGATGACTATACACTATAGGTATTAACTATTATTTATACAGCAGGTATTGACCATACACTACAGGGAGTTTTATATTTGTCGTATTTCTTACAGATTTATAACTGATTCCACACCAGCCATGCTGATTGCAGTATCTCTTTTTATTCTTCCTGCTAAAATGCCTGCTGTATTCTGTACAAGAAAGCCAGGTAAAGTTTTTTTTATATCAGTCTCAACATTCTTCGTGAACAAATTAAAATAACAGGAGGAATAATAACGGAAATATCGTTTAAGGTGAAAATCGCTATACTCCTCTTTTATCCTGGGAGAAAACTGTCCAGAAAGTACCGTGGGGAGTTATCGTTCTTCTTGGCGGAGGATTCGCTCTCGCCAAAGCCAGCACAGTAAGATTCTGCGATACATTTATATTTCGATTTTAATTTTTATGTATTTTAAAAACTTATTGAATTATCTATTTATTTTTTTCAGTAATTAAAGTTTTGAAATGGTGAAAAAGAGATTGTTTTTGAAAGTTGATTTTGACGATAGAGAATTGCTTCGTGATTGTGTGCTTAAAATATATTATGAGAATTATTTAATATTCTTAAACTTATCCATCAACTTTATGCTTAGAGAAGATATATATAATGTGTCTGAAAGTGTACCTAGTGATTTTCTAATACTTATACATTGCAATAGAACACATAAAATGCATCAGTTAAAAACTTTGTAAATTAGAAAGAAAAATCTATTTGTCTTAATCCTCTTATTTTTCGAGAACATTTATTTTTGCTTCACTTTATATTGTTAACAAATGACATCTACTTTGCTGCCTTAAATCATTATTGTCCGTGATAGTAAATAGAAAAAAAAAAAGATGTGTTTGTGAAACACTGATGCCCCCGTATGGCAACTTATAGCAAAAGTTAAACTTTCTAAAATGCAAATCAAATATGTTGGTACCCAAAGTAAGGTCTTGTCTCGAGGAATAAACCTGTGAAATATGAAAGCCCTAGCAACAACCATTGAATAGATATGGAAAAGGTTAAAGTTTTTTTCAAAAGTATGTCAAACATCAAGGTCAAGGTCAAATGGTCAAAATTAATGGTGTCCAAGGAAAGGCCTTCTCCCAAGAAATACACAGATAGAATATGAAAGCCGAAGCACCAATTGTTCAAGAGTTATGACCTAGGTTAAAGTTTCTCAAAAGTAGGTCAAACTCCAAGGTCAAGGTCACAGGGTCAAAGTTGTAGGTATCCAAAGAAAGGGCTTGCCACAAGGAATACATATATGAAGTTTGAAAGCGATAGCTCCAACCAATCAAAAGTTAAGGCAAGGTCAAAGTTTTTTGCGGACAGGCAGACAAACAGACGGACGGACGGTCAGGGCAAAAACTATATACCCCCAATCTTCGATACGGGGGCATAAAAAAACCAAAAACAAAACAAAGGCTACAGCTATTTTAAAAAATAATCATTATTGTGTTTATACATGTATTTGAATTTAAAAAAAAAAACTCCACTAATTTTCATAGATTTTACCTTTTACCCATCCAGCAATCCATTTCTTTTAATTTGTATCTAAATTCAACAGCGTTCAGGTCTATCGAAATGGTTTGGGGACAGTCTGGACTTCCTGTCTGTTTACAGTCCATTCCTATTGTGTCTGGTCGTTAGTCTAATAGTGGCCGCAGTGACAGAAGTGACCAGCAACACAGCCACGGCAACACTGCTAATGCCGATATTACAAGAACTGGTATGTACGCAAGAACATGCTGTAGAGTATTTAGATATCAACTGAAGTTGTAATGAAAACATCTTATTAAACAATGTTCCGGCGATGGAATTGAAGAAATTGCATTTATTTTAGCGATTTAGTTAAAAAAATCATAAAGGATAAAATTCTTCAAATCATGTTTCAGTTTTAAATACTGTTAACATTCCAGTCAACGAAAATAATGTGAGCTACCATACCTATACTGGATTCTAAAACTTTATAAAAATCATAACAAAGACACGTTGTAGAATCCTGAAATGTTCTATCAAACCCTTCCTTTATTCCTCATAAAAAATACTGCTGTTAGGAGATTCTTAAGAAGTATTGTGCTACAATATACTCAAAAAGTGGTGTAAATCAAATATTGCTAAAAAACCCAAAGAACGTTTAGAAATTCTAAGAATTTCTTATTTTCTCCAAAATCAAATGCATCGAAACGTTTGAAATCATAATATTTTCTTCAACTTCCTCACAATAAATTAAACACCAGGCTTTCTGACATTATTGTCAACAAAATTGGAACTCGGAAATTTTCTGATAATTATGTAAAAATATTTTGTTAATAATCATTCTTTCTACCAAAAAGTTTTTAAAGTTTGTGTTAAAACGATAATCGAGTTTCTCGTCGACAACATCTATGTAGTCTTTGGATACCAGGTCTTCCAACAATTTGTTGTAATTACGATTGGCACTTATTGTGCTCCTCATTAGTCGGACTGTTTTTGTATTCTTATGAAGCAAAATTTATTCAAAAACCTACTTGAGAGGAAGAGAAATCTTGTTGTGACCTTAAAATCGACATTTATATCATATTAATGACGTGTTATAAATTAACAATCTTCATTATTAGTTATATGTAGACTCGATACATCCTAGTGAACTCGAATTTGATGACACTATTGAGTCTGCTTCATCTGCTTTACATGAGTGTTTTTCTTAATATAGAATGTCAAAGTTAAACTAAACACTTAAGTGTGTAAAAGGTGAAGATAACGAACAGTTATCAATCTCAAAAATCCCATTAACAACGCGATAATTGTAAAAAGAGAAAAAACACGGACCCCTGTAAACACCAGAAATGGAATCAGGTGCCTAGGAAAAGTAAGCATCCCCTGTTGACCGGTCACATCCAACAGAGTAATTCGCAGTCAAAATTGGTATAAAACAATGGTCTAATATGTTAATCATAATATGACCCAACGAAATGCTGCACTTGAAAATAAAGTAATTATAACGACCATAGAATTTGCGTTGAAAACCCTGAAACATCAATTATTTGTCAGTAGCTTGCCTCGATTAAAAAAAAAGATCGTGTTTAGAACATGTTCTTGCGTACCGAATTAATTTTGGAGACATAAACACCATATGCAGGTGATAGTGGAAGATTACTACATAAGAAGGGAAGTTGATGATGGTAAAGCTGTCTAAAATGCACTTGAATCAATGAGTCTTACGAGCCTTACAAACAAAGACTGTATTAATTTGTTGACGGTGCGACCGTTAGGCGAGCGCAGATACCTTTCAGTTTTAATTTAGATCGGGCTCGTCAAACCGCACGTGACATTTGCTACGCCTAGACTTTGACGTCATATGACGTCGTATGAATGTTGCATTACCAAAACGGAGTCTGGTCAGTGCTAATTTTAATCAAGAACATTTAATCTAGTATTTATCTGCTATATATCCATTAAATCAAGGTGATTTTATTTTTTGTTGAATTTTTGTTGCTACCGCGAGAACGTAATTTGCGACGAGATGCAATTCGCTAAGCATTATGGGACCACAGGTAACTGCGGAAAGAAATTCATTTGGATCAATGTGCAAAGTCCGAATTTTCTCTTCGCCCAGGCGTTGCTTTAAGAGCTCGCAGTGACGAGCGGCGCTTCGCTCGCTATTACAAGCTTAATCAACTGGAACCACACCATAAATGCTATGTAGTCTTTCTAATCCCTTTGTCACGTCATCTACTGGAAATGGTAGGAGAGGATTTATAATTTCCCCTTTAATTGTCTAATGCGATTCTTTAATTTACTTCTAAAACTCTTTATTCATTCTGACAGAGTTTGGGGGTCTTTCCTTTCATATTCAACCTATCTCCACGATGGAATCTATGACTGAAATGAAGTTCTCTCGCCATTTGAAAATAATAGGGGTTCCCCAAATTCTGGACCTATCAGTATGACTGTTTTAGGTCGTCATTTTAAACTACGATTACAACACTAGTAATGATGTGTCAGCTGGACTGTAGTCGAATGAAGAGAAGACAATCTGACAGATAGAATAATTTTAGCTTTTCCATCATTAATTTTCCATACTTGTGCAGCAATAATCCATTATTACTTGTATATGATGTTTTTGTCTCCAGTTCTCAATAGCTTTTTTTGTATGATCAATTGCTTCTAACAGATAAGTTTATGTTACAGATGTTTCAAAAATCTCATTTTAGTCGATATTTTGCCAAGCCATGGTTGTTATAATGACCTTGTGATAAAACCTATCTTTGGGGCAAATTTTGATTTAAATATTTCATACCTATTGTAAGATCATTTTTTCCATACTTATTTTAACTACGGATAACTCCGTTAACTTGATCAATAAAGACGGCTCACGGCGGGTATGACAGGTCTACGGGGGATGCTTAATCCTCCTAGGGACCTGATCTGTTTTCAAGAGCCCGTGGTTTTCCCCGGTTCTCGATTTGTATTGCATATTAAGGATATATGTGAGATTTGTCACTGTTCATTATCTTTACCTTAAACATTTCAAGCAGCATAAAAAATGTAGGTTTAAAAATTTCAAAAAGGGAGCTTGAAAAGTGTGTTTTCTCGACTGACTTAAAGATTACCTGCAGTGGATGGGCAAATTGAATTGATAAAAAGAATTGGTCGTAATAAACCCCTTGCAAAAATCCGCATCAAAATCCATGCACAAATAGCAGAGTTATCGGGCGTTGAAAACGTCTATTTTTACCTGCGAGAGAAATCCAATCAGACAAAAATAAAAACTATGCTATCACTTTTTTGTGCAAAGAGTAACATAATAAGTAAAACAAGTTTTTACTACTATTTTATAAAACTAACGTGTCTTTCCTATAACAGTCCATCACTGCTGGTCTAAATCCTCTATACCTGATGATGGCGGCAGCTGTAGCGTGCTCCTTCGCCTTCATGTTACCTGTGGCGACACCTCCAAGTGCAATCGTGTTTTCACACGGATTTCTTACTATTCCTGATATGGTTTGTAATTCAATGAACTGATATTTTTATTTGGACCCCTGTATATAAAAAAGATAATATTGATTTTCAGAACAAAATTGTATCATTTCTTCCATGATTTTAAAGAATTAAGAAGCTAAAAAAATTAGTTTTTATTTAAAAATTCTTTATATGCCCAATTGCTTATATGCCTAATCGAAATCATTATTCTTTTAAAAAGAATTTTCAGTGCTTTCAAGAAGAGATAATTTAAAAACGCTTTTCATTCAAGATACAAACGTGACATATTTTTCTTCGTAGGCCTCTGCTGGATTGATGATGAACATCATTTCCGTGTTTGTTCTTACATTTGGAATCAACACGTGGGGAAAGCTTTTGTTTGATTTTGACAATATACCAGTGATATTCCAGGAAATAGAAAGGAACGATACGTTGAGTCCAATGGCACAGATGTTAAATTCTTCACTTGTCTGATTCACCATTTTCAGTATTAATGAGTATCTCAGTATTCCGTGCATATGAGTGTTCAAATATACACACAATAATTGAATTTGTGTAACAGAACTGTAAAATTTGGTAATGGGAATAAATGTTTATTTTCAAATACGTGTATTTTTACAAACTGGCTACTTTTGAATGCTATTTGTAGACATGATAATTTTGTCATTTGTATTTTTGACCGTTATCATTCCTATTTTGGTCTAAACGCACAAAAAGTGATAATGTACTGTATTGTTTTCATTATAATTTGGAAAGAGAAGCACATATCCTACATGCAGGTAAAAACGAATGTTTAACAATGTTAGACTGGATTGGAGATATGGTATAGGTATTGTAGTAAACGAACATAGAAATACTCAGGTTTTATAATAATATACAAAAATCTAGATAACATTTATATTGGAAGTTGTTTCAAATGTTAATATGTCAAATGTAAATAATTAAGGCAACTGTCGGGTGAAGTATAGTAATGAATCCGCTTGTAATGCACTCCTAGTTTAAATCTGAGCAGCAAAAACAAGTTTAAATAACAAGAATTTTATAGAGACAACATGGATACCTCTTTAGTTAATGTAGACAATGTAGAAGCTTAGCTTTATAGTAGACACACGAGTAGTAACGCTCACCTGGATAGTTAAGTTCTTGTAAAGAAAATAATGGATCTCATTAACTGTTACCTCTCCATTCCTACTACCTACAAGGTTGAGAGACTGACTGAGAGACGAAGAAAGGAACTTGGATCCAGCGTGTATTGTACCAAATGATCCAAGTCCATTTGTTATTGAAAATTTTTATTTTTGAATCTTCATTTGTTCCTGCATCTGTGCATTTACCCATACCACAAGTAAAAATGAATATGCAAAATATTTTCAATGTTGAAATTTTTCATTTTCATTTTACAGGTATACCTTCTTTTTATACATTGGTTTCCAAAAGAGAAATAAAAAAAAATAATCAAACAAATCATTTTTATACGAGATAACAGTAACTTGTAAAATAATTAATAATAATAAATAATTGCTATTTAAGGTTTTTTATTGGCATACATGAAGAATTTAATTTCATGAATAAGAAAAATTATAATTCTTTGAAGCTAATGTTGTAATTGTTCAGATTCTATTGCAAAATGAAAGGCATTGATAAATTGTTTGTTTTGTGTTGTTTTTGTTCATCTTTTTTTCACGAGATATCATCATTTTTTGTTTTCATTTTGGTGAGGAAAATAAAGACATGGATACTTTTATTTCTCATGCTACAATGTACTACTAACCAAGTTAACTCTTTTCTGCAATCCGAAATGTATTTTTGAAATATTTTAAATCACTAGAAAGGTCTTGTTGGTTTAAATTCTTAGTCCATGCGACGAATCTTGGAGGTAGATTTATCAAGAATTAATGTAGATTTATTAAGAATAAGTCTTTAAAACTGTTTAATGGGTTTAATTATTCTGTACAAACTTGTATTAAATCATTACTTTACATGATTTGTTGTATATTATTTTATCTGTTTTATGTAAAGTGTTCATACATTACATCGATAACGATTGTTTTTGCAAAATCGTATACTGTTATACAACTTTGGAGCAAAGCTTACAAAATGTATTACATCTTATTGATTATCTTTTCAAATAAAAGTTATTTAAAAGTGACTAATTGTTTTTTTTTAAACATAATTACATTATTTTTATCAATTTTCCTTAAAGCAGTTTTATAAATGATCACAGGATTATGGAATAATTTGATTCCAAAAGCTATTCATTTTCGCTGAATGTTTTCTTGTTCTCAAGAGGAAAATCTTGGCATAAGGGATCAGTAGCTTTTATTAATTATTAATCATGTCTATTGGGGAGGAGATGGAGAGTGTTAGCTTTATTTTTTAAGTATAAAATTGACTAAAAATATGCCCTTAATTCCTTGCAAACTTAGCTATTTCCAAACCTTTTTGTACAACTTTACATTTGAAATTACTTACAGTCCACTAAATATAAAAATCAAAAGTCACTATTATTTTTTATATCAATATGTTCTGTAACGTTAACATACGTTCTTGACCTTTTTATTCAATAGCTATTTGATCTAATACAAAACGCAATGATGTTTATAAAGTTATATATATATATATATATATATATATATATATATATATATATATATATATATATATATATATATATATATATATATATATATATATATATATATATATATATATATTAGGGATGTCAAATCGGTCAATATTTGATAATCGGTTACTCGGACGATTTTCCGATCGAGTACCCGGGTACTCGGTAAAATTGTAAAATACAAATGTGTTAATTTTATTGAGACCAGTTAAGCCCTGTTTAACCCCAACGTTGAATTTTTAACTTTTTTTATGTTTGTACACAAACATCGAGCAAAACGAAAATTTTTTGCACTAAATTTATTTCTCAAATAAACACAAAAGACAACAATTAATGCATCATTAATTAGAAATGGTTTATAGTTCTTGTTTAGGGAGACGATTTGATCAACACAAGAGGAAAACAATCTGTAACGTAGCTTTGCAATGATTAGACAAGCGCAAGATATTGTTTTTAAAGAAAGGGATATTGTCGAGATCGCTAGATATTATTTAATTAATACGTGTATGTTGGTTGTTTTCCCCATATGCGCTATGTTAACTTTGCACAGCTAATTTAAACATTTTTTAAATCTTTACTTCTTTCCTAATGTTTTTTTTTTCACTTTTGAAGTGGTAGCGGTATCTCTTTGTACGTCCGAATTCGCTACCGTATGAAAACTTTATTATTTTAGGATAATAAAACCCTAATTAAACGATATTCATTAAATACTAATCATTAAAGCTATGTAAAAAACTAACGGATCACAAGAGGTGATAAAAGCTGTGTAGGAGATTGGTCACGGTAATTACTGTATAAACAAGTCCACAGCCACAGACAATAACGGGTATTGACAGGTGTGGGTGACGCTAATTACAAGGTAAACAAGGACAAATCATTTTGAAGTTGCATTTTTTGATAAGTTTTTGATAAAAAAAATATATATACTTTGTTCTTTGAAATATGAAAAAAAAATATACATCCGAGTAACCGAGTAGCGACTTTAGTATTCGATACTCGGACGTTCGATCGAGTACTCGTTGACATCCCTAATATATATATATATATATATATATATATATATATATATATATATATATATATTTATAGGGAATATCAAGCATGTTACATGAATTTGTACACTCATTGAATGAAGGAAATGTTTTCAAGCTGTGCAAAATTACCACAAGAAGGCAGGCTCTGGGCTGAATAGCTGGTAGGACACAGGCATTTGGAACAGTAAGAAGTTGTATGTTTACAGAAAAGGAAGTGATTTTCTAAATCAGACAAGGCGTGAAAGGAAAGACGAAGGCAGAAATATACCTCTAAAGACAACCGCGCGAAAAGATGGACTCAGAAGAAAGACTTTTAAGAAGAACCACTGGAATAGAACTAATCAGTACCAGTTGTGTAATATTAGTTACAAAAAAATCACTAAACTGTCGACATCGATATCATTATCCGCAGTTTGAACATTGAAAGAAAATGATATGAAGCAGGACTAACTGCATAAACCAATGCTTAGCCCCAAAACCCAGCACTATAAAACCTACGAGGGCTTGCAAAATTGAGCATAGGATCATGGGAGAGAGTTTTGAGGACCAACCCAAGTGTTTAATTCGAGATGACAAAGCGATCTAACAAGAGTAAATTTTAAGACCCAGTGCTTCCTGTAAAAGATATATAAAACTATTTTCTCTTGGATGTTTGACTAGAACATCCTGGAATGGATTTTATAAGGGGACAACATCCTGGAATGGATTTTATAAGGGGACAACACATGATTAGATCCTTTGCTCTTTTGCTGCTTCATTGATACGGTTCTCCACACGGTAATTATTTACCGTTTTCATTTAATATTTTTTAGTCGCCATTTATGATGCTCGTAGAACACCCAGTTTGAATATGACCAGAACACTTAGTGCAACTGCAGTTTCATGAACTGAATTATCTTTCACAAATGGCAGCCTTCACAATTTGCGAAGGATCTCTTTAGTATGCTGAATATTTGAAAAAAATATATATTCACTTGGTATTACTGTGGTTTCTACCTTTTAGTTCAGCATTTTGTTTGAGGTTACTGAACAGAGGATCATTCATACAAATGCTCAAATCAAGCAAACATTTTATATCTTTATCGGTTAGTAAACAGAATCGAACACAAGAAGGAAAACAGTTAACATGTTCAAAATTGAGTCTCAGGGTCATTGATTATATAGGTCAATGACTTCGTAATCCATTTTTTGACACAGTTTACGTAATGTATTTTAAGACAGGAATGAGAGAAAAAAAATCACACTACAAGCAGATTGATAATATAAAGCATTTGCTGTGTAACATCAAATCATAGCTGTTAGGAAATGTCCCAGTAATATTAGATATCTAAAAATAGTTATATCTACTCGGAGATAATTATCTTTAAAAGGTTCGAGATAAAAAGGTTGTCGAATTCAGTTAGCTTTAAACTTTAATACTCAATTGACTACTGTGATAAAAAAGAAAGCGTGTTTTTGTCATAAACAGCTGTAATTTAAAATTCTGGGTCACCTACGTATTGATACTGGTCACAAGTTGAATTGAACAAGCAGTACTATCGAGAGAGATTCATGATCCACGTAATTCCACCTTACATAAATCAAAGGTGCAGATCAACTGGAAAACAAACTGTATGATTATTTTTAATCATCCTCGGAGAACAACATGCCAGACACTCGCACAAAAATTTTGGGGATTGTAAAGGATGTTTGGTCTTATAAGTCCATCTTCATGCCAATTCTGGCAACCCTCTTGCCGCTGTCCATGGCCATCAACTCCGAATCTGAGGTAAGTATTTATAATTTAAAAGAACACTACAAATATTTTTTTATGAAGTTGGTATGATACTTGTACACAGTGGACCATATCTACCATATAGACCAAAAACACGTAACAGCAGGTGCCCTAATCAATATTTGGTCATATCTTCTTGATAAAATATTGCATGATTTCTGAAATTGAAAGAAAAAATAAAACGTGATATCTTTTTTTACATATATATATTTTTATGCAGTGGAAAATTGTTTACATGTTTTTGTTTACATGTTTTAAAAGGTGAAACAAAACTGTAAAAAAAAAAATTAAATAAGGCATACAATTTATGCAGTATGTTGTACGTCGTAAATAGCCTTTGATAACAGATAAAGAAATATGGTCTCGAAAAGTCTTCAAACATGAATAAAGAAATTAAACCTCAATTGTACCCTTCTGTGGTAGGCGACACGATGTGGCTACACTATGATCGTAATGGCGGCCCTCTGGCTCACGGAGGCCCTACCTATTCCAGTCACTGCTCTTCTGCCCATTATAATGCTACCTATGTTGGGTGTGTCCACTGCAAAGGAAGTCAGCAGCAGTTACGTCACGGTAAGGACAGCTGTTACGTAAAAACTCAGTAATGCATGCAAAAGAAAATCATTGTTGAAATTCTTTAATTACTTTGCATTTCAATCAAAGTGTAACTGAAGATAATAATCTTATTTTTAGTGGACATAAGGTCTATTTGCTTATATTTATAATCTATGACCTTAAAGTAAATAAAGCCCTCCAAATGAGGTCAAAACGCTGTTTGAAAATCATCTGAAAATAGTTTATTATTTGCTGGTTGGCATTTTCACAACTCTCAATCAAACCACGAATTTCTTTCTCTCCTTTATAGTTTTTCCTCTATTAATGGTTAAGGAAAAGGAAGGGTGATGTTAACTTTAAAGCAAATTAATATCTAGTGAGTTTATAGATGTTTTAGCCTAAGATAGTAAGTTAGAGCCTATGTATTAGTACATTTACTCTAATACCAGAGGTAACACCCCGGAGTTATTGTCATCATGGTTAGTACACCTCTATATTTGTTTGGAAAGCATTGTTAAATTATTTTCCTGATTCTAAATACGATGCTGCATTCGAGGTCCTTTTGAGTAATTGGTATGAAATATGGTGATAACGAACTGTGATCAAGCTCACAATACAAATCGGGAGCAGAGCAAACACGGACCTCTAAAAAACATGCGAAATGAATGGGATCAGGTTCCATGGAGGAGTAAGCATCCCCTGTCGACCGGTCACACCTGTCGTATGTTCATTGCCATGATCGGGCGAACGGAAAAATCCGTAGACAATTCAGAGTATAAATAAGAATTTAACAATTAGTATGAAAAACTTCAGTCAGCATTCAAATTAATGATAGATTGTATTTGCTAACAAGGTCATTGTAGACGTTAGAATAGTCATCACGTTTATCATAAAGTTTTGTTGTTAGGTTACCATTTTTAGTTTTCTGGTAAAATATCCAAATATGGAACAGATGTGTCAGACTCTGTGGTATTTTTTATTTCAAGTTCACTGGGATATATCGAGTCGACATATGAATGGAAGTAACTATTGTTAATTGATAAAACGTCGTCGATATATCTACATGCCGAGTTGAAGGCCACAGCAACTGTCTTCTTCTTCTCTTGTACAAGTTTTTGAATAAATTCTTCATATGAATACAAAAATAAGTCCGTGTATAGTTAAATCGATGTTTTTGAAGGATGTCCTGATGTTTGTTGTTTTTGGGAGGCTTTGCTGAGTTATTGCTCTTATGTGTAGAAATTATCTATGGGATTCTCCCCTGTATTTGGAGACCTTATTGGGTCATTGTCCTGATATTTGAGTTAAGTCTATACCGGTTTGGAGGGGCTTGTCGAGTTATTGTCTGATGCATGTTGGACTCTTCTATGTTGGTTTTGAGGGCCTTACTGGATTATTGACCTGATGTTGGGGTTTTAGGAGGGTTTATTAAATTAGTTCTTAATGTTTAGGACACGTCAATGCTATTTTTGGGAGGCCTTATTGTGGCTGTGGCAGTTGAGGAATGGAATCTTCACAAGAGAATATCTTTGACTATACTCAGGATTGTTGGATCACAACCTAATCTGTAAGTATCTCCGAACATTTGCAACTAAAACGATTGAATTTCAGCTAATTTCTTAACAGACATCACTCAATTCTAATTCCATTGATTATGAAATGTAAACAGAACAGCTTCCTTTAGCATTGAATTTATTTAAGCTATTTTTCTGAGAGGAGAGAGAAATCGTGAATAATTTTCTATCTGAATGCTCCAAATTGTCTTTACGTTCTTTCCTCCGTGCGCTTTGTAAATCGTAAAAGAGTGACGCTTCATGTATTTTCGAAGGACAAAAGTATCTACTAAATTAACGGCATTCCTGCCAAACCCCTGTTAAGGTCTAGCGGATTGCGAGAAAAGTTTGGAAGTTGATAGTTTTGATGAAAGTGGGTTGTATATATCAATCTAATATGCTTTCCCCTCTTGCTCTTGTCTGACTGTTTGAAGCAACAGGATAACTTTTCAGCAATAAATTACCAAAGAAGACCCAAATTAATTCTTTATTTACCATATGACTCTAAAAAATAAAATGGAAACATTTTACGTCAGTTTGATGCTTGGTCTCATGTTGCCTACGTGGTTTCTGTCGATGTGGATCAGCAATACTGCAGGGGCCGCCATGATGTTACCTATAGTATCAGCTGTGACGGCACAGGTTAACTCAGCCAACATCGAAGATGGTGAGCTATAATTTTTTTTTAAACATTAAAGAAAGGAATAGTTTATAATTCACCACTTACCAAAATATAGATATTTTTTTCATAATTGTAACCTTGTCGTTGAATTTGCATTTAAGACTCTTTGTGTAAAGATGAGGATATAATTTTAGGTATTTAGACATAGGAAAACTAAAACTTTGTAGATCACATGTAACCCTCTACTTCAATAGTAACGTTAACATAAAGTCTTGTAATCGAAGTAAAATTGAAAAAAAAATCAATATTTTACTTTAAAAGACGGTTTGATTCAAAATTCTTTCAAGGGTTTCTTAAAAAGGTTACTTACTAGAGGGTATACATTGCCTAATAATAGCTTGTGTCATAATTATCCACAGATGCTGCAAGTCACCCTGAAGACATATCCCCCCTAAGAACGGAAAGTGAAAACCAGAAAGGGGAGAATATAGCTTTAACGTCGGTAAATCAGGAAGCAGCTGGAAAGGCTAGTAAGGAATACAAGCAGGCTAGAGGAAGTTCAGGAAGTGATGAGAGGATTGTAAAAGACAACCGGTATTGTCAACAAAATACTAATTAACTATAAACATCCAAACATATTTACACTACAAAAGAATCACTTGTCTTTAAGGCCAATATTTCAAAATCCTTTTGCTTGAATCTGAATTCAAGGAAACGTCCATATTTTTCTAAGTTTGTTTGATGACTGTTTAAATGGTGTTTATCCGATGTCACCAAGTGAACCCTCTCTCCCATAAACTTTGTTTAACACTGGAGTATTGCACAAAATTAAATTATTGAAAAAAATTAAGGGATTACATGTTTGTACTGCAGTGTCCCACCGAAGAAAAAGAAAGTGACTTCAACTGATCAACAACACAACAGACTCAGTAAAGCTCTGGCATTATCTATTGCCTACGCTGCCAACACCGGCGGCATTGCCACACTCACCGGAAGTCCTCCTAACTTGATCTTCAAAGCTGTGGTGGACGAGTAAGCCAAATTTTGATAATTTCTAAAAAAGAAAATCACTCTCTTCTATCGGCTCTGCTTATATCATTACAATTAGTGCAATTTATATGTAGTTTGCTTGTTTTTAATTCCTTATACTGATAATGAGATATTTGCATTATTTTTTATCTTTTAATAAAGATATTTACTCTTGATTATCTAGAACTATAACTTTAATTTGAGTTTATCCTTTGATTCCTATTTCTACATTTGCATATGGTTTCCCTTATATAACACTCTCTGGACAAGGCAAATTTCATTCATTTTTGAACATTTATCGAGATGTAAATAGAGGTTGAACACATGACCAACCCGTATTTTCTTGTATATCTTGATAAAAGCTTTAAAAATGATACCTTATTTCTTAATTAAATCCTTAGAAAGAATAGAAAGGTATTCTTTTTACTGAACGTCAAAAATCTTGACATTAGCCCATAGCAGAGGTGTCTTAGAAAGGACTGAACGACAACTCTTTATGGGAGATTAGGAAAAAATTTCAGATTTCATACAAAGAAACACTGGCGTTAAATCTATGTACAGGCAAAGTTTGTTGGTGTCGATTAGTAAAGTATGATAAAAAAAAGGTTGCATGTATTAGATATTGATTATACTTCGTTTTTTTGAAAATTACATGTGTTTGAAGTTTCCGTTCCAAGCCATCTAACAATATTAACATAGAAAATAGTCAGTTTAGAAAAACATTCACTTGAAACAACCATGTTGTAGGGCATTTGCGACGGCGGGTAAAAAGTATGATGGCGAAGAATGGAGCTCAGGCGTCAACTTTACCTCCTGGCTGCTGTTTGCTTTACCTATCTCATTTCTGACCCTGATACTGGGATGGCTGTGGTTACAGATATTCTTCCTCAGATGCTAGTGTGTAAATATTCTTTATTACTACATCTTTTATTTACAAATCACTAAAAATTGGCTAAGGGGATATATGCGAAATTTGAAAAAGAGTACACTTTAAGAACCTTTTTAATATAAAGTAAGAGCTTTATATAAACAAGTCCTCCTATAGTTTTAATAGGAAATGTTTTGAATTATACACAGATATTTTGTGTGCTTCAGGTTTATTAATGAATTTGTGGTAAGAACTTCAAACTTTAACCAGGTTAAAAGTGCTGGTAGCAAAGTCAAAACACGTCTTTCCAATCCGACTACATTGGTTTTATAGTAAATCCTGTGAGTGCTTCAGAAAAGTGAAGTCTGAGCGAGACAGGCGAATACGTGAAATTATAGCAAAGGAATACAGGACCATGGGCTCAATAACGTAAGATATGTCCTATTCAAGGTTAAAGTTTCTCATGGATCGTATCTTTTCAGTTGATAATATATAACATACATGTAGTACATCATTTTGACAGTGTCAAGGTTTTGTGATATCATTCCTCTGTTTGTGTAGTTGGGCGACTTAATAGTTAAGGTGTAAATGCTTATGTATTTGCCTTGTCACATATTGCTGAGCCTGGTCTGATATTTTTTATAAATAAAATTATATACATTTGTGGTATCTCTCTGTTATATTAACATGCAGAGAGAAAAAAACTACCTTCGTCACAGAAAATTCGCTTCAAAACGGAACCCTTTGGCAAGTGAATTCAAAGCGTAACAGCTTTTCAAGCCGATTTACACCTTGCGCCGTTTTGTCAAAATCTACCACGGACAGTTAGTGCATATTGATATACAACTGTCCGTCTTAAATGTATATATAAGTAATAAATAATGGATGTTGAAAAATCTAACAATAACATTCTTATAAAAATTTGTTGGAGTGTTAGTGGGTGTATGTATTGTTATGGGAACTAATTTTAGCTTCGCAGAGTGTGTGGTTGCCGTAGTATTTCTCTGTTTAGCAGTATTGTGGATCTTCCGAGAGCCACCCAATATATCAGGCTGGGGAAGACTATTCAAAGACAGGTAAAGTTCATTCAGATCAAAATATTGTATTATAAAGCTGTATTAATGTGTATAAAGTGACTAATTACGATAAAAGTCTGTTTGGTAATTTGTTGTAGATATATCACTGATTCTACACCTGCTATCGTTATTGCAGTATCTCTGTTCTTTCTTCCTGCTAAAGTGCCATCCATTTTCTGCCCAAATAAACCCGGTATTTTCAGTTTTACTTATCAATAAGGAAGTTTTTATTTTTTGAAAGAATTCCATATCTTTTCTCAAATAAATCCTGGAAGTAACAAATAAATAAATGTTAGGTGAAAACCGCTATACTCCTATTCTGACCTGGGAGAAGACAGTCCAGAAAGTGCCATGGGGAGTTATCGTTCTTCTTGGCGGAGGATTCGCTTTAGCCAAAGCCAGTATAGTAAGATATTGAATATCATCTGGAAACTGAAAATAGAATATACAAAGTCATTATGACAGAAGATTAACAAACGATGTTTCTCACTTTTTTGTTTTAAAAGTGTAACAACTACAAAATTTGATAGTTTGCGAAATTTGAAATAGTTTTCAAATTTGAAATATTGTATATTTTTTTCAGCGTTCAGGTCTGTCTAAATGGTTTGGGGACAGTTTGGAGTTCCTATCAGATTACAGTCCATTTGTACTCTGCCTTATTATTAGTCTTCTAGTGGCCTTAGTAACAGAAGTCACCAGCAACACAGCAACTGCAACACTGCTAATGCCAATATTACAAGAACTGGTATGTTGCTTAAACAAAACAAACATGTTCAGTTTATTATTTTGGAAAAAAATATGTAATAATCAACATAACATCAGTGCAAAATAAAGAATGAAGGAGTGAAAAATAAAATTATGTTCCAACAAACATACCAGAGAGTAAAGAATATAGAGTCAAACATAAATAATGATAAATGAAAAACGAATGGGGGTTGGGGGGGTTGGGTTATTGAATTCTTACATTTAAAGTCTATGTTCTCTAAATTTTCTCTTCAATTTCATAATTATGGATCCATAATTAACAGTCCATCACTGCCGGTCTAAATCCTATATATCTGATGATGGCGGCAGCTGTAGCCTGTTCTTTCGCCTTCATGTTACCCGTGGCGACACCTCCAAGTGCCATCGTGTTTTCACACGGATTCCTTACTATTCCTGATATGGTACGTCTAATTACAAGATTTCCTATGTTTAGTTGATAAAAGAACATGTTAATACTTTAGTTTTTCTCCAAATAAGTTGTTTCTTTTCTTTCAAAAATTTAGAAAATAGACATGCAGAAAAATTTTGGAGGTTTCAGGAACTGCCTTCAGCCTTGGGCAAAAGTTTCCCAAGTCTTCCTCATTACCTCGGGACAGCAGTTTGACTGTTTCCCTCGTAGACATGTATATTATGTGACTTTTTCGTGATTACTAAGAGACTTTATTTCCCATGTACAAAGGTTACATGTGTCGTATGAGTCTTAAATCAAATGTAGGTTCTAGAAATGCTTAAAAGAACTTTTTGAAAATTTAAAATCTCAAAACATTTCGAACATCAATGGCATCAAAACATATGACTTTTCTACGCTTTATTTAACCATTCCTAACGATAATCAAACAGCAGATTTTTGACAACATAGACAATTGCTTCCTAAAAAATGGAACTCGTTAATCATCCTCTCTTTTGATTGGCCATCTACAAAATTAAATTGTAAAAATCTTTCTGATTCTACATACTGGTACTCTGAAGTTGATATTTAAAGGATGCTGTATTTGCTTTTTGTAGTCTTTAAGGACCAGGTCTTCTATAAGGATCTACTGGAATTCCGATGAGAACTTATTGCTTTTGTACTAAATTAAATTTGACTATAGAATGCTTCATCTATTGGATTAATACATATCCTTACTAAGGCTATGTATAACGTCGGGTGCTAACGTCGGGTGTGTCCGGTCGACAGGGGATGCTTACTCCTCCTATGCACCTGATCCTACCTCTGATTTTTCCAGGGGTCTGTGTTTTTGCCCTGTTTACTATTCATTTTGTATACTGGATTTATAAAATTGATCACTGTTTGTTATCTTCACCTTTTACATCTTTATAGAATTGATCCAAGGTCATTTGGACAAGAGAAAATTCATTTGAGATGGGCTAAAACTTAGTAAATGTAACAGAGAATATTAAAAACTGATTATTGATGAAAAATGTAATACATACTTCTTTTAAAAATTGTGTTAAAGGTAAATGGGGGTAAGTATGTTAAATAGTATTTTGAAATACTCTTATGATACTTTTTCTTTTGACTGATTGTATGTGTTGTATTGATTGTATGTGAAAAGCAGACCTTTTCTTGTATTCATATGAAGCAGAATTTGTCCAAAATCTTATACGTGAAAAGAAGAAAACACTTGCTGTGGCCTTCAACTCGACAATTAGATATATTGACGACGTATTGTCAATTAACAATGGTTATTTCCATTCATATGTCGATACTATATATCCCGGTGAGCTTGAGATAAAAGATACCACAGAGTCTGACACATCTGTTTCATATTTGGATATTTACTTGAAAAAGACGTTAATGGTAATCTAACAAACAAGCTTTATGATAAACGTGATGACTAACTTTTCAATCGTCAACTTCCCTTACTTATGCAGCAATATACCTTCATCACCTGCATACGGGGTTTATATCTCTCAGTTGATTCGATACGCAAGAGCATGCTCTACGTATGTACAATTTCTAAAACGAGGTAAATTATTGACAAACAAGTTGATGAAACAAGAATTTCAGTAGTCTCGTTTAAAGTCATCATTTCGTAAGTTCTATAGTCGATATATTGACCTTGTTAGCAAATACAATTTATCATTGAGTCAAATGCTGACTGACGTTTTTCATACTAATTGTTAGGCCATTATTTACACTGAATTGTCGACGGGTTTTTCCGTTATTTCCCGATCATGACAAGGAGCACACGGCGGGTGTGACCGGTCTGCAGGGGATGCTCACTCCTCCATGGCACCTGATCCCACCTCTGATGTTTTGGAGGTCCGTGTTTGCTCTGTTCCTATTTTGTATTGTTTAATGGACTTTTGAGCTTGAATACTGTTCGTTATCTCCATATATTTCATTGTTTAATGTCCCATTCGAAATTTTTTCACTTAGAGAAACGTCACTTATTTTTAATCTATGCATGGTGCTTACGGCCTAGCAGAAAGGATCTTTTTCGTGACTGCGCCTTCCGTGACACGGGGCTTCGGGTTTTAATGTCTCTTCCGAAGGACCCGTGATTTTCACTACTAGTGCTGGGCGCTTAGCGAAGGAAGGTCAAGACTTATTTCAAAGACTCAGGTTTGACGCGGAGCCGGGACCGAGAATCGAACCTGGAGCCTCCCGATTACGAAACGAATGCTCTACTACTAGCTAGGCTACCGCGACCGGGCCACGGAACTCTTTGTTTGAATTAAACATAAGCCATATATGTTCAAAAATATCTCAAAAATGAAAAGAAATTTAAATGTAATTTTAATTCCTTATTTCTGCAAAGCTTTATATGATACAGTACCTCTTAAACAACCTATGTAAAAGGACCTTCGTCTTCGTATTTCAGAAACACTTCAACATCAAGGAATTATATTACCAGTATGCGTAACATGTTATGTTTGTTTTTTTAGGCCTCTGCAGGATTGATGATGAACGTTATTTCAGTGTTTGTTCTTACAGTTGGAATCAATAGTTGGGGAAAACTTTTGTTTGATTTTGACAATATACCAGTGATATTTCAGGAAATACAAAATACCACAGAGACCCCAATGTCTGACATGTACAATTCCTCATCTGTGTGATCTACAATCTCCTGCATACCTCAATTTTAAATTTGATCGTCAGTATTAAAAAAGGACAAAAACTTCAATGATTAAACGAAAAGAAGAATAATTCTCGAAAAACAACAAAAGAAAATAACAAGAGCAACCCCTTGGAAATCCACTATTAAGAATGAATCAGTTTAAGCGAATATTTTTGTATGATGGAGTTGACTATCAGTTTCCTTTCATGCCATGCTACCTCTTAGTCTACTGTTCATAGAAACCAGGGACTACTGTTATGTAATGTCCTATATATACTCTTTTGATTATGACGAAAACGTGAAAAGCATGAGTTGAAAATAAAAAGCACTAAATATTTATTTGTGTTGAAGATATTTTTGCATTGAATAGAAATAGGAAAAAAGTATACATCAGGACGCCTATATTCCAGATCAGATTGTCCGGACTACTGAAACATACTTGGTATATACATGTATAAATCGTTCCTCCTACAAATTTCGTCCAGAAGGTGGAACGTCCGGATTATTGGCGTGTGGATTAAAGAGGATCTACTGTATACATGTATTAGATACGCAGTTACAGAACTGATACGGAAAGAAAACCAGTAACTGGTACCTGTATGTGAACCCCTAATTGTTGTCTTACATTCAGACAGGGATTGGACAGATGAATTTGAATGTAAATTTGACAGACTGTATCCCTGTGTCCGTAAAGAATGGCTTTGATAAGGATGTGCATTCTTCAGTCAGGAAAAATTACTTCAAATTAGCATTTATTTATTAGGCTACATAAAATGTACATTAGAATTAAATTCTTTTTGAGCATCTTTTATCATTTTGTTTTTCAACCCTTTAGAACAAATTAGTAAAAAAAATTGATACTTCCTTTTATGAAAGGTCAAATAATTTGTTCAGAATTCGTTTCAATCAAACGATCGAAATGCCTAATTTGTAATAAGGAAAAAAGGCGATAAATAATTACATATAACTTAGAGTATGAACACCATTATGTAAATCGTCATCATTTAATCTTACCTCATATTTCTTACCATAACCAACAAGAATCTTCATATATCCGCAAAAGTCTGGAACTACAACCACTTTCTTTGATTTATCTACGACAGCATTAGACTATGACAGACAGGGTGGAAAAGTTTGCCATAAACAAGCGTCTGATTTATATGAACCAGAGTTCGTTATCGATTATTATTAAAAGAAATCATTTCTTTAACTTGAATTAACCCAGGTTATTGTATACGCAAGAGCATGCTCTACGTATGAACAGTTTCTAAAACGAGGTAAGATATTGACGAACAAGTTGATGAAACAAGAATATCAACAGTCTCGTCGACAGATTTTTCCGTTCTTGACAAGGAGCACACGGCGGGTGTGACTGGTCGGCAGGTGTTTACATGTTTACATCATGGCACCTGATCCCACCTCTGATGTTTTTGGAGGTCCGTGTTTGCTCTGCACCCGATTTGTATTGTTTTAATGGAGTTTGAGCTTGATTACTGTTCGTTATCTCCATATTTTATTGAATAAGCGCACAACTATGTTTCAAACAACAATCACAAATAGAAATCCCTCAGTTGTAGAAACAACAAAAAAATATCCGCCATGCATTGCCAGATGTTCTATACACCAGATATTGGTTGTTGTTGTTTTTTTTTTTAAACTTAGATTTTTTTAGGCGTGAAACATCTAAACAGTTGCACAGATATGTAAGGTCATTATCATTTTTTGCCTTAACAGGTATTTGTTAAGCTATTTTCAAGAAGAAAATACTGCATACATATTACAAATGTTGTGACTTCTCCAATATAGTTTTGTAATTTACAGTGATCCTAAAGCCTCTGCATGAATTTTATGTGAATAGTTTGTTACTATGAATTTCTTATCTCACTTTTATCGTTCTGGAAAACCTTAACATGCATGATTTCAAATATTGTATTTGTCGTATAAATTATAAGTTAAAATTACAATGATAGAAATGTTTTCTTCAAATGTTTTTTTTAAAACATCAAGTACCTCTTTTTTTTTTTTTTTAAATTTGAATGATGATATGAAATGATTAGATATTTTGGATAGGTATGATTACACATGTCATTGTGAAGATTCCACGTTTGTTTTTTGTGTGTGCTAATTTGCTAACCACTGAAGATTTGTCATTTGCAATGATCTGACGTCTTAGGAGGGAAGGACTAAAGTGCAATACTTTCCTTCTTACAGTTACCTTGATGTGAGATTGAACGTTTTAGTTTAAGATTACCTTTAATAAAGGGGTTTTATATAATGCGCAGCAGACCAAGTGTTTATTACTTCATGGATTAAAACGGGAAAACATCCAGGTGTTTAGTTTGCATGTGATTTTTTTCTTCTTCAGATTTGCTCTTTAGATGGTTGTGAAGTCCTAGATATTGTAAGTTTATAATATGGCTAAGTCTTCTGATTTGATTTGATTTTAAAAAGTCTATATGCTTTCAGAATGAAAGAGAGGGGGTAGGTACATGAAAAACCAACCTGTAATAAAACTGTCGTTTAAAGAAATCTTTACATATGGGTTGCTCGTAAAAAAAATAAAATCACGAAATGATGTCTTGTCAAGCTTATAACAACACTAATTTAAACTTAGGAGGGTGGTATCAATGGATGAAGAATTACAGAAGCTAAGTAATCATAGATTACTGAATGTTTAAAAACAAAGAACGCGGAAAGCATTAGCTTACCACCAGCGAAACGTCTTTAAGTGTGTATGAATCGGTAAATGTTACATTTATTTGCAGCTAGCTTCAAAGTTTTCATTCCGTGTGTTACGGCTATGATTTCTAAAAATTTCAATATCGAAATGCTCCATTTGCAATACTGTTTGGGCAACATTTTGTTTAGTTTATACAAAAAAGCATAAAAAATATAGTGCCCGTCCATTTGACCAAGTGTTCTGTTTACAAAACAAAGTAAAAGACGTGATGAAATAAGCAAGTGGAGTGCGACAAGTGTTTGATGATATTTGAGACATTGTCAGTTCCTTTTACACCTAGCAGTGTCAACAGATACCTCATAAAGGTAAATGCTGCTTTTCATGAGTGTAATCTAGTTTTCATCAATATGAATGCTGTCTATTGATTTGTTGACGAATGACAGATTAGCTGGGAAGCTGTGTGGTCACGCTTGACAGAGAAAAAGGTCACAAAGAGTTTTTAGATTTGCTGTTTTGATGTCTTCTTACCTGGCGAAGGTAAACAAAGAAGCAAAATGCCGAGGAGGAATTGTGTTCTGTTCTTAAAGAATCTCGTGGCATTACGTCCCCTATTCTTGGTGCCGATTGCTTTTCTTGCCCCACTTCCACTCTTGGATGACGGCGCGGTGGTAAGTTATTATTTTTTTTTCTCAAAAAGAGAAAATAAAAAGAAAATTAAAGAGAACATATATGTAAATTGCTCTTTGCCTATCAAATGCATATGGACGATACCCGGAGGCACGTGTTAAAAATGAATGCATGTTTCAATGTGCGCTGCATGGATGCTAAGTCGTAATTATAATATAACTGACAATTAGAAAACAGTGTTTATGTAAACTTGTATTCATAATAAATCAATTTCAAACCAAAGGTTCTACGTTTTGATAATAAAACGTGCTGTTGATAGATTGTCACTTTCTACGAACACTTCAATGTCATAAAGAGAAAAGGAAATGTAAATAAGGTGCACTCCTTACTTAAAGAAACAAAAATACCTGTGCAAAAACACTAAGACCACATTTTATTGACATACGATGATAAACAAGAACACTTTGAAAGTAGGATTTACGGGGGGTCACATTGTTAAAATTTCGAATATATAAAATAAATTTTTAAATATTTCCATTAGAAAACCAAGGTCAAAATGACCATTGGAGTGTTTTCCCGAAAAATAATACATTAAGAATCTAGAAAAGTGTCTATTTACAAAATGAATAATGAAATATGTCGAAATAAAACTATGTGAAGCGAATCAAAATGAAGTGATTTTTTCCTTGAAGGAGTCACGATGTTCTTACGTTGTGGTGGTGATGGCCATTCTATGGTTGACGGAAGCCCTGCCTATTCCGGTAACAGCACTAATGCCCGTATTTCTCATACCCATGTTTGGCGTGCTCCCTGGAAAAAAAATCTGTGCAGCCTATGTAAACGTAAGAAAGAAACGTTGGAATATAGATGAAAAAATGTGATAATGTGAATGAATTGCATAATACATGCATACAAAGATTATTGTGAATGAATTGCATTTACATGCATACAAAGATTATTAAAGCTTTACGCGAGCAGCATGAACCTGTGATGTAAATAGATACACACGTATTTCTGTTTTTGAGCAGACAATGCTTTTGAGGTAGTTTAAATGACTTTCTTCCAAAAATTAAGCAAAAGTGTCCGTAAACAACTTTACATAACTCTTCTTCTCTAGAGAAATCGCAGGGTAAAAAAGTGTGTTTGAAAAAAATTAAACCAGGAAAGAAATATTTTTCTTCAGAAAAGTAACAAGTAAATTGACATGGATATTATGTAATAAAAGTTATGACGAATATATGTTTACAATTCTTGGTACAATAAGTTTTAATTTTGTATGATCAAAGAAAAAACTTCCTCAAGATAAATAAGCAACTATAATATAAAAATTTATAAGTACATGATTGTATATAAATATTATTCACTTTATTTCAGTAAATACATTTAAAGATCAAGTCTGAATCAGACCATAACTTGTTGAAAAATTCCGATTGAAACTAAAGATACATGTACTTTTATAAGTACAGCAGTCTTTTTTTTCATTTCTCTCAGGAAATATTAAAATACTTTATATTTTAAAGTAATGAAACATCTCTGTACAACCAGATATTAGTAAAACATCAATTCTTGTTTGATAGGCTACAAAAGAATTAGTGTTGCATTCAAATAATTTTTCAAGTTTTGGAGACACAATGCAACACCTTTACCATACTATTTTGTCAGGATGAAAATCAATATATATATATATATATATATATATATATATATAGCCCATGGAGAATATAAAGTGCGAAACGTTCACGTTATTTTGTATTAATATATCAATCACGCTACGAGAGAGAGAGAGAGAGAGAGAGAGAGAGAGAGAGAGAGAGAGTTTTACATGTATAGGGTGAGAAAACCGAGTCGCATTACTGAGGCACTGATCAAATTTCTTAGAAGAATTACCATATCCTCACGCTTTGTCCAGTCATTCAGGCAAACACATAAAAAAGCATAATCTTAAAGGCAATAGAGGCCGCTTGGATGGATTTTTTTTAAAGAGAATATATTTCTAGCCGTCATTTAAAGACAAATATTTGATTTTTTTCGTCGTCAATTCTTCCTTAAGAATAAGTACAGACTGGGATTATCTGTTTTCATAGTAGGACAATTATAACATATCTAAACTTTGACAGATTATTGACGAAAAAGTGAGAATAAAGAAAATTAGCAGTTCGGAAAATGTTCTATAGTGGTCAAAATCAATACGAAAAATCTCTCAGTAAAAAAGAAATAATAGTAAATAAATTTATTTGTTAGTATCAGATTGATATATTTGGAGTAATCATACTATTGTTTCTGTAGGACACGTCTATGTTGTTCCTGGGCGGACTTATTGTGGCTGTAGCGGTAGAAGAGGTCAACCTTCATAAACGTATAGCAATGGCTATCCTCTCCCTAGTCGGCTCCCAGTCCAATCTGTGAGGATATCTACATATCACTTAAAATCAAAATTATAATAAATTTGAATTTACATACTTGAAAACACATTTAGATTTCATTAATTTCAGATTGATGCTCGGGTTAATGATACCCACGTGGTTTTTGTCCATGTGGATCAGTAACACTGCAGCGACATCTATGATGGTTCCAATTATAACAGCGTTAGCAACGCAGACAGTGGAACTGGAGACAAATGAAATCACTCGTAAGATTTTAATCTGTACAAGCATAGTTTTAAGATTCATATAATTCGAAAATAAATTGTTTATAACTCATGTACAGAAAATGGAGGTGTGAAAAACGAAGGATTTGAAGACATGGAAATTGATGAAAGTGGAAAAGAGAATGAAGGGAAAATTCCAAACGGAAATACTACACATAATGGAAATAATGATGTGAAGCAATCGTAAGACCAAAGACACATACATACTATTTTCATCTTATTCTCTTAAGAAACCTCTACTTATGTTATCTGTGAATGATTGCAGAGTCTTTCATTGTGAAAAAACAGAGTAACTGATGATATTAAAAAAAACTGTCTGGATATTAGAATTGAAATCAAAAATAAATGATTTTTAGACTCTTTAATCTAGGAAAAGAAAAGCAGCAGAAATGAAGAAAATGAGCAAAGGGTTTGCTTTATGTGTTGCCTATGCGGCAAATATTGGAGGCGTTGCAACGCTAACGGGCACGCCCCCAAATCTCATTTTGCAGGGACAAGCCAATGAGTACGTTAAAGATTAGTTTGAGATTTATTCATCCAACTGATGTTGTGCAAATTAGTTTACCTTAAAGTTATAACTGTATAATGTACATGTACTTTGCTTTGTTTATGGACAGATTATACTCTGGTCGAGCTCCAGGGACGGATAGCGGAATCACCTTTGCTAAATGGATGGGATTCGGGTTGCCTCTTTCTATTATTGTACTGGTGCTAGCCTGGATTTGGCTCCAAATTATGTTTCTCGGCTCTTCGTAAGGCTTCTTCTGAATTTGAAGCCAATGATTTGTTGCTTAGTATATCTATCCATTTTTGTTGAAATAAATTTTGATAGAGTGTTATAATTGAATATTCTGCCTTATATATAATTAACAAAATAAACAAAATCCAACTTTTTTCTATTTGTTTTTTCAAATCATTTTCTTTTCTAACCAGATGTTTCCGAAAACAAGACCCCGCTAAAAGAAAAGCAATAAAGTTGATCATAGATGAAGAAAAGAAAAAACTTGGACCAATCAAGTTTGTACATGTACAGCTACGTTTTACTGTGAATGTTTACAAATCAAATATTGATGACTTTGTTAATTTCCTTCAATGTTCATTTCTGTTTCCCTTCCCTAGATTTGGAGAGGTTGTTGTTATGGTTTTGTTCGGTATTCTAGCAGCTCTATGGATCTTTCGTGATATTCCAGGTTTTGGTGGATGGAAAGTTCTATTCAAAGAGGATATTAATCAAGAGTATGTATTGTTAATTCAAGTAAAGACTTACAAAAAAATGTATAGGACGGATATATCTCTGGTATATTTTTTCTTCATTACAGATCTTTTGTCCGTGACTCAACAGCAGCCATGTTGATTGCAGTCATGTTGTTCTTACTACCGGCGCATCTACCGGAAGTGACTTGCTCTAACAAGTACGAAGGTAAGCACTTCCAATATCAATCAACTTGCTCCAGAAACGTATGGTAATAAAAAATGTTGTACCGGTATTTTTTCATACTATTCGAGATTTAAACTTGATAAAGAGAACGGATCTTACCTTCTTAATTTACATACCTGGAAAGATATAAATAAAATATGCCCATTTCAAATTCTTCACGGTTAATAGTTGAGTATGCTAGCTCCATAAAAGCTATTTTTTTTCACACAAAATTAAAGTAGATTCTGTATGACTCCTCAAATAATAAGTATTCTTGTTTTAGTTTCAGAACAGGATCGTAAACCGAGATACCGCCCGATTCTTACATGGAAGAAGACCGTTGTTAAGGTTCCCTGGGGAGTTATCATTCTTTTGGGCGGTGGGTTTGCCTTGGCCTCTGCTACTTCCGTAAGTTCTCAAAGGATTTGGGTATCATCCTTTAATTTTGAATTTTAATTTTTCAAAATTTTATTCTGGATTTAAAAAAAAATTCCAAACAAGGGGGAAAAAACAAAAATAAATATCATGCTAGGAAATTATACTTAGGCCTCCGGTTTGTCAAAGAGAGTTGGTTGCAGCCTGAGAGTTCTTGACAACTTTGAGCCCTGGGTAATGAACCTGATTTTGTCCCTTGCTATTGCTGCCGCTACAGAAATCACCAGTAACAGTGCCACAGCCACGATCCTTATGCCAATAATGGCGGAACTGGTAAGTGCAATTTCAACTCTGTGGTGTTAATTTTGAAAAATAATCTTGGTATTGTTTTAAACATGATAAACTCTGTGTGTTTTCAGGCTGTTAATACAGGTTCTCATCCTTTATATCTGATGATTACTGCAGCTGTTGCATGTTCATTCGCCTTCATGCTTCCGGTTGCCACGCCCCCAAACGCCATCGTTTATTCCACCGGATACATCAAGATTCCAGACATGGTAAAAATTGTTTATGTTTATCGAAACAGGAACATGAATAATTTAAGGAAGAAGATTCTATTATTTTAATATCTACAAGGAGAGAAAAGAAAATTAAGAACTGCATTTTCTCTGTCAGGTAGGCCTCTGATTGATGAAAGCAGAGGAAATTATGTCATGTGTTAAACTTTCAACTTGAATTCAACTAAACGTGGCACCTAGCATAAATTGATGAAATTTGCTGAAAGACCACGATATGTTTATTCGGTAAAATTAAAAAAAAAACTTTCAAAATATTCTTCTAATAAAAGACATAATCTGTGTAATGCGCAAATACATATATTCTGATCGAACATAGATGCACAAATTGAAAACAATTACCGAAAGGATGACTGCACTTAAGGACATGCGGAATTTGCGACAAAATAAACTTTCAAAACAAGCATTTTTCTTTTCATTGCATGAATGGTCAACATCCAATCTACAACTTTATGTAATTACGTTTAATAAAAGTGTGTATTTACGAAGTTCGAATCTGTTTTCAAAGGCAGGGGTCATCACAATTTCTTGAATCTTCGTTCGATAATGAGGACGCCCACTTTTTTACTGACTTTATACATAGTCAGCGCATGTTTGTCTATTGTTCTACGTTTAACAGTAGTTGTATATTTGCATAAATAATACTGTGTCAAAAGGAGATTAATAGACAAACATGCGCTCATGGTTAAAAAGAGAAAAAACTGCTTCTTCTTACATTCGCTCTCCGTGTTGTAACCAAGGGCTGTGACATGTTGAATATTATAATTCACCACGTGATTTCTACCTCAGGTAACTTTGTGAATACTTAATTCCGTCACGTGACTTGTAAGGTAGCATGTTTTGTGCTAACTAGGACATTGTGTTCGAACACGTTAAGTCATCTGGCATTGATATGAAATCTGCTTTAATCACATTGACGTGCTCATATTGTTACTTTCGTTTTGAAACCTTTGTCAGAAGTGTATTTGTGCCATACAGAATAAAGAGGGAGATTGGAAAGAGTGATCACGTTCACTTTTCCAAACATGTCATTGTTATTTATCAAGTCTAATTTTAGACCCATTCTTACAATGTTAGCTCCACCTCTCATGCATATCTAATGTTCAATCAAGGACAGGTAAGTGTAAATTCACTATATTTGGAAAGCAGTAAGGACAAAAAACATTGAATCATTTTATTGTATTACAGTCTAAAATCATTTTAAGATATAAATGTGGTTCCAAATTGACAATATTCTTTCATAAACATACAAAAGTGAGATAAGGTTGGTTTAGATATAAAAGCAACAGAAGCAACCGAAAAAGACCCAAAAACAGGCGTTAAGTGCAGTCATCCTTTAGGCAATTGCAGAATCAAGTGTGAAAGTTTGAAAAAAAATTATTAAATGTGCCCTGATTTGTTTTTACTAAGGCTTAAAGGTTACTTTATCGGATAAGCTTATTTAGATAAAAGTGTCGTATTGTAAATTTTGAATTTACCGAGTGGCAATAAAAACACAAAATTAAAAGAAGCGGTCAAAAATTTGCAGTATCAGTCAGAATGACAAAAGTATACTTTCCGTTTTGAATACCAGTACTTTGTTGGATTCGCTTCTAAAGCCATATGAAGGTAACAATGTGGTCAATGCTCTCTTTTTTTTTCTTTTAAATTTTACAGGCTTTGGCTGGTCTAATGATGAACGCAATAGCTGTTTTGATTCTAAACCTTGGAATCAACACATGGGGAAAGGCTCTTTTCGACCTTGACAGAATTCCAGAAATTTTTGGAAACTCCACAAAGAGTTCTTGCGACGTTGTGGGGAGCACCGCGGCCCCCTTATTGAGCAACTTCACCACATCCTTAATTAACAACGCCGTAAACATGACCACAGAAAGTTCGAATCTCTCACTTGCTGGATAAGTTTATAGATGACTTGAACTTGAACTTGAACCTCATTAATTAGCTGGAAATGAGGTAACATGGGTTTGATTTCATGAATGCTATTTCTACAACGATAGACTTGCTACTTGTCCTAAAAAATTAATCTTGTGTTAGAACTTAACATTGAAGAGTTTTTGATTGCTTAATTTTTCAGTTTTTTTTTTAACCATATCTTTCTGTTTTACTGACATCTAATCTTTCATAACTCGAAATCAAGAATTTTCCCAAGAGGGAAACAATACATAAAAAGCGATCAAAACATGTTTTGAAGATTTTTTTCATTTGTTAGATGCAGAGCAAAAAGGCTTAAGTCTTAGAGTAAGGTATGACATAATTTAGCTTTGAATGTTTATACATGTGCCTTAATTCACTTTCTGTAAATACGTGTAAGAAGTACTAGTATGATTCAGTTTTCTGTTGTTGTTACTTTTTTGCATTTGCATATTTTGTATGTTGTTGTTAATGAATTTTTAAATGAATATATATCTTTGTTAAGAATCCAAGAACTGATGACGTGTTCCTAAGTGTTTATATTTTACTTTCTTTATAAAATCTACAATTTTTATTTGTACTTTTTATCAAGAACCAATGTGCAATAAAAGTATTGATTGAAACCAAAAGTTCTGGACTAACCAGGTCACGTATTATTAATCATTTATGCTCATTTATTAATATTTTTAACGCTTATTGTATTATTTTTGAAATGATGAATGAAAAATTTGCTTTGAAGATAGAGGTATTACCAAGTTCTTGTTGCAACCGCATGCATCAAAGAAAAGTCCTTAAACAGCTAAAACACTACAATACAGTTAAATGACACAATCCTTCAAGATACACCTTAAAAATATGTTTTAAGTACTTCTTCAAGAATTCCTTGTTAGAACTTTTTTGATCTTATATAGAAGTACAGTGAACATGTACATAATCATCTACTTTTATACACACACACATACACACACACATAGACGTAATCTTTTTTAAGGAATGCGGTGTAAAGATTCTTTAGTAGATGTGTTCCTTCAGACTCCAAAAGAGTAGATCAAAGTGAAGTGTTTAATTAATAGAATACTTAACATTGTATATATTTTGGAAGAATTATACACACCTCTTTGAAGTGTATGTAGTTTTTTCTAATGTTAAAATTATATTAAAAATACCAATAGCGACTTTTTTTTTTTTTTTTGCTATCAACTCTATATTTTTTTTTATTGAGCATTGGTTATAAGTTTGACATCTGAAAGTTATTTTCTCCATATAAAACTTTGGATGTTTTTTTTCATTTTTCACATAAACTACAAGTAATTCATGAAATTTTAAAAGAATGTGTAACATATAGTTATAAGAGCGTAAATGGACTAAATAATGAGCAGTGATTAATCTAATATAATCTAATATAAACAATACAAACCGTGAAAGGGACAAAACACGGACTTCAGAAAACGCCAGAGATGGGATCAGGTGACAAAGAGGAATAAGCTTCTCCTGTCGACCGGTCATACCTTTCGCGAGCCCTCTGTTTTGATCAGGTAAACGAATGGTCTTACAATTTGTATGAAACATGACAGTCAAATTTATGTTTGCATACAAAGCTATTGTTAATGTCCATAGAATTTGCGACATGATGACTTTATAGGAGACTGTTGAAAGCCCTGTATAATTAACTTATTTGTCAGTGGACTGTCTCGGTTTTAAAAATTGATTGCACTTGCAAACGGAATCAATTGGGAGACATAAACAACATTCGAATTCCCTGGGATATATTGAGTCGACATATGAATGAAATTATATATTATAAAAACATTATTAATTGACAGGAAGTCCTTGATAATTCTAAATGTTGAAGGCCACGGCAAGAATTTTCATCTCATGTTGAAGATTTTTGATAAATTCTGCTTCATAAGAACAGAAAACGTTGACTATGAAAAGCATGATTATTGGATATGGGTATTCAAACAGATTGTTGGAAGACCTGGTCTACGAAGCCTACATAGATATTATGAATGAGGAACTCGGGATCTTTTTATATCATCTTCAATGTACTTGTATGTCGAATCGGAATGATTTTAACAAAGTTATTTTTTTTAAATGACCGATCAAAAGATATGAAAATTTTCGAGTTCCATATTGAAGAAGCAGTTGTCCTTGTTGTAAAAACCTCTTATTTATTTTATCGTGAGAAATGGTTGTATAAAGTGCTGAAAAGTTACATGCCTTGATGCTGTAAATTTTCGGGAAAATTGTGATTTCAATTCCTTATTCTTTGATCGTTGTAGTCTACTGGAAATCGAGATATAAAGGCATATATTTTGTCTTTAAATTATACGATACTTTTATATTCATCTAAATCTTTTCCCCATTCTGAAAAGTGTCGAGGTCTTCTCCATATTCAGCCCTCTCCCCCTCCCCCCTCGATAATTAAAAATCTGACGTCATACTTTAGAAGCATAAACTGTATAGCTGAAATGAAGGTTAAAAAAGATAATCATTAGTGAAGTAAAAACTATATATTAAAATATCATTTATATATGTCACAAACATCTTTCGGCATCTCAATAAAATCATATATTTTATTTGCCTATAATACCAGTCGACTTGTATTATCTGTTATGCTGTAGGGCATCATTTGCATTACAAATGGCGCCAGTTAATTCAGAATAAGCAGAAATCAACAAGCAAGTACTTGTACTCCAATGGTAGAGAAATCGATGACCTTTATTTGACCGAACCGTCCTATTGATTTCACAGATAACTAATGAAATACGGACAAAATAAAACTGAATGGACAAATTTTTTCACGCACAAAACCTCAAAATTTACATTTGATTTATCTAGAGAGTGTCAGAAATTTGATAGCAGTACTCTACTTAGTCTAAGCATTTATTTGTCGACATGTTATTTTGAACATGTATTAAGTTTATGTAGGAAATACCGATAAAAGGACCTGATATACCCGGTATACTGCCTAAAATGTTATTGCATTATGTAGTAGTGTGGAATATATTTAATAAATAAATGTTTTAAATTAAATGTAAATAAATTAAACTACCATAATAGATAAAATGTTGGATCCACCCCTTTATTTCCCTAGCCCTACCTGTAAACTTGTACACCTGTATATAGATAATTAGTTACCTTAGGGCAGGTCAGAGGTTTTGGTGTTTTATTGGTTTTCATTGGTAGTTTGTTTATAAAGTTGGATCTCATTGGTTTTATTCTTTTGGTCATTGGTTTTACCGCCAAAATATTCATACTTTGTCTTGTTGAGAGATTACCAAGACTTCATTTTATGGACTCTCTCATGACCTTGACTTGGAGACTGACTTTTTTCCACTTTTGGTAAGTACTAACTTTTCTTTATTGCTAATAGTTAATTAACTTGTGCAGTCTGTAAATATGCAATTATAATAAATCCCTTCTACACTTTATATTAATAGAATGAATGACCATGAGAGAAAGATATTTATTTTTATGATTGGAATTATTGATTTTGAAGATCAGTAATGTTATATATTGAAAGTGTAAATTGTTATGTTCAAATTACACTATATATTTTATCACCAAGATATTTGGTTACTTTGTTCAAAGTGAACAGATGATTTTTTTTATTTTAATGGAATATATATTTTAATGTATACTGTATTAAATTACAGAATCCATATACATGTTTATGACATCATACATACATGTGGTAATTAAAGCCTTTTCCCACAGAATGGTGAGGAACTATTTGTTTTAATTAGTAATATTTTTTATGCCTTTATATGGGAGAAAATATGTAAAGTCTATGTATCAGTTGTAAGAGTTATCTCCCTTAATTGAGAGTCAATGTACATATAAAGATACATCTTGTCTATAATATATCATTATCAATATGTTATCTATGAGAGCTAGATGTATGTATAAATGATGCATTAATAGGATTGATTTGATGTGATATAATATTGTTGTTTTATTATATTTCAGGGCTATGTTAATATATACTGCTCACTGTGTCAATAAAATAGACCTGAACCTGACAGAGGCGTGCTTGTTTATTTACACAAACCCCTGTTACAATTTGACACAGTGAGCAACTTTATAAACAAACTACCAATGAAAACCAATAAAACACCAAAACCTCTGACCTGCCCTAAGGTAACTAATTATCTATATACAGGTGTACAAGTTTACAGGTAGGGCTAGGGAAATAAAGGGGTGGATCCAACATTTTATCTATTATGGTAGTTTAATTTATTTACATTTAATTTAAAACATTTATTTATTAAATATATTCCACACTACTACACATTAGATTGAAACCAGGGGACAATGAGAAAGCAACAAGTTATTTAATCTTTTTATACGAAAAAAAATTTCATTGCAACAGTTAGTTTAATGCTTATAATTTAAAGGAAACACTATTCATATTATAAATCCAATAAGGTAAATTTCTCCTTTTTAAATCGAAACAAAACTAATTAGAAACTTGTTTCATCAACACAGATCCTACATTAATTACAAAAATAATAAGTAAGTAACCGGCCATTGATTAAGTATCTATGATCATCATTTAGTCATCAGTTTGTAAGGTAGAGGTTTTAAAAACAGTATACAGCATTAACTTGTCTAAAGGTAGATGTAAGATTAAATTTTTATAAGTTAAAATACATGTAAGTTTTATCAATAATGTATCCTGTACAAATATTCATAATTTTTATTGATTTAGGCAGAAGAAAGAAAAGTAAGCAGTCTCTATAACTAAATAAAATGACAGTTTCAATTAGCATTACTCTTACTCTATTTCTGTTCCCTAAGCAAAATCAATTACAAATCAATGTTACAATTCAATGATACATGGTACATGTATTCTACAAAATTTCATCCAGGTGATTTTTTTAAAATCTTAATTATATATGCATATAACAAATATATACTCTACACTATTTTATCCTTTTTAGGAGAAATTTCAAGGCATCGGCTTTAGACACAGAAGAATCGGCTTAAAAATACCTTGTTTAAGACAAGAACATTATTTTTTTTTTACCTCTTTTTCACAACAAAGCACAGGTCTACAAAAACAATCAATCCCGATTATGAAACCTTACATTTTACATCAATTTCTCTGCTGTATTGAAATGCAAAGGGTGTTTAGAAAATTCATTTCACATTTTTATTTCACAGTGTTTTATTCTCGAAAAGAAATACAATGAGAAGATATTTAAAATTTGTAATATTTCCTTTTCACAGACTCCATTCTTGACACTGATCAAGTTTTAACTGTGTCAATATATCCTTTCAAATACATGTGCAAAATTTATCAAGTCAGTAGAATTCCAGTATGACAACCTATTCTTTTGAAAAGTGACTGCCTTTTCTTTTACCTAAGCTCATCAGTTTTGTATGATGCATGATAAGCTGTGAAGAAACAAAAGTAAATAGTCCTACATTTTCACTCAAAATGACCAGCAGTTCTGTCGTTTGGGTGTTTTAAAGATGTTTACATATATTTTCATATGGAAAAAATCCTATGACTTCTCTCTAGAAATCAATTGATTTGTTTGTATGTTGTTTAACGTCCCTCTCGAGAATTTTTCACTCATATGGAGACGCCACCACTTGCCGGTGGAGAGCTGCAAATTTTGTCCTATACTCGGCACTTACGGCCATTGAGCAGTGAGGGATCTTTTTCAAATCGAAAGCCAAATCTTGTGATTTTGTCATACTGGAAAATTAACCTCTTCAGTTAAACACTATTTTGAAATTTTCAAAAATATTTCATTATGGAACAAACTTTCTTAACGCTCTTTATATGTTCTCTTTAGACAATTAAATGACATTTATCAATCAAAGCTCCAATTTCATATACATGTAGTGCATCTCTTCAATTTGTCAGTATTTTCATCTTTTTACATCTAATTTCTCAATTGTAAATTACTTGTTCAACTTATCTAAATCAAAATATTAGATATTATTTATAATAATTGATAGTTCAGAATTAACGGAAAGTGGCGCTTTTTATATCCGGTTGTTTCTCTTTGATGAAAATTCCACTATAAAAGTCAATATTTCCTGTTTTTGTAATTTAAAGCTTCAAACCAAGAATGGAATTTCATCTGTTGACACTGCTTTGTTCTTTTCCAAATTGGTGTAGAAAGTGTTCTAATGTTGTCATCGACGAAGCCTTTAATGTAACAAAAGTTGAATGGGGTAAATGTACCCATGCAATGAAGTATAAGATGTCAGTGATGAACAACTCCAGGACTCTGCTATATGAAAACAACATGTCGTGTTGTGAAGGAAGTATTAACATTAGATACATTGAAGGTAATGTATACTCCATAGTAAATGTTTATATTAATTGATAATTAGTGGTTCTTCATCTCATTTGATATTTAGTACTTTTTCATCTTATTTGATATTAAGTAGTTCTTCATCTTATTTGATATTTAGTAGTTCTTTATCTTTAATATTTGCTATTTAGTTTTAAATGCCTTTTCATTATCACTAGTATCATAATTTAATTGAAATAAAAAAAAAATGTAGAATTGTTATTTTTGTATTCAAACTCTGAAATATACAATTTTGCAGAATTCTTGAAATTTTCATTTGATGCAACTCATATAGAAACATCAGAAAGTATCATAATCTAAATTTTTTTGTACACTCCATTTACGTTGTTGTATACTGATGCTGGCCTCATTATTTTATAGGGAAGGGGACGAAAAGAATTGTTTTTACAAGTATCACCACCAGCGTTCTGGCTACATGGACAGACGCCATGATGTTTGGTGACGATGATGGACACAAAAAGATGCGCAGTGGCAGATCAAAGAACGAAAACATTATTATTGCTCTAAGTATATTGTTTTGTCTTGCTGGAATAATTATTATTTCTCTGATTGTATTGTATTGTACCAAAAGAAGAAACTGAGATACTATTTAGAAGAAATTCATTATACAGATATATTAACATCGGAATACAGTACTGATGAACGGTTCAGGAAATAAAGATGCAGATATTTTTGCAATAAATTTTTAACCATTTTGCGCCAGACATAACTTTTTTTCAAATTTAGTATCGTATGATACCAGAGAGGAAGAATTTTGTATTTTCCTCCTCTCTCTTTCCCTTGGCTGTAACCTTGTTGTTTCTACTTAAGTATAAAAAATATAACGGAAAATACATACGTTCCAAGCTCAATTTCACACCAATTTTTATTTAACTATTTTATTGAAAGAAAATAACTTTGTTTATACTGAAAAAATATTTAAGTGTCTACATAGAATATTTTTATCCTAAAACATGTTTGTTATTTAATCTTATGCGATTTTTGGTAAAGTCTCTGTAAATTTAAAAACAATCCAATTAGTACCAGTATGTGTCCATAAGTTGGCAATTCTACTCTATTGAACTCACTGGACATTTATTTCCTACTTATTGGATAGTGTCAGGTAATCCAAATACAAAAGAAAATAAAACATGCATCAAACAGAAGCAGATTTTTTTTTAAATTTCATATAAAATGAATGTCACAGTAAAAACATTTACACGCAGTGAATTTCATGAAATTCCTAGTATATATTTTTTTTAAATTTTGGATTCACATTTTAACAATTAATTCCCTTGGTCATGATTATTTTCTGCTGCATATGACATCATAATTTGACGGGCATATTTCCATTTTTTAAAAAAAAATTTCTGTTCATCCAAAGGCTCATTACGAAAAGGTCCGAGACCAATCTGCACCTAGCTTCCATAATTTTATATAGCCTGTTTCATATCAAATGATCTAGATTTTTTTCAAAGAATTATTGTAAAAAAAATAATGTTGTGTTTTACAGCTTCTTATAAGATTTTTGTTATGATAGAATTATGGAATCTTTCTATGATTTCTATATATTGGCTGGTATGAACCATTTCCTTATCAGATATCTCCGAAAAGATATCGATTTTTATACTGAAATTGGACTTTATTGTCATTCTCACTCCACATCTAAAATATCACTTAAACAATCTCATTATTCCTTATTCCGATGTTGAATTATAATTAAATTTCCCAATTTGTGATGTTCCAATGTACGTTTAAACTTGGTTACTGTTCACTATTTCATATTCATTGATGGACCTCAAAATTTATAACAAAGAAACTTTTCTCAAACTGTCTAATAAGTAAAAGTTCAACAAAGAAACCAGTTTTATTGCTTGAAAATAGCTTTACCTTGGACGGTACATTATGAAGACGATTGCTTATACGAAACATCATCACAATTAACAATTACCTTATATTATCCAATCTTACTACAATGGAAATTATGACTTAACTAGGATATCAGCCTCAAACTGTATATTTTGTGAGAATGTTTAAGCTTTGGCTTATTATTTTTGTTTTTACATAAACTGTATAGTATTAGCATCAACTAGGTCTAGGAACAATTAATAGTCTTCTATTTATAATTATCTTACAGTAAATCGCATTTAGCTCCATTTTAAATTTGATATCATTTTAAACCTGAAATAAAAGACAACACAGAGTCTGACGCTTCTACATTTGTATTTCATATTTGGATGTTTTACTAGAAAAGGACATTGATGACAAACATCCAACTAAACTTTATGATAAATGACGAGATGATCAATTTTTCTATCGTCAACATTCTTTCAAGCAATATGCTTGTACCTTTATCACCTGCATAAGGGGTTTATGTCATTTGTTTTAAAACTTAAGAGCGTGTTTTACGTACGAAACGTTTCTGAAACAAGGTAGGCAATAGACAAATTAGTTAATGAAACAAGAACATCAACAATATAGTTTTAAGTCAACATTTCGGAAGTGAAATGACCTTATTTACACATACAATTTGTCGTTAGGTCGTATTTTTTTTAATACAAATTGTTAAACAATTCTTTTCTTTCTGAATGAAATAAGGAGATAACGAACTAATCTTGCTCAAAAGTCCACTGAAACAATACAAATCGAGAGCAGAGCAAACATGGACCTCCATTAACATCAGAGGTGGGATCAGGTGCCATGGAGGAGTAAGCATCCCCTGTCAACCGGTCACTCCCGCCTTGTGCTCCTTGTCATGATCGGGAAAACGGAAAAATTCGTAGACAATTCAGTATGTAACTGAATTGCTTAACAATTGTCAATAGCTTGCCTCGTTTTAGAAATTGTCCGTACGTAGAGCATGCTCTTGCATATCCAATTAACTTGGAGACATAAACCCCTTATGCAGGTGATAAGGGTATATTGTTACCTAAGTAAGGGAGGTTATCCCTGAATTATATTATAAAACAATCATTGCTGGTTTTTTTGTCAATGCAATTATTCAGCAACCCTTTACACAATATTTACTTAATCCATTGGGTTGTGTGAATATTGTACTCCCCGAGAAGTATAAGTTGTAGATTTATCGCTAAAGAAAGGTAACTTTCCAATAACTATTTTAATTACTTTGTTTTCATGCAAACTTTGACAATAGTCGCATCAGATTTTTTTTAATAAAGTTTGTTCTCGGCTTAATGTATTTTTGAAAAAAAAAGAATGATTTAAAGTGACACATTCCTTAACTTTGCCACAAAGTAAAATACCTACAGACTATATCATTTAACTAAGGTGGCACGCAATGATACGTAAAAATCTTCATATTTTCCTATATGTTTGTTCATAATTTCTTTATTTCTATGATAAATCTTAACATATATTTATTGGGATACCTTTTTTTGCTTTGTTGTCAGTACTTTGTTGTTGTAAATATTAAGATTAAAAGTGAGATCAGGTTACAACAACTGAGTATTTATGTAGTCAAACCATTGCTCGAATTACTTTTTTTTCTCAATAAAAATAAAAAGTTCTGGTACTTATTTTTTTTTAAATAAAAAACAAATAGTTCTTGAATACATGTATTTCCAAAGCAAAGTTAAAGTCACATAAAAAAAAACATACATTCCTCCAAATATTCCATTATCGAAAAATTATTGTAAGTATTTTACACTTTGTTTCTTTAACTATTAAAATTCATTTCGAAGAAAACTATCTAGCGTATAGTAAGAACACATAAATACTAAATAACATTTAAGAAATCGAATTTTAAGTTCTCCTTATGCTTATGATTAAGAACAGAAAGACAAAATATGATTGAAATTATTTAATAAAATAAAATGTTAAACACCAACACATATTTTTAAATAATGACTAGAGTTCACATCCGGTTGCTTATCGTTCATTCTGCATTTCCGTACATGCGCAGCAGAGGGCAAAGAGTAGTATCTTTCTCGTTACTCCCATATAAAGTCTTGCTAGTTTTTAACAAACCAAAAGCATAATCCCCGTCTCTCCACACTGCTCTTTCCGGTGCTTTAAGGGCATGTTTCTAAAAAGAAGTTTACGAATATTTAATCGATTACTTTATCTGTTTTATTTTACTTTCTTCAAAACAAGAACAATCTAACAGAGAGTGCAACTGCTCTCATTATAAATAAAGAAAGAGAACTCGTCATTTGGGGTTGATAGAACTCAAGATGAGAAACCGTAGCTGAACGAACAGTTACTGATGGAACTGAGCAAGCATGACCAAAACCTTACCTTAATAAATTTTATCACAGCATCTTCATCTATGTAGTTCATTGTAAGTCGACACTTGTAAGTCACAAGTGCAAAAGGCTGAAAATCAATAGTAAATTTCTATTACACACGTGTATGATTGTGCTATAAAAATATTATAAGGAAGCCTGAGAAACCTGTCCTAAGAATCCACAAAAACATGAATATAAAATGCAACTTTTTTCAAATTGCATGTATTTTAAATTGTTTAAAGATGGCGAATTCGAAAATATGTATAAAAATTTTCAGAAATATTTGATATCAAGACAACCAGTACGTTTTTGTTTGATGTCCAGAATCCTGAAAAGCAGATTTTTTAATCTCTAATAGGTTATTTCAAAGTACAAATTTTGAAAAAATAATCTTGTACACAGAATGGGGCACATATTATGCTAATCGTTGCTTTTACACCTTTATATGAAGTTTATGTCTCCCAGTTGAACATGCTCTACGTACGAACAATTTCTAAAATGAGGCAAACTTTTGACAAACAAGTTGATGAAACAAGAATATCTACAGTATCGTTTAAAGTCAACGTTCATTGACCTTTTCAATAAATACAATCTATCATTATGTCGAATGTTGACTGACTTTTTTCAAACAAATTGTTATGCCATTATTTTCACACTGCAATGCCTACGGATTTTCCGTTTACTAGTATTCGATCATGACAAGGAGCACACGGTGGTTGTGACCGGTCGACAAGGTTGCTTACTCCTCAATGGCATCTGATCCCACCACTGATGTTTTTAGGGCTCTTGTTTGCCTTGCTCCAAATTTCTATTGTTTCAATACACTTTTGAACTTCATTACTGTTCGTTATTTTCATATTTCACATAATAAAGACAACAGTTTCTTCATGTTAGTCTGTAATTTTCTAGTACTAATATGTATAATTTATTTTCTTTTCTCTGTTTTATTGTCACCTAACTTTTTCATTTATTACATATAAAACTCTTCATTTTTTGGGAAATAAACAATATCTTGTCAAAATACACTGTACACATATCTAATGGAGCAAGTATTAGAAATATGTTTACCTCTGCCAATGGGAGTTTATTATACGGTGTTATAACGTGACGCCGTAAACAACTCTCTACTATGGTTCTCAATTTTTGGACCTCGTCTTTTCTGGCACAAGGATGATACAACATAACCACAGCACCATGCTGTAAATTCATCATAAAATGGATGAATTACTAGCAGAATGATACAACATGACCACAGCACTATGTTGTAAATGAATTACTAGTAAGGATGATACAACATAACCACAATACCATGTTATAAATAAATTATTAACAAGGATGATACAATATGACCATATAACTATGTTGTGAGTAAATTAAATGGAACAGTAGATAAGGTTAAAGCTAAACACGATTCGTAAAAGGAATTTGTCCGCCATATTTCTTATTCACTCGCTATGTCTGAGGGCCCCTATATAAGCCGCTTACTTAGTCATAGTTCAGTGTAATCAGTTGTCGCCTGTGTATATAGACGGACGTATGATTCATAGCTCTCGGTAGCGCAAAAAATAACTGTGCACTTCTTCCACGGCAGGAGAGAAAGATACCAAAGAAACATACAGAAGTTGCACAGGTCAGTGCAGTATACAAACAAATAAAAATAGACGTAACTGCAATAAAATAAATATACAAAGGCAGTGCAAGATAACAAGCACGAACACGTTTCACCATTCAACGCCGATACCTGTGACAACAAGCATTCTGAGAGTATTGCATTAGCAATACTAGTCCCCTACCGGCAAGTGTAATCTGGTTCCCGTTAAGAATTGAAAATGCCATAATTCCGTTAAAAATCCATGAAGCGGGACGAAATGCAAACTTGATCTATAACTAATCAAGGTAAAGTCACATACCAAAAATCAGCTCAATATCTGAAAGCATTTAGAAGAAATTGTGGAAAATCCTTAAAAATTGAAAAGGCCGTAATTCCTTCAAAAATTATTGAAGTGGAACCAAATGCAAACTTGATCTGTAACTCCCCAAGATACACTCACATACCAAAAATCAGCTTAATATCTGCAAGCGTTTAGGAAAAAAGTGCGGAAAACCAAGTGGGACAGACTGACAGACAGACAGAGGGACAGACGGACAGACGGACGGACAGACAGACAGACAGACGGACAGACTCAGAGGAAACCTATAGTCCCCTCCGGTTTCACCGGTAGGGGACTAATAAAGCAGTCAGGTGTAACGAATGCGAAGGGTATATATCTCGGTGCTGATATCGTAGATAGTATAATCGAATATGGCGTATGCCTATTTACGAGTCGTGTTCAGCTTTAAGTTTGGGGTTTGTATTTAACAAGCAGTATATAACACTATAAATGTTACGGAATAATATAACCAACGTATTGTGAAAAAGAAACAAGCATTCTGAGAGTATTGCATTAGCAATACTAGTCCCCTACCGGCAAGTGTAATCTGGTTCCCCTTTAAGAATTGAAAATGCCATAATTCTGTCAAAAATCAATGAAGCGGGACGAAATGCAAACTTGATCTATAACTGATCAAGGTAAAGTCATATACCAAAAATCAGCTCAATATATGAAAGCGTTTAGAAGAAAATTGCGGAAAACCCGTAAAAATTGAAAAGGCCGTAATTCCGTCAAAAATCAATGAAGTGGAACCAAATGCAAACTTGATCTGTAACCCATCAAGATACACTCTCATACCAAAAATTAGCTCAATATCTGCAAGCGTTTAGGAAAAAAGTGCGGAAAACCAAGTGGGACAGACTGACAGACAGACAGAGGGACAGACGGACAGACAGACAGACAGACAGACGGACGGACAGACTCAGAGGAAACCTATAGTGCCCTCCGGTTTCACCGGTAGGGGACTAATAAGACAGAAATAAACGAACAAGAATATGGGATTAAGGGAGATCCTCCAAATATTCTTAGATTGAACAGAGTTCAAATATGAAGATATAATTATGTAATTAATTGCTCGTATTCAATGTTAATTTCATGCATTAATGCATTTCATACTGAAACCAAGTATTCTACATAAAAAACAAGCATTCCGAGAGTATTGCATTCGCAATACTAGTCCCCTACCGGCAAGTGTAATCTGGTTCCCGTTAAAAATTGAAAATGCCATATTTCCGTCAAAAATCAATGAAACGGAACGAAATGCAAACTTAATCTATAACTCATCATGGTAAAGTCACATACCAAAAATCAACTCAATATCTGCAAGCGTTTAGAAAAAAAGTGCGGAAAACCCTGAAAAATTGAAAAGATCGTAATTCCGTCAAAAATCATTGAAGCGGAACGAAATGCAAACTTGATCTGTAACTTATCAGGATACACTCACATACCAAAAATCAGCTCAATATCTGCAAGCGTTTAGAAGAAAAGTGCGGAAAACCAAGTGGGACAGACTGACAGACAGACAGAGGGACAGACGGACAGACAGACAGACAGACGGACGGACAGACTCAGAGGAAACCTATAGTCCCCTCCGGTTTCACCGGTAGGGGACTAATAAACAGAATACAATAAAATTGAAGAACATGAAAGAGAAAAGAAAACCACAACTGGTACAGCTAAAAATATTTTTTTTTTAAAATAGCTAAACAATGCGCTGAAATATAAGATATAAAGATTTTCATTAGTGTAAGACTTTTAAGAAGTATATCAGAAGATCCATAGTCAAAAGGCTTACTAGTATTAAATCTCCCGTTCGTGTTGGGAAATAAATTTTCTAAACTTTGAATTCTTAGTTTGGTATATAGTATACGGAAATGACTTCTGTAGATACTACTATTTAGTAGGGCTGTTAATAATGTCCTAAAACTAAAATGTACATTTCGAAAGCATATTACATACTCATTTTGAAAAGAATAATATACTATTCTAATATCTCATCGAGATCCTAGATATTGATACTTAAAAATTACTACTAAACACGAGACATTAAGGCACAAAAGCTATGCAAGAAATCGGATATAAAGCATATTAAATAAGCTTCTGCAACTACCCTATGATAATGTATCTTTAGGACATTGAAATCACAGATTTAAATTTTTAAAAAAACCCAAAGATATCTAATATAAGCAAACACAGAGAAGCTCAAGATTGAATGAATTGTTTAATACAAAAATATTCTGAAAGCGCCAACAATCTGCTTGTTGTCTTGCAAGATGATAAATTACACTATCATTACCATGAAATCATTTTCGTAGGATAACTTGAAATTTGATGAATTGTTTGAAGTTTTTAGTCTTTGTTCTTAGTTGATTCAATGTCACATAAGTGTTTATTTTAAAAATTAGTTAATTACTCCAGTAGTCTCATCAAGAGTCTACATTTAGCTGGTACCTTATAGAAATAATAGTCTGAAATTAGTAAGTAGGATATTCAAAATTATTCTTTATCAGACAAGAAGATCAGTATATTAATCAACAGCAACTCATGTTTTAACTTTAGGTTATACATTACCTCTAAGGAATGCACCCATCTTTGTGGTGGGAGGTAAAGATACTCGCCATAAACAGGCCACAAAGGACGATGACGACCGCTGTTGAAAATAAAATAGATTCCCAAATACATTCAAAGAAAGTATTTTCGAGTAATTTTGCGATAAGTACCTCTCTCGAATTGAATTACTCAGTTCATCTAATCACATGTAAAAACTGTTGAGCAGCAGTTAACCCATGAACTCTTGTTTTCGTTATTTGACGTTTACAAATCATTTCGTTAAAACACTCAAGTAAAATAAGGAATTTGAAGTTTATTTTACAAAGAGCTAAGTCCACGAAGCATCAAAAACGGCCTCTTCTAAAAAATTAATGTTATGTTTATTATAGATAATATAGAATATTTGCTATTCATTACCGTTTTCCTTTTTTCAATATCTATTATACTTTTTGAAAAATAGATACTGCAATATGGCAGTGTTTTGATAGAAAAAGGCAATAGGAACGTCATTTTTTGTAATGTAACGTCACGTCAAAGAGCGATGAAATGACTTAAAGTTAGCAATTACTATGTAGAAATATACAACACAGTAAAGCTCTTCAAACTATAGCAAAGACCAGCATACAAGTGACTGGTAGTTTCACGGAATGTACATATATGTATAGTTGCGTGCTATTTTTATAGACTAAAAAAAATGATGACCAATTCTTATACAAATGCGAGAAATTACCATGTTTTAATTCATTTTTTCATTGAACATGCTGAATTTCAGAAATGAGTATATGTTGATACATGTCTATTTTGGGCTCTAAATTAGAAATAAATATTCTGTTCTATTTTGTATTTTATCGATTTTTTTTAGGCTAATACTTGCAGAAATCCAGGTATATAAATAATACTAGGAAGTACTAAATAAGCATACAAGCATCGATTTTTTGAAATTAGACATACACAATCATACACGTATTTGACACCTTGAAAGGTTCATTCAAGGGGAAGCGTTTTTGTCTATATAGAAATTGTTGTTTGAAAAGACATCTTCTGATTGGCTAGATGGTAAACTGAAGTACTGTGTGAGTTGTAATAAAAATTTGTGGTGAATATAATAGATTGTGACGTCAACTCAAAGCCACTGTCCTCAAATGTATCAATAAATTATTGTAATCTAAATGCGACACATAAATACACGTTCCAGGTATAATCAGAGACAAAAAATACCTTTTTAAATTTTTTTTAAAATATCTCTGGTAGAATTTTTTTGATGGGATTTTTTTTTATTTAGGCAGATCCATATCAAGACAAGATTTACCAGTGTACTAGTTATTTGGTCTTTAAAAATAGTCACAAGTGCTACTGAGTTTAAACATTTACTGCAAAGACATCAGAAACTAGTATTAATTGTAACGGGACCGTTACAGATGTTCCCCAAACGCTTCCCAACTTCCTTTTGGTGTCTTATTCCCTGTAAGCTTTATTAAAGAAGCCAATCAAGTATGTTGGGTTTTTTTACGCATTACACGCTCGCACATGGGCATTCACGTATAAAATGACCATGTCAACTTGTCTATACTTTTAATACATCTTTATATTCAAATTTCATCAAAAGATTAAAAAAAAATTCGGCTATATTAAGTATATCTGTCATTTTACGCATTGCTCGCGCGCGCACGTGCATGCATGTCCATGATGACCGTGTCATCTTGTCAACACTATTAATATATCTATATATTTTGAGTATCAAAGCATTTCATCAAAAAGTATAAAAGTTACAGCTATATCAAGTATATTGGTCATTTTAGCATTGCATGCGCGCGCACGTGCATGCATGTGCATGTTGACAATGTCATCTTGTCTACATTTATAATATGTTTATATATTCTGAGTATCAAAGCATTACATCAAAAAATGTAAAAGTTATGGTTATATCAAGTATATTGGTAATTTTACTCATTGCACGCGTACGCACGTGCATGCTGACCATGTCATCTTGTCTACACTATTAATATATCCTTATATTCTGAGTATTAACTTATTTCATCAAAAGATATGAAAGTTTTGGTTTTATCAAGTATATCTGTCATTTTACTCATTGCACGCGCGCGCACGTGCACGCACGTGCATGCATGTGTGCGCTGATCAAGTCTTCTTGTGTACACTTCTAATATATATTTATATTCTGAGTTTCAATGCAATTCATCAAAAAATGTACAAGTTAAGTCTATATCATTTGTATTGGATATTTCAATCAATGCGCATGCGCACACGTGCATGCATGTGCATTCTGATCATGTCATCTTGTCTACACTTTTAATATATCCTGATATCCTGAGTATCAAAGCATTTCATCAAAGGATATGAAAGTTATAGCTATATCAAGTATATCTGTCATTTTACTCATTGCACGCGCGCGCACGTGCACACACGTGCATGCATGTGTGCGCTGATCAGGTCTTCTTGTGTACACTTCTAATATATATTTATATTCTGAGTTTCAATGCAATTCATCAAAAAATGTACAGGTTAAGTCTATATCGATTGTATTGGTTATTTCAATCAATGCGCATGCGCGCACGTGCATGCATGCGCATTCTGACCATGTCATCTTGCCTACACTATTAATACATCCTTATATTCTGAGTATTAAAGCATTTCATCGAAAGATATAAAAGTTACAGCTATAACAAGTATATTGTTCATTTTACGCATTGCACGCGCATGCACGTGCATGCGCGTGCGCGCAAATTGACATTCGTTCCGCAAATCTACATATCATTCCTATTAACCCTAAAAAGGTTTCACCTCAATCGGATGTGTAGTTTCGGAGATCACTGACGGACAAAAAAGTACCCAGGAAGAAAAATAATAATAACTAGAAACTCATTGCGAGCAATGAGAGGTCTTCCGTCCGATTCTGAAAATAAAAACGAAGATTCAAGCTGAAAAAGAGATAAAAGAAATTCAGACACTCTGTAAATTTAACCCTTGTCGTCAGCGTGAAAATCCAACTTGCTAACGTTAACCATTCATTTTTTACATCACTTCCGGTCACGACCGGAAGTACCAGAAGTAACGGCTATACAAGATTTTCTCACGATTCATATAACTGATGACTGACCATCAGTCTTGAAAGTTTTAGACATCAGTCGTTTACTGTTGCCGAGCAATATTGTGAGATCAAATTCTAATTTTGAGGACAGGTAAACAAGAGACCGGAAGTGAATTTTATAAAAATCTTTGACTTTTCTCTAGACATTTGCAATATATACAACATACATAAAGTCATTTCAAGTACTTTATCGATGAGCAATATTTATGAGAAAATTAAATATCAAAGTAAAGTAGTTTATCTCCTAAAACCGGAAGTTGACGTTTTTGTTTCCGGTGGAATCTAACATATTTCTAAACAGCGAAAGAGATGCAATAAAGTGATGCAAGCATTGATTTAAAAAAGAAAAGTTAATTTTTTTTTAGATTTCTTTGATCACTTACTGTGACAAGCGGAAGTGACGACTGACGCGTTTAACCCAAATGGTTTTGCCTACTCCTCAAGGTCTATTACTCATAAAAGTTTGGTGTTTTAATCTTTTACCTAGTTTTGAGATCTCGCTCAGACAACTTCACATTTTGAGGACAGGAAAACATGCGACCGGAAGTGAATTTTTGAAAGATATTTACGATTACTCTAGACATTTGCAGTCTGAATAACATATTTAAAATTCATTTCAGATACTTTTTCTAGAAAAAAATATTGATGGAAAAGTAAAATACTCAAATTATGTAGTTTTTCTCTTATAACCGGAAGTTGTCGCTTTTGTTTCCGGTGAGACCAAGATCTTTCGAATCTGCGAAAAAGATGCAATAAAGTGATGCAATTTTTAATTAAAAAAAGAAAAGTTGAAATTTTCGATTTCTTTGATCACTTCCTGTGACGACCGGAAGTGACGGCTGACGCTCTGAACCCAAATGGTTTTGCCTACATCTTAAGGTCTGTTGCTCATATAAGTTTGGTGTCTTAATCTCTCACCGTTTCCGAGATCTTGCTCAGACAACTTCTCATTTTGAGGACAGGAAAACACGCAACCGGAAGTGAATTTTACAAAGATATTTGATGTTACTCTAGATATCTACAGTTTGAATAACATATTTAAAATTCATTTCAAAAACTTTATCTACAAAGGATGTTAATGGGAAAGAAAAATACTAAAATTATGTAGTTTTTCTCTTATAACCGGAAGTTGTCGTTTTTGTTTCCGGTGGGACCAACATATTTCGAAACTACAAAAGAGATGCAATAATGTGATGTAAGTATTGATTTAAAAAAAGAAAGTTGAAATTTTATGATTTCTTTGATCACTTCCGTAAACGACCGGAAGTGCCGACGACGAACGAAAATGTGATTCCACAAATTTAGAAGTCACGTTCTATGCTCTCCAATAAGTCTCCAGTTCATATCTTTAGTCATTCTTGAGAACATTCGAGGACAAAATTTCATTTTAAAATCAGGAAATTGCCCGTAACTTGGAACCAAAATGGAATTTTCCAAATTTTCCTTGTGATGAAACAAGTTCATACAATGACTAATTTTTCCTGAAAGTTTCACGAAAAACCACTGAATAGTTTTCGAGAAAACGCCTGCACAAAATTTGGTCAAAATAATAATAATAATAATAATAATAATAATAATAAGAAACAGTAGAATCACTATAAGGTCTTCCGTGAAAACGGAAGACCTTAATAATAATAACTAGTGCTAATTGTAACGGGAACCGTTACAGATGTTCCCCAAACGGCTCCCCAATCCCTTATAATGCCCCATTCCCTACAAGCTTCAATAAATTAGACAATACTTTTGTAATATAAATGGATACTTTATTTTTAAGGGTATTTCATTGGAAAACTACTCCGATATAGCCATATGGGTATTAGCCAATCAAATTTCAGCGCATGTGCTTGCACATGTTTTCTGCATTTTTCACATTAATTTTCTTATAGTGTCTCACAATACATACATTTGTGTTAAATATCAAAGAATTTCATTGAAAAATAAGAGAGATGTAACCCTTTAAGTATTAGCCAATCAGAAATCAGCATACGCGCATGCATGGCCTTGCATTCAATTTTGATAGTATCATATTGTATGAGCTCTATGTGCCTATCCATGTCGTAAATTTCATCCTGTTTTGTTGAAAACCAAGGGAGTTATAGACATTTAAAGTTTCAACCAATCAGATTGCAGCACACCTGCATGCGCGTGTTTTCAAGAAATTTCCTATATAACATGTTGTAGCATCTTATAATATATACTTATATTCTAAATTTCGAAGTATTTTGTGAAAAAACAAGGAAATTATTGAGATTTTTGTATCAGCCAATCAGAGAAGAGCGCACGTGCATGCGCGTGAGTTCATGCTAATTTGACCATGTTATCTTGTCTAGACTACTAATATATCTTTATATTTTGAGTTTCAAAGCAAATCATCAAGAAATACAAAAGTTACGACTTCATCAAGTATATCAGTCATTTCACTCATTGCACGCGCGCGCACGTGCATGCATGTGCGCGCAAAATGACCTTCGTTCCGAACACCTACACAACATGCCTATTAACCCTAAAAAGGTTTCATGTCAATCGGATGAGTGGTTCTATGAGAACACTCCCGGACAAAAAAGTACCGGAGAAGAAAGTAGAAAAAAAGAATAATAATAATAATAATAATAATAATAAGAAACAGAGTAAAAACAATATGTTCCCAAACTTCGTTTGGGGAACATAATAATAAGAAACAGAGTAAAAACAATATGTTCCCAAACTTCGTTTGGGGAACATAATAACCCAAAATAATGGTGTTGATTTTTTTTAAATTGGCTATTTCGACACTTTGGGATAAATGGCCTGACATTTTCTGATCCACAATTGCAATTGACGACACAAAATTTTAGCAACCATGAGTATAGGGTACTTTTGCAGTCGAACACGGTCATTTTTTTTTACACTTACAGAGAAGGTTTACTGGATGAATGTCCTCAAAATGATTCATAAAAGAATTTTAAACTCACATTCTCAAAGTATCTGATGTAGGCGAAACGAACGAATATTATTAATACTTGCTAATGTTGATAAGGAAAACTACCTTGAGAAGATTAAAAAGTGAACTGGATTCGCTCCACTATCACGGCCAAAATTAGCATCATAAAAATAAAACTTGAAAATATACTCTTATCATTGCTACTTGTGATCGATTTGGAACTTATTGCATCGAAAGAAAAAATGCTATACACTTTCTTTTCTAAACTATTTGGTTCCAGCCAACCATTAAACATGTATTAATTAATAATAAGGAAATGACTGGTTGATTATGTTTACGATATTATTTGTCGTCTAATTACTATGGTAGTCAAATCAGCCCATAAATAATACCTCTCAAAATAAGAAGAAAAAAAAACTCACACTTATACATTACAAGATAATAAATATTCATGTTAAATTGAAAACTAACTTGTTACAAGATGTATCTTTTATGGTTTTGTTTTGACTGGGAAGTTTGAGGGAAGATCTAATGGTTTATGGTTTATTGGTTTACATGGTCTAATGGTTTATTCAATCAATGAATCAGATGGTGGAGATGAATATTTCAGATCTAGATGATATTTCACCTAAAGAGAAGAATTGATTTTGTCAGCATCTAAACCCAGTGAAGCTTTGACCATGCATTTCTCGAACAAGTCTGTAGTCGTTATTCTAATAATGTCTGTAGAAAATATGTCTATTATCCTTAAAGATAACTCTGTTGAAAATATGTACACGTCGACATTTCTTAATTTAACGCTAGAATATCTGTGGAAAATATGTACAGTTATATATTCATACTATATCGGTAAAGTGCCTATGAAAAATATGTACAATTCTGTATTCATACTATATCGGTAAAGTGCCTATGAAAAATTTGTAAACGTTTATAGGCCTTATCATTACGGTAAAGTGTCTGTGGAATACGTACACGTCTACTGTTCTTTAGTTATCTTAACGGAAACTTGCCTGTGAAAAATATGCACGCGTATACGATTTTTATCTTAACGGTAACGTGCCTGTGGAAAATATGTGCAAGTTTAGATCTCTTACTTAAACAATTTAGTGTCTAAAAATGTCATTGAAAAGTCTAATACTAACTTTAATGATATAGTGTCCATAAAAAATGTATACTGGTCTTCACTTCTTAGCTTAACAGTAAATTGGGTAGTGTCTATAAAAAGCTTGTATACAGATCTAAAAGGCGTTTTATAGTGCCTCTAGGAAACTTGTACAGGTCTAAGTTTTGACTTTAACTATATATTGTCTGTAGAAAATGTGAACAAATCTTAAATTCTTACTTAACATTGCGATACAGTGTCTGAAAATGTTATAGTACTTACCTCAGTAAGATTTTGACTATGTTATTGTCCAAGGTACTTAACATTATCAAATCTCCATATGTTATTATATAGTTATCGCAATGTTCATATTCCGTAATGAGATTTCATTTATGCTATTGGCACGACTTTAACAATATAGTGTCTATATATTTATTGCTTGAATTTCTTACCTTAAAGGTATAGTTTCCGTATATGTAATTGTTTCGTTCATGCATACATGGATAGGCTAAAAAAGAGAAAATATCAGCGTACAGGCGTGATATTGAAAATAGATGAACATGTTTTGTCATGTTCTAAATTTTTAATTTACCGGGTGGGAATAAATACAAAATTTGGAACATGACAACTTATTACTAAAGGATGTTTGCAGCTTATCTATTTTTACAACCGTAGATATGTACTTTATCCGATTTTTAAGAAGTGAATATGCAACAAAATTTTTACAAAAGTGGATGTACAGCTTATACATTTTTTACGAAAGTTAATATACACCTTATCCACGTTAACGTAAGATGTGCACTTTATCAACATTGACCGAGTAGATATCAGCATATAAACATTAACAGAAGTTGAAATGTTTATCTATTTTTACAGAAGAAGTGATGCTGTTTCTCTCCTTTTTTACAGAAGTAGTTTTGCTTTTAATCTACCTGTACAGAAGTAGTGATGCTGTATATCTATTTTTACAGAAGAAGTGATGCTGTATATCTAGTTTTACAGAAGTAGTTATGCTGTATATCTATTTTTACAGAAGTAGTGATGCTGTTTATCTATTTTTACAGAAGTAGTGATGCTGTATATCTATTTTTACAGAAGTAGTGATGCTGTATATCTATTTTTACAGAAGTAGTGATGCTGTATATCTATTTTTACAGAAGTAGTGATGCTGTATATCTATTTTTACAGAAGTAGTGATGCTGTATATCTATTTTTACAGAAGTAGTGATGCTGTATATCTATTTTTACAGAAGTAGTGATGCTGTATATCTATTTTTACAGAAGTAGTGATGCTGTATATCTAGTTTTACAGAAGTAGTGATGCTGTATATCTATTTTTACAGAAGTAGTGATGCTGTTTATCTAGTTTTACAGAAGTAGTGATGCTGTTCATCTATTTTTACAGAAGTAGTGATGCTGTATATCTATTTTTACAGAAGTAGTGATGCTGTATATCTATTTTTACAGAAGTAGTGATGCTGTATATCTATTTTTACAGAAGTAGTGATGCTGTATATCTATTTTTACAGAAGTAGTGATGCTGTTCATCTAGTTTTACAGAAGTAGTGATGCTGTATATCTATTTTTACAGAAGTAGTGATGCTGTATATCTATTTTTACAGAAGTAGTGATGCTGTATATCTAGTTTTACAGAAGTAGTGATGCTGTTTATCTATTTTTACAGAAGTAGTGATGCTGTATATCTAGTTTTACGGAAGTAGTGATGCTGTTTATCTATTTTTACGGAAGTAGTGATGCTGTATATCTATTTTTACAGAAGTAGTGATGCTGTATATCTATTTTTACAGAAGTAGTGATGCTGTATATCTATTTTTACAGAAGTAGTGATGCTGTTTATCTAGTTTTACAGAAGTAGTGATGCTGTATATCTATTTTTACAGAAGTAGTGATGTTGTATATCTATTTTTACAGAAGTAGTGATGCTGTATATCTATTTTTACAGAAGTAGTGATGCTGTATATCTATTTTTACAGAAGTAGTGATGCTGTTTATCTAGTTTTACAGAAGTAGTGATGCTGTATATCTATTTTTACAGAAGTAGTGATGCTGTATATCTATTTTTACAGAAGTAGTGATGCTGTATATCTATTTTTACAGAAGAAGTGATGCTGTATATCTATTTTTACAGAAGTAGTGATGCTGTATATCTATTTTTACAGAAGTAGTGATGTTGTTTATCTATTTTTACAGAAGTAGTGATGCTGTATATCTATTTTTACAGAAGTAGTGATGCTGTATATCTATTTTTACAGAAGTAGTGATGCTGTATATCTATTTTTACAGAAGTAGTGATGCTGTATATCTAGTTTTACAGAAGTAGTGATGCTGTATATCTAGTTTTACAGAAGTAGTGATGCTGTATATCTATTTTTACAGAAGGAGTGATGCTGTATATCTAGTTTTACAGAAGTAGTGATGCTGTATATCTAGTTTTACAGAAGTAGTGATGCTGTATATCTAGTTTTACAGAAGTAGTGATGCTGTTTATCTATTTTTACAGAAGTAGTGATGCTGTTCATCTATTTTTACAGAAGTAGTGATGCTGTATATCTATTTTTACAGAAGTAGTGATGCTGTATATCTATTTTTACAGAAGTAGTGATGCTGTATATCTAGTTTTACAGAAGTAGTGATGCTGTATATCTAGTTTTACAGAAGTAGTGATGCTGTATATCTAGTTTTACAGAAGTAGTGATGCTGTATATCTAGTTTTACAGAAGTAGTGATGCTGTATATCTAGTTTTACAGAAGTAGTGATGCTGTATATCTATTTTTACAGAAGTAGTGATGCTGTATATCTATTTTTACAGAAGTAGTGATGCTGTATATCTATTTTTACAGAAGTAGTGATGCTGTATATCTAGTTTTACAGAAGTAGTGATGCTGTATATCTATTTTTACAGAAGTAGTGATGCTGTTTATCTAGTTTTACAGAAGTAGTGATGCTGTATATCTATTTTTACAGAAGTAGTGATGCTGTATATCTATTTTTACAGAAGTAGTGATGCTGTATATCTATTTTTACAGAAGTAGTGATGCTGTTTATCTAGTTTTACAGAAGTAGTGATGCTGTTTATCTATTTTTACAGAAGTAGTGATGCTGTATATCTAGTTTTACAGAAGTAGTGATGCTGTATATCTAGTTTTACAGAAGTAGTGATGCTGTATATCTAGTTTTACAGAAGTAGTGATGCTGTATATCTAGTTTTACAGAAGTAGTGATGCTGTATATCTAGTTTTACAGAAGTAGTGATGCTGTATATCTAGTTTTACAGAAGTAGTGATGCTGTATATCTATTTTTACAGAAGTAGTGATGCTGTATATCTATTTTTACAGAAGTAGTGATGCTGTTTATCTATTTTTACAGAAGTAGTGATGCTGTTTATCTATTTTTACAGAAGTAGTGATGCTGTATATCTATTTTTACAGAAGTAGTGATGCTGTATATCTATTTTTACAGAAGTAGTGATGCTGTATATCTATTTTTACAGAAGTAGTGATGCTGTATATCTATTTTTACAGAAGTAGTGATGCTGTATATCTAGTTTTACAGAAGTAGTGATGCTGTATATCTATTTTTACAGAAGTAGTGATGCTGTATATCTATTTTTACAGAAGTAGTTATGCTGTATATCTATTTTTACAGAAGTAGTGATGCTGTATATCTATTTTTACAGAAGTAGTGATGCTGTATATCTTTTTTTACAGAAGTAGTGATGCTGTATATCTATTTTTACAGAAGTAGTGATGCTGTTTATCTATTTTTACAGAAGTAGTGATGCTGTATATCTATTTTTACAGAAGTAGTGATGCTGTTTATCTATTTTTACAGAAGTAGTGATGCTGTTTATCTATTTTTACAGAAGTAGTGATGCTGTATATCTATTTTTACAGAAGTAGTGATGCTGTTTATCTATTTTTACAGAAGTAGTGATGCTGTATATCTATTTTTACAGAAGTAGTGATGCTGTATATCTATTTTTACAGAAGTAGTGATGCTGTATATCTATTTTTACAGAAGTAGTGATGCTGTTTATCTATTTTTACAGAAGTAGTGATGCTGTATATCTATTTTTACAGAAGTAGTGATGCTGTATATCTATTTTTACAGAAGTAGTGATGCTGTATATCTATTTTTACAGAAGTAGTGATGTTGTATATCTATTTTTACAGAAGTAGTGATGCTGTATATCTATTTTTACAGAAGTAGTGATGCTGTATATCTATTTTTACAGAAGTAGTGATGCTGTATATCTATTTTTACAGAAGTAGTGATGCTGTATATCTATTTTTACAGAAGTAGTTATTCTGTATATCTAGTTTTACAGAAGTAGTTATTCTGTTTATCTATTTTTACAGAAGTAGTTATTCTGTTTATCTATTTTTACAGAAGTAGTTATTCTGTTTATCTAGTTTTACAGAAGTAGTTATTCTGTTTATCTAGTTTTACAGAAGTAGTTATTCATTTTATCTAGTTTTACAGAAGTAGTGATGCTGTATATCTAGTTTTACAGAAGTAGTTATTCTGTTTATCTAGTTTTACAGAAGTAGTTATTCTGTTTATCTAGTTTTACAGAAGTAGTGATTCTGTTTATCTAGTTTTACAGAAGTAGTTATTCTGTTTATCTAGTTTTACAGAAGTAGTGATGCTGTATATCTAGTTTTACAGAAGTAGTTATTCTGTATATCTAGTTTTACAGAAGTAGTTATTCTGTTTATCTAGTTTTGCAGAAGTAGTTATTCTGTTTATCTAGTTTTACAGAAGTAGTTATTCTGTTTATCTAGTTTTACAGAAGTAGTTATTCTGTTTATCTAGTTTTACAGAAGTAGTGATGCTGTATATCTAGTTTTACAGAAGTAGTTATTCTGTTTATCTAGTTTTACAGAAGTAGTTATTCTGTTTATCTAGTTTTACAGAAGTAGTTATGCTGTATATCTATTTTTACAGAAGTAGTTATTCTGTTTATCTAGTTTTACAGAAGTTCTTATGCTGTTCATCTATTTTTACAGAAGTAATGATGCTGTATATCTAGTTTTACAGAAGTAGTTATTCTGTTTATCTAGTTTTACAGAAGTAGTTATTCTGTTTATCTAGTTTTACAGAAGTAGTTATGCTGTATATCTATTTTTACAGAAGTAGTTATTCTGTTTATCTAGTTTTACAGAAGTAGTGATGCTGTATATCTAGTTTTACAGAAGTAGTTATTCTGTTTATCTAGTTTTACAGAAGTAGTTATTCTGTTTATCTAGTTTTACAGAAGTAGTTATTCTGTTTATCTAGTTTTACAGAAGTAGTTATTCTGTTTATCTAGTTTTACAGAAGTAGTTATGCTGTATATCTATTTTTACAGAAGTAGTTATTCTGTTTATCTAGTTTTACAGAAGTTCTTATGCTGTTCATCTATTTTTACAGAAGTAGTGATGCTGTATATCTATTTTTACAGAAGTAGTGATGCTGTATATCTAGTTTTACAGAAGTAGTTATTCTGTTTATCTAGTTTTACAGAAGTGGTTATTCTGTTTATCTAGTTTTACAGAAGTAGTTATTCTGTTTATCTATTTTTACAGAAGTAGTTATTCTGTTTATCTAGTTTTACAGAAGTAGTTATTCTGTTTATCTAGTTTTACAGAAGTAGTTATTCTGTTTATCTAGTTTTACAGAAGTAGTTATTCTGTTTATCTAGTTTTACAGAAGTAGTTATTCTGTTTATCTAGTTTTACAGAAGTAGTTATGCTGTATATCTATTTTTACAGAAGTAGTTATTCTGTTTATCTAGTTTTACAGAAGTAGTTATGCTGTATATCTATTTTTACAGAAGTAGTTATTCTGTTTATCTAGTTTTACAGAAGTAGTGATGCTGTATATCTAGTTTTACAGAAGTAGTGATGCTGTATATCTAGTTTTACAGAAGTAGTTATTCTGTTCATCTATTTTTACAGAAGTAGTGATGCTGTATATCTATTTTTACAGAAGTAGTTATGCTGTATATCTATTTTTACAGAAGTAGTTATGCTGTTTATATATTTTTACAGAAGTATTATTGCAGTTTATCTATTTTTACAGAAGTTGTTATGCTATTTTTACAGAAGTACAGTATAGTTATGCAGTTTACGAGGGTCTTCAATAATAATGCAAATTGTCATTCTAAAAATAGGAAAAGCACGTGAAACAGATTCTTAATACTTTCAATCCCTCAAAGTATTCCCTGTTAACATTTACACATATCTAAAGTCTTTGTACTCAAGACCAGAGAACTTCGGCATACTCATCTTTAGGTATGCCATAAAGATCGATACGGATGAATAACATATTCTATGATATACTCGAAAAGTCTTCCTGTAATTGTTTTCATACGTTTTTGGAATAAAAAGATCTCATAATGGCTGAGATCTAGCGAATGTGGGGGGTCTAAACGTTGTAAACTTACTTTTATTCAAAATTTTATTTATTTCTCTATAACATATTTAGAGGCCTTGCTTCTCTTTGCAATAATAGGACGACAACTTCCTATTTGATTCCACATTTTATTCTTGATCTTCCTTTTCGGCTATAAAAACTACACCCATGTTAGGAGTCTATCACTCAAGTTTATCAAGTCTTCTTTTTTGTAAAAATTAATTTTTAAATAGACCATTGGGCCATTTAACGTGTTTCTTCTCTTAAGCATATCACCCAACTGATAGAACTATTTCATTTGTCAGAACTCTGTAAACTGTTGTGACGATGAAATGTTTAGCGTTTTAGCAATATCTATCAAAGTAAATCTGACATTTTCAGATATCATGTTGCTCACAGCATTGATATGTTTTGGTGCCCCTTCAGATTTCGATTGACTTGTTTGACTGCAATCTTTTAGTTGTACATTTTTACTTTTTAATTTCCAAATCCATCGGCGTGAAAGACTATTCTTTCTACATAGTAAATTCATATCTTTAATATTGGTTCTACAGGTATGTATGTAATGAAGCACAAATTTGACACTCGCCCTCATTTTTCTCTTCTTTGCAGATATCATTTTTAAAGCAGATATCAGCTCAGTTTAGTGGCCATGGTTACTTTAAAAGTGAATTCCTTTGCGAGAACAATAGGAAAAACCATGAGGTTTTTTGTGATTAGGGGTTCCTAAATAGAACTTTTCAACTGTTAAAAAATAAAAATACTTCTATATTTATTATTATTATTAAACTGTATGTTGCGTTACTTATTGAATGACCCTCGATCTATTTTTACAGTAGTAATATTGCTGTTTGTCTTTGTCTGTGTATCTATCTTTACAGAAGTACTTAGGCAGTTTATTTTCACAAAGTTGTTATTTATCTACTTTACAGAAATAGATTTCCAGTTTGTCCACTTGTACAGAAGTGGATATGCATCTTATCCTCTTGACTTTTTTCAATACACCATATGTTATACTGATAATCATGCTTTCCATTTAGTTTGCTTAATTTTTATGTAAATCTTGCATAAAGTGATATTGATATTTTTGATGGAGTTAAATACATATTTTATAAAATGGGCGAAAGAGACTTCATTTCAACTCAAAACACCTATCCAAAAGTAATAATATGTCGTGTTTTAACTGAGGATGTACTTTAACTTTATTTAGATGTTATAAGAGAAAAGTGTACCGCTAATTGAGTTTTTCTCGAGCTAGATTTTTTATTAAATCTTCGAGAGAGAGAGAGAGAGAGAGAGAGAGAGATCGAGATCATCCTCACAGAGAAGATAAATTTAAGTACATTTGCACAGAATGTAGTTTTTTGACGACTGAGTACTGTGCGGTGCTTGTGCATCAATACGTTAAGTGATATTAATTTGAGTCACAGCTGTATAAGAGCCACGATTTCCCCTGAAGAATTGATTACAGATCTAATAGAGTACTACAATTATACTCTCTGACAGCAACATTTTATAAAACACGACAATACAAATTGTCCAAACATAATTATATGGATGAAACCTACCATATCTTCATGATCGGTGCAATAAGCCCTTGTCTTTATTTCCTTTAAATATGAAAAAAGTATGTAAAATCAAAATGTATTCGTGGTGTATACATTACATTATCTAGCAGTACAGTTTTCATTATTTAAAAAATAAATACATGCATCTATGATCATATAAAAGATACACACCCAAATAACCTGTTCACAGAGCTCAAGTTACATAAAAAATATATACAGGGAATACACAAACATGACGTATTGATCTGTTGAATGAAATACCAGTGTTTTATCTATTATCAATTGCTACTGTAAACGTATTTGAATTACCATAAAATTATTTTTACGACACACTACTTTTTTTAAAGTTAAGTTTCTTTACTTACTGGTGCTATAGGTACAACCAATCGTGAGGTACAACTATACAAAGAGGGATCTTTAAGGTTCCAATCCACATTTAGGTAATTCTTCATTTTGGGTCATTCAAAATAAGGTTATTCAAATGGAATGATGTATTTAAAAAATGATCATAGAAGTTGAAATATTACTTAATTATGCATAGAATTTTTACGAAAATTCGCTATGAAACTTAAATATCAATATGTAAAATAAAGACTTTTTAACATGTTTATATTTTATCGACAGCTTTTTAGCAAATAATATTACTGGATTAACTGACAAGTGTTAAAATCTGTCGACTGTAATGAAATTATAAATCAAACATATGTTCTCTCTCAGTTTTAATTCTATTTTAATGACAAGTTAAACGCAAACAGATCTTTTCATAACCAGTCTTACCTTTCCATTGTCACAAAGGTCATCTGGGACCCCCATTCTGATCCCTCCATGCCTGGAGTCATGACTGTGGATCCCCGAATCGGGGAGGGTCAAGTCTACATTTCTTATGGACCAAGCTTGAAAGATGTGAAAACACGAGAGCAGAGTATACAACCTAGGACCCAGCATTCTGTAAAAGAAATCAACTCAGTCACAGATTCACATCACAACATTATATACAAAATCCTGCACAGCGCCACTTCTAAATTTAAAACAATTTAAATGTCCTTTGTCTAGATTTGGAATCACAATACGCGAAACCTATTGATTACTAGAAGTTCAGTTATTAAAGCAGCGACGATTGGTCTTCGATATTATCCAATTACCATCAATATCACAAACCCGAAACGAGTACCAAAAAATCCAGAAATGCCTTTTTGTAACCCTTGCAAAAGTCTTTACCTTAATATTAGAGCTGGACGCCCGCGAGTTTCAGGATCTTGTCGACTCTAGAAAGTGTCTGCTTCGCTGGCAACAAACATAGTGGAAGATAGGATCGATAGAATTGCCTTATCCTGCACACTTGACGCATCTGCCAGCTAATTATCGAGTTGTAAAAAAAAAAGCCAATGAAATAACATCATACGTCGTGCTAATTAGGATGTAGAGAAAGCAGTCAGACGATTCCTGCATATAGAATGCGTAGAAGGGTATAAAAAATATTAACAAACATTCATTTATTTGAAACATCTAGAAAAAAGTTATGTTAATGTTATATGTATTTCTAAATAAGTGAAGACTTTGTACTGTAGTTGGCGAAAGCCAGTATTATTTTACTCAACTTGTTTAGCTTTCCCCAGATTTCCCTAGACGATGGTGTGTTTTTAAACTTGTCTAGTTGCTACAATTTAATTATGTTACAGATTCACAGACATGGTCTGCTGAGTATCCAAGGGAAAATCTAGAAATTCAAGCAGTCCATGCCTTTCAATATCTCTTCAACACTGTATCAGTTGACTAAACATTTAGAAGCATTGGACCTCTTGACCACAGAAAGAACATCTAAAGATGATAGATGCTTCTGGGAAAATTTAAAACATTTAGTTGCCAAATTTTGACATATTTGTTTGCTACTTCATAATAAAAGTAACATTAGTTTTACAGTACATGCCATTACGTGTCCAACAATCTCAACGTAAACTACATTCAGTCTTGTGCTCCAACCATTTCCTCTAAGAAATTATTCACCCGTCAACCAATTTCATTGTATTCTATATTTCTTTTTAAATCGAAAATTAAAAAAACGAATAGTTTTTAGCTACGAATTTTACGATATACTTGAATTCCTTTTTAAATTCAATCATCGTAAAAGGTCCTAAATACAGAGAACCCCTATCTTTCAATTGCTGACAGAACATCATTTCTATTATGAATTCTATCGAAGAGTATGCCAAATGTTGGGCTAAATATGAAAACGAAGAACTGAACTCTTTGTCAGAAAATTAAATGGATTAAATGTTTTAGAAATATTTTAAAGAATCGCTTAAGAAAATTGAAATTGAACTAAATGCAAACTATCTATCCTTCCGTTTTCACTTAATCGGAGGTGATTAAGAATTAGAGAGACTACATCAACAATATGTGATGGTTCCAGCAGACAAGACTAGTAACAATACTGTCTTTGTTTATAAGGTTCATTATTATGACTGTATTTTGGAAGAACTTAGTTTTAACTCTATGTCTGGAAATCCTATATATATATATACCTCGCAGTTCACTTTTCAAGATGAAATTCTTCAAAATCACATTTCAGTATTTCATACTTTTATCAACCAAAGTGAGTTCGATCTATGTTGCCAGATCCAGCAAATGCTCTACCAGGCCCCTATCTTTATTCTTTACCAAAATATTAACTGCTGTAAAGGAAATACTTCAGACGAACTATGTTACAGCATATTCTACAAGTGGTGTACATTAGATATGGATCCTAAAAAACTCTAAAGAACTTTTTAAAAATCTAAAATCACCAAATTTTTCAACAGTTTTCTATTCTTTATACAACCATTCCTCACGACAAATTAAAGCTAGGCTTTTTATACATCATAGACAACTGCTTCTTCAATAAAAACGGAACTTTCACATCTTGTGATTGGTCATCAAAAAAATCACTTCGTTAAAAATCACTCTTCGTCTTCGATGAAACTGTTGGAATCTCGATAGGCACTAATTGTGCTCCTTTATTAGCTTAACTGTTTTTATATTCCTGTGAAGCAAAATTTATTCAAAAACTTCTACATGAGAAGAAGAAAACACTAATTGTTGCCTTCAACTCTACATTCAGATATATCGACGATGCTTTGTCAATTAACAATAGTTGCTTCCATTCATATGTCGATATATTCCAGTGAACTTGAAGTAAAAGACACGACAGGGTCTGCCACATCTGTTTCATATTTAGATGTTTTACTGACTATAGACGACAATTGCCTTCTAACAACTAGATTGTATGAGAAACTAGATGACTTCAGCTTTTCCATCTTCAACTTTCCTTATTTATGTAGTAATATTCTGCTATCACCTGCATATGATGTTTATGTTTCCCAAATTAATCACTACTCAAGATCATGCTCTAAATACGATCAATTTTTGAATCGAGACAGACTAGTCACACATAAGTTGATGTTAAAGGGATTTGACAACCTCATTTAAAGTCGGCATTTCGTAAATTCTATGGTCGTTAAAATGATCTTATTAGCAAACAAAACCTAACACTGGGCCGTACTTTGACTAATTCGTTTGATACCAATGGTTAGGCTTTTATTTTTGTACTAAATTTGATTACGGAATGTTCAGTCTATTTGATCAATACATACGGCGGGTGTGACCGGTCAACAGAGGATACTTACTTCTCCTAGGCACCTGATCCCAACTCTGGAATTTCCAGGAGTCCGTACTTATGCCCTGTTCACAGATTTTTTTGTTTGTGGTATTTATTAGATCAATCACTATTCGTTAACTTCAACCTTTTCAATACGACATCACAAAAGATTTTCATTTGTGTAACAATACTTCAAGTGGCCTTTATTAATTTAGAGTTTCAAATTTAAATTAAAAGCTTTCAAATATGATAGCAGATGACATTAAAAAACTGTCAGAATATGGAAGTGTCTTATATTATTTTCTCTCTCAGGCAGTACCAGTTTCTACGGAAGCCGGTAGGTGCCAGGTAGAAAAATATTTTATCTGGCGACCTACCGGCTTCCGTAAGTTTCAGATTTTTTTCTGAAAAGTATAGTTTACATATGAAAGAACGGAGAAAATATTCATTGGATTAAATATAATAAGAGAACTGTCCTGATACGAAACTGGCAGCAAGTTAAGGACACATGCTACAACAAAAAAAAAATAAAATAAAAAAATAAAGGATGCATGGATTGATAAATATTTTTGACTTATTTTGGTATCTAAATGATGCATATACCCAATCTCTAAAAAAAGAAATTGTTGTATTTTCCATTATGTGATTTCTCTCTTTTGCCATCACCCCCTATAAATCTATGCATTTCCCCCCACTTTTTTGGATATTATTGAAAAACCTTCAATAAAAAATGAAACTATATGCGGCTAAAATAACAGAGAAAATATTCAGTGAATGTAAATATAGTAAATTATTGAAATGCTCAAAATCGAACGATGGATGCGTGCATATTTTTGGATTTATTTTAGTTTGTTACTGATAAACATGGACTAGAACATTGGTGCAATAATGAATATTCATCAGGTAAATATGGGTCACTTTCATTCAATATGTTACTATTTAACTCCTTCACCCTTTATTAATCTTTTTTTTTACAAAGTTCTTAAGCAACATCAAAGGCGGAGTCATTGTAAAAATTTGTTATTAGAAACATCATCTTTTTTAGCTTTGGGTGACTCATTGGACAAAGATCGGAGCTTTCCTAAACCGAATTATAAATAATTGTACATTTGCCAATCATAGGCCAAAATATATTTTTGTGTGACTGTAGGAGTAGATCTAATTATATACTTACGTAGATCTCACCTCTGAAGATCTCTGGAATTGATATCAAATTCCAAAAACCGTATTGGAAATCAACTGGACAAGGATTATCGAGTAAAAAGAGAATTTTATAGCTACCACTAAATGTGTAGGAAGATATCCAATGACAAAAAAGTGATGAAATTCAGACGAAGGTTAAAGAAATGAAAAATGCAAGCGTTAAACCATACTGTTTGAAATAATAAAGTTTGTTAATGTAATTCTTGGCTATAATTAAAGCTAGCGCATATGTAATACAAAGCACGCAAATTGTGAATTGACGCCTCGCCTTGCAGTACATGTACATCTTTTACACCAAGAGAGTATTAAGTAGATAATGGCATTATTTCATGATAAAAGTGTTGTTGTAGCTAAATCTTCTTTTATTAGAAAAGATTTGCTGTTGACTGCTGATCACAGATACAAGAGAAACGTTATATGCCGCTAATGAAGCAATCTGTTACATGCTAGGCATGTCATAAGACCCCTCAATCTGGGGATATTCAAATTTAGATCTGATTTCAAAGCTTCAAATTGTAATGTTATTTGAATTGCATATCTTTATGAAATACAACGTTGTAACGATTCTACAAAAAGATGGACAGTAAGAATGTTTTAACCCTAAGGCCAAAATAAAAAATACCTTTGTTTCCCCTAACGCGACCGACCCAATTAAAACGCGCCGACTGGAAAGTTTTTTTTCATAAGATTATTCAAATATTTTTTTTATGTTTATCAACTTCTATAAAATAAAATTCCATCAAATCTGTTTTTTATCAGAACGACTGATTTTGTTCTGTGATTTTCAAGCGTTTATTGGAAACAAAATAGCGCCTACAACATGTGGTCACGGAGGGTTAGTTCGTGTTTTAAAAGAAAGGCAACGTATCAACCTTATGCCTTTAGCATATTAGAATCCTGCACTCTTGAAACACTTTGTTTATAAAATATAATATCCAATGACTAATTGAAAGTGTTTGGGTTGTATTTACTAGCCTGTCTTAAAATTAAGGTACGTAGAGAGATGATTAGGCCCATATGTCCTCCTCATGAGCAGACAAGGGGCCCGCCTTGTGGAAACACCAATCAATTTCATTGCATTTTATTTAATTTGAGTTTTGATCTTATACACAGTTCATCAATATTCCAATGTTAACTATATGGGACCATAGGAGTTGTAAATAAGTCTGCATATTTCATCCTAATGAATAGAATTCAAAATGTCCTTTCTTCATGCCTTTTAATCATGAGTTAAACTTCGTAACTTTGAAATTGTGTATGACATGTTATCATTTTTAGATATTGTTTCCTTAATTAAATATTGTTAATATGCTTTTTCCAAATAGATTTGAAATTATGATACAAGCTTCCTGAGACGTCCATGTATTTTTTTTTTAATAAGGCCCTGGAAGATGGGTTGTTTCTTTGATTTGAATCCCTTTGATAATTGTTGGGACAACATTTATCTAAACATTTGTCTGGTGAAGGACTCCAAAG